ACCCTGACATCCGACGGAAGTCCCGATGATTGACAGCTCTGTCAGACGAACAAAAGCGCGGGAAAAAACAGGCCTTCCGGGCTTTGGTAACATTTTGGCCGTGACTGGAGACAAGTGTTCCCGGTAAGCTGTCAGCAGACGATGAAAACTCTTCAAGGAAACATCTGCGGTGTTTTTATTTTTTTAAACAAGAAATAATTAAGGGTTAATGACCCGCCCGAGGTGTGTATGGTGTCATAAGGCCTTGTGAGTTCCTCTAATCACTGAATAGAGCTAATTATGTTTCATTTCCTTTCGCTCAAAGTTCAACTATATTTAGATGGTCATAATTATGCAAATAAGATCAAAGAATAATTCTTCTTGATTTAGAACACGAACTATATGTTCGATCATGTTCGATCTGGGTAATTCGAACAGAACGCGTGTTCCATTTGTGAGGAAATAAGTTTGGGCACACTTACTACTAGTAGTATATAACCGGGCTAGTCAGCTGCTGTTTATGTCCACAGACATACATGACATATGCAAGGCTTCAGTCCACACGTGAAACCAGTCACACAACTGGATATCTAACTGTTACATGTGTCACTTATTATTTCATCAATCATCTCCTAACAAAAACCAAACACTCTAATAATAACAGTCTTCAAACTGACTAACCCCCAGTTGTAACCTCAACCCTGATAATTCCCACCTGTCAACGACCTAAATAAGTCTGATAATGCCCAGGTCCATTATACCGATAATGACCACATTCCCTGTATTAATGACCACTGCTGTCAATGATTAGATGAAATTGACTCAGGATGAGTGTCATTTTGGTAATAAACGCTACTATTATCCAGATAATGACCCACGACTACAACCTGATAGCCACACCCTCCCCTGAGACTATATATGAACCTCCCCCGATGCCCCCAATGATCTGTCCCCAGTGTCTGTACAATCCCAGTATTTTAGCAACAGACTCAACTCGTAAAAATCGCCACTGTCTTACCAATAATGACCAACCTGATAATGACCCTCCCCTGAGACTGAAAAAGAATCTCCCCCGATGCTACTGAATGGTCCCCGGTGTCTGTACAATCCCAGTATTTTGGCAACACGACTCAACCCGTACTCAACCCGTTATAATCACCACTCTCATGCCAATAATGACCCACAACTCAAACTGAATAATGACTCTCCCCTGGGACTAAAATGAACCTCCCCCGAGTCTAATGACCGGTCCCCAGTGTCTGTACAATCCCAGTATTTTGGCAACACGACTCAACCCGTACTCAACCCGTTATTAGATACAGTGCGATTATCAAACTTAGCGGTCACGTCTGCTGGGCTTAACACCGTCCATATGGCGGGTCTGTTAGATCTACTAACGGTATTGAAAGAAAGGCTGTCATACAAATTCGACAGCTTTTTCTTGTCAAAAAGTCCAGTTGCGTGTTGTGCACAATGTTCAACAACTGTTAAAGGCCTCTATTGTAGGATCAAAACATCAACGTTTGGGTTAAGTTCTTTACATACATGTATGAAGTTGATTCTACATGTACCGTACGAAATTGCATAGTGGACTCGACAGCTTTTTTCTTGTCAAAAAGTCATTGAAGACCCTACTCTAGAGTACAGCGTTTACCATTACTTACTGTTAATAGTATGATCAAAACGCTAGCTTTGGGTTTGGGTTAAGTTCTTTATGGTCGGTCTCTCAGATCTGCTAACGGTATTGAAAGAAAGACTGTCATACAAATGCGACAGCTTTTTCTTGTCAAAAAGTCATTGTAGAAGAACCTACTCCAGTTTCCTGTTCAGTGTACAACGTTCAACAATTAAAAGTAAAAGGCCTCTATTGTAGGCCCAAATGTCAAGTTCATTGTAGAAGAACCTACTTCAGTTTTGTGGTGTGGAGAGTTTCAATTTTACCTCATTGTACAACGTCTAGCAATTAAGGCTCCTATTGTAGGCTCAAAACTTTGACATTTAGGATAAATTCTTTACATGCTGCAAGTTAAGTTGATTTTACCTTGCGAAATTGCATGGTGCTATTCTTAGAGACACAATGCGACGTTTTGCCGTATTGGTGCATTGAAAACCTGGGCTATGTTTACAAATCGGTTTATTTTAGGTCTGGAGTACCGGCTAGTACTTCAACATATAACGTGTTGGTTGTCTTTTGGCCAAATACGCCTAGATCTATTTTATCATGTTCTGGTGCCTTGAATTTATGATATCTATCGTGTTAATCCTGCGGGCGTGCTTTTATATTACACTCGGCCCTGCACAAATCGGAGGCTTACTGTACATCTATCTAGTGTAAATACGTTTTCACTGTTGTGCATAGCCATAGAGAATTTCCGTTATCCTTCCCGCATACCGACAGAAATCCTGGACTTACATTAGAGCTGGAGGAGATAGGGTAGCAATATATAGGCTAGATAACCGACCATCTCGGTAGCCTATCTATAAAAGCCAAGTACAAGTAATGAGAAAATTTCTGAAGAGAGCATACTGGTTACTCTTCCTTTCTTTTTATCTTTCGGCTTCCGACTTCCCTTCAAATTTGAGACACGCAAACCATCTCTTCCTAGCCTTGTGAATGCGGGACCTAATCTCCAAGCAGGTCTTTTGGTGGCTGCAAGACTGTCTGATATTGGCGTTTACTGCCATTTCCTGGAACATTTTTTTATTGCGAGAAGTCTCTCTATTTTTTAGTACCGCCAATAAATATCTAGATCCAACTTACGATATGAAACCTGTTGAAAAATGTTTTGCCAATTATCCTAATAACGGGTTTAGACGCGTTCTTTCAGAGCTGTACATCTATATGCGGGCCGCCCAAACCCAGATATCCTTCTCCGATGTCCTCCTAGCTCCACGCCACAATGAGACCAAATCACCGGTTCCGACTGTTCACAACCTGCATGGTACCGGCTGATCTCTGGGATTTAAAAACACCAAACACCGAGACCGGTCCCCGCATACTCATCAAGTAGAGGTTTAGACTTCGGCTTACTTTTGACGTGTTTTAGACGCTTTATTGGGATATCTTCTTTCTGCAGGTACCTTTTTTTACGCCAGCCAAACTTCAGGTGGCAAATGGTAACTGCCTGGCCAATTTGGTACTGATTTCCTCATCCAGAATATTTTGCTTTTTTTATTTTGGATGCCTTTTTAGCGCCCGGGGCCTTCTTCGCCTACTCCGGATGCCAGTACTACTCTGGCAGTGACGATAAAAAAAATTGTAGTAAACGCCATATATATATCAGACAGATTTCCTGGTCCAGAACACTTTGTTGTTGTTTTGCTGCCTTAGAATTGCATTAGAATAGTTAAGGCCCGGGGCATCTTCGCCTACTCCGGATGCCAGTAACCTGACTCTGGCAGTGGAGGCAAAAATACCACAACCCGCCAGCACCCGTGACCCGAGATGACCCTGAAACAATTATCCCAGGATTCCCCGTGCCTTGTGGGCTGACATAAGCCCGATGACATAAAAACAACATCCTAGAGTTCGTTCTGTATCGTACAACACCAACTGTGCCTAGACTGCATGGGTCTAGTTGCAAAGTTGGTCTAACCTGCGGAATCGGACCGTAAGGAGGTCACTGTAGCTTGCACCTGTTAAAGATCCATCTAATTACTTTGGAAAATGTCTAATAATCTTCAGTTTTGTCTGACAAACGCGACATTGGGTACTTGATGCCTTGATGAACATTGGTAGAAATCAATGGTAATTGATGGATTTCAAAATGCCGTTAAAATCACGATGGAGGCAAACAATGATGGCTGTTCTTTGGAAGGGACATACTGGTCTAACTGAGTTTTCTACAGAGCCTATGCTACGATAAAATTGCTGGTCTTCAGTTACTCTCCAAGTGGTCTATTTCAGATGTGTTTTAACCGTTTTTATTTAGTTTTCTTTTTTGTACTGATATCTTGGTTTACGCCAGCCAAATTCGGGTGGCATATTGGGTATTGCCTGGCAAATTTGATAGTCTTTCCAACTTTATGATTTATTGTAGTCACCGAAAGATCTGCTTGGAGTTTAAGAGTCTTTATTGTCAAGATGTGTGAAGAAGATATCTTCAGACATAGATAAAAGTTCTGTGACCTTTGGCCTGACAAGGGACCGCCATGTTGACCCCACTAGTACTGTTTGTGCATGGCGGAACACAAATACGTGACAGACAACCGTGTGTAGAAGTTGTTAGTGCCTGATGTTTAATTAGCGGCGCTAATAAGCGCAAATCTGTTTGAGGAGCAGAGATAATTGCAGACGGCGTTTCTTTGATGGTGGCCATAGCCTGATAGCCGATAGAACAGTTTAATTCTACTTTAAAAGATTATATTAGTCCTGTAGTGTATAACTAAAAGTGCCCACCATTTTTTAGAACCCGAACCATGTTCGATCTGGGTAATTCGAACAGACGCGTGTTCCATTTGTTTGATGAGCACCGATAATTGCAGACGGCGTTTCTTTGATGGCGGCTATCAAGGACTAGTCGTGTTTTATAGCTCTTTAAGTGCCTACAGCTAGGACTATGAGGGCTTGTCCTTTTCGTGAAGCTGCACCTGTGATTATACTACTCTCCTAGCGGAGGTTGAGTTTATCGGGGTTTCTTTTTTGCACTGGAATTTCTTTTACCGTCAACCCATAAAAAATTCCAGTGCAAAAAGAAATCCTGGTTACTTCGGAAGGACTAACTCAAGTCAAGACCTAGTCATGTTTTATAGCTCTGCAAGTGACTACATGGCTCGTCCGTTTCATACACATGATACCGGCGCACCTGTAATCACAAAGCCTTCCCATATGTACAGCATTAACTCAAGAGCACTTTGCGTACAGCTACAGTTGTCATCATAAAACCTTTTTTTTTGTATTCACAGATGCATCGGTGATCACTGAACCTTTTCAAATTTTACAGGTGCATGCATCAGATGTACAATATTAAAAGGTCTTCCATTCATTCTTAACAAACAAACAAACAAACAAAGTGACTCACCGTGGTTGACGAAGCTCATGACCATATCAGCATCTTGTAGCGCCTGCTTGTCTCGGATGTAGTTATAAAACGGCTCCTGTAGGTTATAATCCTGCAGATCAGGGTGAAAAATAATCCCTGTCTCATTCTCTCCCTTCGAAACCTCCTTGTAAAGATCCAGCATGAACTTGGGTGCTGAGTTTTGCTTGCCTGCCGAGGGTGGTCGTGGGCGCTGCTGTAGCCCCAGCAAACTCAGGATCTCTCTCTGCATCTGTCTGCGCTCTGATCGAGGAAGTAGCGGGGTGAAACCGACCATATTGTCACTGTAGTAGCCCGTACCCATAGCGGAACCCTGCAAAGTTATCGGGACCTGGTAGCTCAAGAGGAGGGTTGTGAGAGTGATTAGCCCGCTCAGAGTTCTTGTGGGATTACGAGTACGACTGTTGAAGCAGCTACTAGCCACGGCAGCCATGTTTTCTGTTCTACTGGTGGTGGACTGGAGAAGAAGAATCAGGTGCGAGTTGAGGTAAACCAGCGCGCAGACGACAGGTCCGAGTGTTGGGTGATCTGCTATTAAACCTGTGTGAGGAAAACACGCTCGTCAGTCTCAAAGCAGATATTTTCGTGACTGAAAGACACTGGTCAGGTAGTATCCGTTTGAATTGCCAGGCAGGATTTGATTGACATACACGACGTTTCCGTCGCTAATGACCGGATGTAAATTTAACATAACAAACGTAACCACTTACGTTCGCGTTTCTAAGAAAAACATTGCGCACAATCAGTGGTGTTGATTGTATTATTGTTACACTCACGTCTTGTAATTGTAATCGTAATTCAGAATAAAACACGCTGGTCCAAAATGATACAACTGTTGTCTTTTTAAATTTTAGTGGCACTCGTGAAAAAAAAAAGACATTTCTTGCGAGTGTTATAGTGTTAACAATATTCGAAAACAAAAACAGCTTCCGTAAGTATTGTGACAAATCTTCAAGCAGGTATAACTATAAGGATCGCGTTTTGTTATCAAGGAGTTTTGTTTTGTCAAGGAGCAGATAGAACGTCCTTGGTTATCTAACGCAGAACTCTCACTGGGACAGGAACGCTACAATTTCCCATCCCAACATCTGCTTGGATATTCCATGTGCTCGTTTCCAGGAACTGAATAGGAATCGTGCTGCTGAGTTCCCGGAAGTTTGCGCCTATGAAAGTTGACCGTTCATAAATAACCTTTTACCTACACTACAGTAGATTTGCAGTATACCCGATGGTGCTACAAATATCATGTATGATAAAATGTTATATTATACTTCGTTGAAGGTTAGACATCCAGGCAATTAGTTACCCCTGTATTAGAGTAGTTTTAGAACTGTTTATACCACAAACATGTATATTACCTATTTCATCTGTTGACCTGTACTTAGCCCGATAGGGCATGAATGTACAATAAAGGTTATTATTATTATTATTAACTATTCAAATTAAAAATAAAAAAATCCAGTCCAGAATTTCTCAGAAAATCTGAGACCGGAAAACAAGTTGTTGATTAAGAATTTCTTAGTAACTCTGAGACCATAGTTGAGTTACAATCTAAAACACCAACACATGCTAGATAATCTAGCCTGGAAACACAGGCCTTAGATCATGCTGTTACAACAATGACTTTATGGATAATTTGTCGATCTCAGAGGCCTGAATTGCAAGGCTAACCCCCTCCTAAAGCCATGTTGATGTTACAGATCAGTTCTGTTTGTCGATGGGCCTAAGTTTGATCCTTATGCAAATCTGAAATGCCAACAACAACTCGCCAATGGGCGGGGGCTAATCCTCTACATCGGTACCTACATAAACTACTCATAGCCTCGGGAACAGGCGCAGCGACGGGTCTTAATCCGGCAACAGGTTGGGAAGAATACATAGACATAAACTACATATAGCCTCGGGAACAGGCGCAGCGACGGGCCTTTAATCCAGCAACAGGCTGGGAAGAATACATAGACATAAACTACATATAGCCTCGGGAACAGGCGCAGCGACGGGCCTTTAATCCAGCAACAGGCTGGGAAGAATACATAGACATAAACTACATATAGCCTCGGGAACATGCTCAGCGAAGGGCCTTAATCCGGCAACAGGTTGGGATGAATACTGCATCCATGCTCATCCAGCTATTAGCGGACCGATAGCCAGACTACAGAATACTAGTACCTACACTATAATTTCAAAACCATATATTAAAACCCCTTAATACTGTATAGTGTATACTAATATGTATATGTACTCCCCAAATAGAGGCATAGGCTTCGGCTTATTTTTAACGGGATTTACTGGTACATAATTGTTCACCAGTGTAGCCAAATGGGTAGCGAATGGGTACAGTCTGGTCAATCATTTCTTGTGTTGCTCTGATCTTCCAATAATAGCCTGGATGCCAGACCCAAAGCACACTGGACACAAAATATCTCAGTGTGCACACTGAGATATTTTGTGTCCAGTGTGCATTTGGGTCTGGCATCCAGGCTAATAGCGATCATGTACTAGTAGACAGAACGACATAGATAGTATATCTCCATCCGGTAGTTACACAAGCACAACAAACCAAGGACATTATCCTTGAACAAACATACAAAAAGAAACGTACGGATCGTCCGTCTAAACATTTCCGCACCAGTCGTAAATTTCGAGAATTCTTGAGTGTTCAATATTTGCTTTATCTATCGTGACTGCTTATGCTTTAGCTGCATCCGGACTTACATAAAGACTCTAGTTCCCGTCTCAACATTTTCAGTTTCAATCGTAGATTTCTTGATATATATGTTCTTTCAAAACGTCTTCAACTATGTTCAATATTTGCTTTATCTTTCTTTGGCTGCGAAGACCCATAGTTATTTCTTTAGCTGCATCCGGACTTTACATAATGACTCTAGTTTCCTATAGGGACACCAATACTAAATCCTGACTGCTTGTGACAAGTTTATTCTACCGAAAAAGGATTTGATAAACACAATATTTGTTTTATCTTTATTGGGACTGCTTATCATGGTTATCTCTTTAGCTGGATCCGGACTTACATAGACTTTAGTTTCCTTCCAACGCCTAAAGGAACACCAATACTCAAGCCTGGCTACTCGTGACAAGTTTAATAAATTATTCTACCGAAAAAAAAAAGCTTTGATAAACTTGGATAAACACAAACATACTACAGATCCCCCGCCTGTAGTTTCCGATGACGTCCCGGTGTGACCACATGTTCGGTTATAAAAATGTATGAATCACTCGTGAGTCACCTACAAGTACTGACCACACACACAGCCGACTGCCCACACCGATAGCCTCCTGTGCAGACTTCTGAGCGGGTGGGCGTTTGAGTACTTAGTTGTAGTAGTTCTAGTAGCCTCTACCAGGCTTCGGGAGGCGGCTGGAAAAGAGTAGAAATCGGCCAAATAGAGAGATAACATGCCAGGGGAGTTGGTCCGCTAGAGAGTACAGTTTGTCGCACTCTCTAGCGGACCAGCTCCCCTTGAATGTTATCTCTCTATTTGGCCGATTTCTACTCTTTCCACCCGCCAGCCGCCTCCTGAAGCCTGGTAGAGGCTAATACTATGTAGTACATGTACTAGGTTTGGTAGAATTGTTAACGCGTTCTCTTGCCGGCCATAGTACAAGCAAGCAACTATCGTAGGGAAATCTACCTCTACGCTTTAGCTGGCCAACATTCGCGTTCACATTACTACAAAATCCAGTATTGAAACGCTAAAAAGCCTGCATAGGAGGTTATATCGTCCCAGGACTCCCAACTTCAAAACACAAACCGTTCTCAATTAAAACATTTCTTCCAATTTGCAAAATCCCAGGAGTATTACTACTCCACTTTTTCTGCACTCAGGAGTCACAGTAACACCAGGAAAATTGCGTTTTCTTCAAACTTACTAATAAGAACTAAAACTGAGGTTGAAATTTGCACTTCATTTTGTAGGAGAGAAAAAGAAAACATCCTAAATTCGATTCGCGGTGTAACAGAGTCACTAATTATGTGAGTCCCTGTGGGATTTGATAAGTGAGGCAAGTAGCAGTGCAGATAGCGAGTTAACGCAAACAATACCACTCACTGCTGTTTATTCTGGACGTAATTATACTGGGGGGTAATCAGTACAACCTGTAGGGGGGCTCCGCCGGTTTTAGGGATGTTTTGGTAAGAGGGGGAGAGGTTCTAGTCTTTACCAGGCCTTTCTAGGGGGTCACGGATCGCAGAAATTATTCGACAAAAAGGGAAATTTTCAATGATATTTAGCCAGGAGAGTCGGTCTGTTTTGCTAAATTTTGCTGTTGTTGGACCCTAGTTGTTAGTATGGTGGTGATAAGTAAAGAAGACGGGAGATCTACTGTTTTGCCAAACCAACAGGATATATTTTCCTAGTCTACCAAAACGCTTTTCCACGGCAGTACAAGCCACAATATTGGAACTACACTAGTACTACACAGTGAATAACGCAGACGCTATTAGCATTAAATTACGTAAACGGCACATTTTTACGCTGATCTACAGAAATTAGCAAATTGCTAACAAATTACACAAATTATCGCTTTAGAAGGAATCGCTCTATGGAATGAGGATTGGAAGGGAGTTCCTACCGAGTCCTGAGATACTTGGGCGAGCAAAAAAAAAAAAACAAACTTCGGTTTGTGTGGGAACAAAAAGAGGTCACCACGGTTTAGTTATAGTGTATATACAACCGTATACACTGTCATATACCGGCGTGTACACAGCTGTATCACCGCGTACACAGATATATCCAAACCCGTACACATTCGTATACAGTACCACATACACGCCACACGAACACAACCACGTACACAGATACACTACGTAATGGTAAGAGGTATAGATTATTTCTAGGCCCTGTTTGCGTTTGGTAATGCTAACCATACTTACAGGTTAGGATACAGGCTTTTCGCCCAAGGGTTTGCTGTGAAGTACAATATATTATCTGTTGCTATAGTTTAGACACGTACCTGGTACACTAATTCAGTCTAGTCCACGTGGAGGTGTAGACTTTGATACTTGAAAAATGGGCAAGACGTTTCCACATGAAGAAGCATGTACGGACAGGTATGAATCTTCCAACAGGTAAATTTCCGTCGGTTCCCGGGTAAAGATTGTAGTCCAGACGGCGTGATTTCGTCCGTAGTTCCGTCTGTGTCGGGTGAGGTTGTGGTTGACCAAAGGCACACACGGTTCAGTGAAGGTGTTCAGAACACACCTAGGATGATTCCGTAGCGGGTTCGCGTACTGAGGACCGAAGCGTCCGCCCAATTTAGGCGGGGGAAGGTTCTCTGTTGGCCGACGGAGGTCAGTGCCCGCGCCCGCGGCCTAGCCTGGATTTTGCGACACCCGTGCACAGCAAGACGGTTAGCTAATTACTTAGTACCACCGCGGCGTTGCCCTAAACACACGGCTGGAAAAACAACGTAGATTCCTGGTGGATTTCTCTCCGCGGTAGGTAGGTTATGGTACCGAGGGATCACAGTAGGGCGCTCCGAAGGGGGGCTAAATTCTGACTCCGTTCCTGTCCTCTCCAGTTTTCCCGGTTCGCTGCTCCAACCACACAGCAAGAAAAAACTTGTCCGGCAACTTACTACTCGCCTAGGCAAACAACAACCTCCCAGCAGGCAGCGCGGGGGAGGCAGAGAGAGGCCAATTAGCAACCTTCCCGGCATCCTTTGACTCATTAGAACCGTTGCCATGGCGACCGCCCCGTTGGCATGGATACGCCCGCAGGCGAGAACAGGTGTAAAGTGACGTCACGTGAGCAGGAATATGTTGAGAGGTTGCACAGGAAAGAAACTTCACTTGGAAGTGCCTGAGAGACAGGTGTATAATGTTCTAATTTGACCTGTCATGGGGCAAGTCACCCGTGTGAGAAAAGAAAGCAAAAGCGATGTCATAGCCTCTACCAGGCTTCTAAGGGGGCTGGAAAGAGTAGAAATTGGACAAATAGACAGATAACATGCTAGGAAAGTGGCTGAGACAGGTGTATAATGTTCTAGTTTGACCTGTCGTGGGGCAAGTCACCCACGTGAGAAAAGAAAGCAAAAGCGATGCCATAGTCTCTACCAGGCTTCTGAGAAAATAGAAATTGGTAAAATAGACAGATAACATGCCAGGGGAGTGCCTGAGAGACAGGTGTATAATGTTCTAGTTTGACCTGTCATGGGGCAAGTTACCCGTGTGAGAAAAGAAAGCAAAAGCGATGTCTTACACGTACCATAGCCTCTACCAGGCTTCAGAGGAGGCTGGAAAGAGTAGAAATTGGCCAAATAGACAGATAACATGCCTGAGGAGTTAGTCTGGAAAGGAGAGCGGCAAACTGTACTCTTCTCCTGTGATTCTCATGAAAATAATGTGAATAAGTACACAAACATGTTGAAAAGTGGAAGTACATGAAGACAGTCACACGAAGATTTTTCAATTAGAACCACTTATGCAGCACACATAATGCAATGATCATGCACTGAAGGCAAGAGAAAGCAGCGTTCAGTTCCGCTCAGCAGTACTTACAATAATCGCAAGATGGCGTTACTCACCTCCGATCGAGCAAGGAACGTGGCAAACTGAAAAGGGAAGGTAGACTGGGTGCAAGACTGTTTCCAGGGTCTACACAGACCAGCCCCTCGGCTTCAGGGCCAACATGGCCTAAGGAAATTATACCACAAATTTTGCCCGAAAAAATCAGGCTGGCGGGTTTAGTTTTAAAGTCTCTGAATATTAAACTTGAAGGAAATGTCCTTGATGGCTTCACCCAGCTGCGCCCCTGGTCGCATTCCGACATTTATAGGTCTGCTGTGAAAAAATGCAGATGGTGGGGCGAGACTAGCCTCCACCAGGCTTCGGGAGGCGGCCGGAAAGAGTAGAAATAGGACAAATAGAGAGATAACATACCGAGGGAGTTTGGTCGGCTGAAGAGAAGAGTTTGCCACTCCCGAACAAAGATTGGTCTAACTTGGTCTATCTCGACTCTATGGCAAAACTTCATTGGGTAAAGGCTAGCTCTGGAGCCGATGAGCTAGCCTGTGTCCAGAGGTAGCCTGTAGAAATCTGTAGACTGGCCCTGGCAACAGTCTGGCACCCAGACTAAGCGACGAGCGATGTTAAACATCAGAGTAGTTGAGATGCCAGTGCCCTGGAGCCCTAGCAGCAGTCTGGTATCCAGGCTAGCCGCCCCAGCGATGTTAAACATCAGGAGTAGTTGGGATGCCTGTGCCCCAGGCTAAGCTAGGAGCGATGTTAAACATCAGAGTTGCTGAGATGCCTGTGCCCCTGCCCTGGGACCGAGGCTAGGCGTGGAGCGATGTTAAACATCAGAGTAGTTGAAATGCCAGTGCCCCTGCCCTGACACTGACATGATCCACACCAGGCGGAACAGACAAAACTCTCAGGAACTCAGCCCGCAGGCAGCCTTATCAGCCAGGAACTCACGGCGTTTAGAACGAGAAGAAACAACACTTAGCACGTCCTTCAGGCTCACACTGCAAGAAACCAGAACAAAAGATACAAAAGTTCTGCTGCAGTACCAAGGTCAGCCACCAGGTGGCTCATATGTTACCTGGAGGTTTGTCTGCCTTAGACCTACCCACATACCAAATATCATAACGATTCACTTAGGCCTTCTGAAGTTATGCTGACCGAAGTTAAAGCTCGCCAGACGAAGCTGTGAACTCTAAAACAGTAAAAGACATGTTCGGTAGCATGCAGCAATACGACAGGTGTCTTCTACTAGTTCTAGATCACTGCGCGATTTCAATATAACAGGGTAGATTTCAGTCAAAAAATACTCTGAATCTCCAGCGATTTTGAAACTCATGATCCTCTGGGTCCTCTGGCGATCAACAAATTTGGCAGAAGGTCGTTGACAGTGTAGTGCCCCCTAAAATGTAACAGAAGAACCTGGCACGTCGAGACAAAATCTTTGCCCTTGGAACAGCTTCAACGCTATCGTACCATTGGTCAAGCTAAGCCTAACTTGTCTGTCTCTTGATACGTGTACAATGAAAACGTCAATGTGTGCCACAAAAGGGTGACAGCTTCAACGATGACGCCAGAACCCAATAGAATTTTCCCTCACCAAAATGTCGTCTGAAGTTGACGTCACGTTCTAAAAAAACAAACAAGAAAACAAACCAAAAAACAAACACATTACCTCAAAGATGGTGTCGAAATATAGAATCTGGTAAGTCCAAAGGAAGGCTGAAGTAACTCTGAGGAAAATTTATCCGGTTCGAACGTTTTTAAGATGGCGGCAGGTACTGAGAAGAAATGTCGTTTGATTTTGACGTCAAACCAAGCAAACAACAAAACAAACAAAAACAACAACCACATTACCTCAAAGATGGTGTTAAAATATAGAATCCAGTAAGTCCAAAGGAAAAGAGAGGTACTTCTGAGTAAGATTTCTCGGGTTTTAAGATGGCGGCTGTAGCTGAGAAGAAATGTCGTCTGAATTATCTGTCCATCACCGCAGGCGCGCGGGACTGGAGTCCACCACTCAACACCCGGATAATGTCAAACAAGCGATCGCACCACGTCGCTAATGCGCTACATTTGTAAACAGACGCGCTGATGCAGACCCAAGCTACTCAAGCTTAAAGGCTTCACAGTTCAGAGACCCAGAACTTCTATCAGATTGTATTTTCAAGTATCATATGATATAGATAGCCTCTACAAGGCTTCAGAAGTGGATGGAAAGAGTAGAACATTGGTCTACTAGTCTACATTTGTAAACAGACATATGAGTACAAAATTTGCCTCAAGCTTAAAGGCTTCACGGTTCAGAAACAACGAGAGAAACCCAAAGTTTCTTTTTCAAACGTGTCAGATTGAAAACATGTAATCCTAGGTACAGTTAGGTAGTCTCTACCAGGCTTCAGAAGTGGATGGAAAGAGTAGAAATTGGTCAAATACTAGTCTACATTTAACATTTGTAAACACATGCGCTGATGCAGACTTAAGTTAGTCAAGCTTAAAGGTTTAACAGTTCAGAAACAGACAGAGAGAAACCCAAAGCTTATTTCAAGACTGAAAACATGTATTCCAAACTACAGTTAGCTAGCCTTTACCAGGTTTCAGAGTTGGGTGGAAGAAGTAGAAATTGGTCAAAAGTCAAATACTAGGATATATTTGTATAAACAGACGCGCTGATGCAGACATCGCTACTCAAACGGTTCAGAAACTACAGTGAGTGAGACAAGTCAGAACTTCTGTCGAATGTGTCGGATCAGACTGAAACATGTATTCTTAGGTACAGGTAGCCTCTACTAGGCTTCAGAAGTGACTTGAAGGAGTAGAACATTGGCCAAATAGACAGATAACATGCCAGGGGATTTGGTCCAAAGAAGGAGTACATTTGTTTAGCTGACCAACTCCCCTGGCATGTCCATGGCATGCCGTTTATCAAAAGCATCAGTACAAGTGTCCTAGCTTCAGTAGCAAGCTCTTCCTCCAGACGCTATCAGGTCGGTACAAGCGGAATGGCTCTTGAGGAAAGACTGGATGAATCACGATGATAAACAGGAACTAACAATGTGTCAATCTAACTTTTGTTGAAAGTACACTGTACAACACTTGCTACTGATCGCTACATTTTTCTTTGTAATCATAGAGCCAACACTTAAAAGTAGACATACATGATATACGCAAGGAACACTGCGTGGAAATCCCCGTCTGGGCTGTTTTCCTATTGTCTCAGTATTGATAACTTACATATGCAATAGTAGTAAGCTACAGAAACAATGTGTAATAGAAGTAGACATGTATGTAAGTGAAACACTGATGGCTGATGCACAGCAATTTTTCTTCTAACCTTGCTTTCTAGAGGTGTTCTTGATACTTCATCTTGTCCTGGTGTTCTATTAAAATGTGTCGTTTTCCAGCCAGGGTGCCTTTGTGCCAAATAAAACAGCTGATGCTGAACACACCAGTCAGTGGTAACGGTATATCATTTACAAACTCGGTGGATCTATTAGTATTGCGATAAGATCAAATTAGGTCAGGCCGATGACCGCCCAGACACCCGCCTTATCGCTTGGCTCGCTTCAAGGAAAAAGAGAGAAGACGGTCGTGCGATAGAGCTGTCAATCAAACGTAGGCCTTGTTCACACGGGGACGCCTGAACCGTGATTCAGGTAAGTTGCATTTCTCACAGCTGGTCCACGTGCCACACGTTCCTTTCAAACCGTGCCCGATCACGTTTCGCCTGATCTACATTCACTGCTGTTTGATGCAATCACATCGACTTCAGACGCAAATCGCGATCCGGTGAAACCGGTTCGAAACTACCTCCCGAGGCGGTTTGGAATCAAGGTGCATTTAATGCGATTTGGATCGAAACCGCTTACAGCGTCTCCATGTGAACGGGGCCTAAGACAGGGGCACCTCTGTTTCCCACCAAATAACACCTCCAAACGTCAAACAAAGTATCCGGTAGTTGTAAACAAGAAACTGAGTCGGAATCGAGTCAGGAAACAGAACAACCTTACATGTAACAAACGTTCAGCGGCAAATTGTAGCCTCTACCAGTCTCAAAATTGGCTGGAAAGAGTAGGCATTGGCCAACTAGACAGATGACATGCTAGAGAGTTAGTCTAGCCTCTGCCAGGCTTCAGAAGCGGCTGTCCAGTGCGACTTTCTGCAGATCCGTGGTTGGCGTATTGGACCCTCTCTGGCCAATGGATACTGCCTGGCCAATTTGACACTGTCTTTTGCCACCCTAGGATCTGCTTGGAGATAACCCAGGTCGGAATGTGAGCGGGAGACTGAACCACGTTGATATACAGGCGGACCTGAGAGCATAATCACCCGCCACAGAGCCTAAAATAAGCACCGCTAATCCCCACTACAATTCCTGACAGGGACACGAATTTGTCGTCCTGTCATAGCCTCTACCAGGCTTCAGGAGGCACCACTAATCCCCACTACAACTCCTGACAGGGACACGAATTTGTCGTCCTGTCATAGCCTCTACCAGGCTTCAGGAGGCACCGCTAATCCCCACTACAATTCCTGACAGGGGCATGGATTTGTCGTCCTGTCATAGCCTCTAGCAGGCTTCAGGAGGCACTCCTAATCCCCACTACAATTCCTGACAGGAACCTGCTGGATTTGTCGGCTCGCCAGGCTCCTGTCAGCAAGTGGTGGTGAAAAGGAGACCGTTGGTTGCAAATATTTGCATAGCTTCGTTTTTGTGGACACCAAGATAGAGGAGGCGAAACTATTTGATTTTAAGTTTGCTTTTCAGTGAATCGTAACTCGATTGTTTTCGATTAGAGATCGACTTTCTCACCATATCAAATAACAATCTATTAGTGTGCATAGCTCGTAGAAAAGAAAATATCAAATCTCGACCATTTGAAACGTAATTTACGGCATTTTGAGAGGCAAATTTTGTCAGTTGACAAATCTTAGTAAAACCATGGTTGAACGGCATCTCTTTCCATATCTTTGATTTTACCCGTACGCAGGTTTTTGTCCGTCAAAGAAAACGGGGAAAATTGGGGAAAATTTTGTGTCCGCCATGTATGAGCAGCAAAATTCCATTAAATGGCAGAAAGGCGGACGCTGAGTAGAACACTGTACAGTAACCAGAGGGATGTATAAAGATGTTTCCGATAATGTCTTTATAAGTACTAAGGTATTTTAGCAGTCAATCTGCAGCAGTAGCCGCGGCATCTAGCGACTTAAACCCAAACTACAAATCAGCCTGTAAGAGGCTCAAAATGTCAGCGCCATTGAAAGTGTCGTTAAAGGCTCGACTCCCAATATCTGCTCGGAGACACTGTAAATTCCGGAACTTTCGGGTTAATTTATTCTCGCAGTGATGCCTTGAAAGAGTAGAAATTGGCCAAATACACGGATAGCATGCCAAGGGAGTTGGGAGGCAGCAGTTGACATACTTCTTATAATTAAGCGGATCAACATTAATACTAAGTACCCTGGCATGTTATCCGTCTATTTCTAGGATTTGTTTAATTTCTACTTTTTCAAGCCGCTTCGAAAGCCTGGTAGAGGCTATGGGTCCATCTGTGAAATCACTTTTAATTTTGTGTGTGTCCAGTTTTAGGATTTAGGACGCCTGATATCCAGGTCTGGGAGGTTGACGATCTCCTGACCCTAAAAGGCAGGTCATTATTCTGGTCAGTATTGTAAATAGCGACCATGAATGAATCTACGGCCATAAATCTACTACCTACCGCTGTTTTGGCGGGAAAGGGTTTGAAACAGACAAAGAAGTGCGGAGAATGGGCAAAAATCGGCGTAACCCGGGACAACATAAATCTTTAGCCTCCACAGCATGCCAAAAACCGGGGGTTTTGGGGGTCTTCATGGTCTTTGGGATCTTTTATGTGCTATTTTCTGATTGCATATAGACAACATAGCCGGCCTGGTTGAATTACCCCCGTTAGAACTGACTATAATCAGAAAAGAGCCGAATCAGAATCAGAAAACAGCCGAAGACCACCAAACCCCCAGTTCTATAAGCCTGCTACGGAGGCAAATAAATCTTGGTGTTTGCGGCGTTGTACGGAGAGGAGGGCTTTGTGATGTTAAGCCGGCGCGCGGTTTTACGAGCGGAGAGAAGAATGGACGAGATGTATTTACGAGCGGCTGTTTTGGTGGCGATGTGCAGTTCCCAGGGTACAGGATCTAGTCTACTACACAACCCGAATAACAAAGTCACGACAAGAGAGAAAGTTTCGAGTAAAACCTGGTACAAAAGTGTTTACGAGTAGTTCGCATTTTAGAATTGCACTGTGTCGTCTGAGCGAGACTTAAATGAGGACTTGAGCAGCTTGAACGGCGCACAGCACGAGAAAACCCACAGGAATACTCCTGGATAAAGCTACAATAGAAGTTGCAGAAAAAAACAACGATGGAAAATACAGTTAAACATCCCGAGATCGAACCACGTAGGTTTAACATACGTACATACATTGGTTCTTGTTGCACTGATGTCTTTCTACCTATTGGTATTCGTTTTTCAAACTGCATAAAATTATCAAATTATAACGGATCCGTACTGTTAAAAATTGAATTCCATTCAAGGATGGCTCTTTATTTTATGCGACGAGGTGGGCTTCAACAGGTAAATTCGAGCGTACAGTATATAATATGTACTATATATAGAATTAGATGGGACCTTGTTGCCCAATGTGACCGGAGGACTCCAGGTCTAGTTGTAGTGTGTGCGGTATAACATATACTTTGCAACATACCTTATGTGTCCTATGAAGCAGAGCCTAGCATTCTCGCCTGTTCTGTCATAGACGAACCTGTAGGGTAGATGGCAGATATCAATTACGATATTACCGTGGTCAATATTGACTGAAGAATGCCAAATACAACATATACGGTCACAGGAAATGAAATGGATTGGTAAGACCTAAAGCTTGCTCACCTTTTCACAATCCAGTCTTTAGATTTACTAGCTGATCATTAAGTTCTCTGCAGCATACACGGTAACTTAACTGTGTGTGCAGCCGATCCGTTGTACAGCAATGTCTTGTGTAACTTGCGAGTGAGCGCGCGCTAGCTAGCTGGTATCGGACCACACGTGCGTGTCACGCGGCAGGGTCTGTGCCCTATCACCGACTAGAAAAGGCGGAGGGTCCGGTCACCGGGAGCGGCTATTCTCCTAGCAGAGGTGTTGGCTTTGGCAAACTTGTTGGGGTGCAGTTCACACTAATTCCGCATATCGCGCATGGGAACCGCAAACTTTTCCAGCCTTGTAAAATACTTGTAGTTAGGGCTATGGGACATGTTTCGGTTTTGTACTTCTGTATTTTCTGACCATAATTCGAATAAATTTGAATTTACATAAGTGTAACCTGTCAAAGAAGTTGTGGTTGATATTATACAAGATACTAGTACAGTGTTGTCAACATGCATGTGCTATGTAATCTATGCAGTTTCGACATTCAAAATATAGTTGTTTACAATATGTGGGCAATTTCTCAATCTATATGAAAGCAAATTTACAATTTTACATCATGTACATATTTTCCTCAAAGCATCATTATCTGCAATCTCATTTACATAATATCATAAGAATGTCATGGCCCTCATGCATTACAAAGTACAATTTGTATAATATCTTCTAACAAAGTCTTTCTAGTTTTTAAAGTGAGAGAACTATTAGCATAAAACATCTTTTTTTTAATTTCCACTGTTTAGCATGGCTCCATTACTTGCAACTTGTACAACAAACACTACAAAAGTTGTCTCTATTTAAATTTCAGACACAAAAACACAATCTCACAATGATTTGCTGAAATAACATGAAATAACATAAGAATTGCACTTGAGAAGGAAGTATTGTTTTTGGTATGCCTGTGTGTGTGTGTGTGTGTGTGTGTGTGTGTGTGTGTGTGTGTTGTTGTGTTTCAGTACGTACACGCTTGTCATGAAATCGAGTCTGAAGATTCTTGCAGCAATAGAATCATGGGCACTTGAGATCTACAATCAAGCAAAATGGCTACAAGTGATTTAACCTCAATAAACCATTCATTTATTCATTTGAGATGTCAGGTTTTGGTAGATGACATTTCTCCACTCCTGCTCTTGTCATCTTCTACTGGAAGTCTTCTGTAGTCCCTTGACACAGTGTACCCAAGCCGTTAGACTGGAAAGGTTTCCAATCAAGGCATGGGTGTTATGGGGTCTTCTCTCTTACTGGGAACTCTTGTTCAATCCGGAACTGTGCCTGTCTAGTTCTCTGGAGACGTCAGGTTTGGGTAGATGACGCTTCTCCATTTTTGTCATCTTCTACTAGAAGTCTTCTGCAGTCCTTTGATGAAGTGTACCCGAGCTATCCCAGCATGCCCTGCAGACAGCAGCCATATATGGCAGCCAGGGTTGGGGTTCCAGGCAACCTGGAAATGATATAAACATTAATGAATAAGTGTTCTGGTCATGCAGACCCCCCTATGCTCTGCTCCCACTATTTTCCAACACTCCTATGGTCTGACACCCCTATACTAGTATTTTGACATGGGGCTAGGGTCCTTGGACCATAGGTTGAGGTGTTAGAACACAAGAGTGTAACCTGTGAGCACTTAACACGACTTTCCTCACTTCACTCAGGTGGAAATGAGTACCTAGCTTTAGCTAGGGACGTCCCTCGGATAGGACGTTAAATGGAGGTCCCGTGTTTGGGGAGAGCCACGCACGCTAAAGAACTCACCGCACATTTGGGTAAGTCCAATTTCTGTGTGTTGGATACTACAGGTTAAATATACGACTCATAATGACTTCCACCAACACAGATGAACTTTCAAGATATCTGACCTTGTGTACAGCCTCCACGTTTATCCTGTCAGGACGTGCATCCTTCATGGTGTCCAGCTTCCTCAGTCTCAGGAACTCTGGGTCTCCTCGGCTGTTATCAAAAGAGCTCTGAAACAACCGGAAATAATGTCAGCAGGTTGACGAATGGTTGAATAGCAAAGTTCTTCACAACCACTTGTTTTACAAGAGCCAACATTTTGATGACTGTTTGTCATCTTTTTCAGGTCTATAACAAGTTTGAAATAGTAATCTCCAATCTTTTGCAGGCTGCAATGACAATATCAAATTAGCCCATTAAACACCTAAAAACAAGTAAAAAGTAAGCAAACCTCTAGTTGAAGAGTAGCTTTCTATCCTCCTCTGAGGACTGTAGCTACATTGTAAGTGGTAGCATCACTATGATGCTACACCCATTATATCAATTAACAATTTAAGAAATCTATCAGTAACTATAATAGTTTGAAGTCTATAGTATAATACTTACCAGGTCAGTGTCCTTAAACACCAGTTCATATTTCCCAAGGAGGTCGGAATATTTCTTCAATCCTCTCTCCAGCGATTCCTTAGTTTCTTTCTCAACTTCTGCATCCAAGTCTTCAGGAGGGACTCCGTTATCTTGCGGCTTACTTTTGGGTTTCTGCTGCGAGGAGTTGTCAGAAACAGCAGTACAATTGCTGAGTGTTGCATCGTGGGAAATGTTTTCTGCTGCACCCTGTGACAAACCCAGAGGACTGTGGGATTGGTCGTTGGCAGTGTTGCTAGAAGCTTGTGAAGGTTTCCTTGTTGCATTTCCGGTTTGTCCTTCCGATTCACTCTCAGTTCTGCTGTACTCCTGGTGGTTTCCTACCAACGCTTCTGACTCCTGCTGGCCTTGCTTTTGGGTCCTAGCTTTGTCCTGATGAACTACAGATTCCAAGTTGGCAGAATTCTGTTTCTTCGTAATTTCATTTTCTTGTGGTTGAAGTGGTAAGGCACTGGGACACTTCTCCTGAGGTAGAGAGTCTTGGGAGGATTCCTGTTGTTCAGGATATGCTCCTGTTTCGTCTGACCCTAACTCACCACAGTCTGAGGTATTCTCACATCCATTCTGTACGCCTTTGAGATTCAAACTTCTGTTTTGAGCTCCATGATTGGCTGAATTATGCGAGAGAGCAGAGTTGTGATTGGTCGGGGCAGAACTTTTCTGGTCACTGATTGGTTCAATATGACTTGGTGCTTTTTCCTCCCTCTCTACAGTGACAGCTTGTTGGTGAGTGGTCCTACTCTGAGGCACATGGTTGGGGTCAGAGGTCTTAACAGGGTCATGACCCTTAGAGGGTCGGAGGTCAACAGTGTACACAGGCTGCAAGAGAAAGAAGAGAGTTCAGAAGAGCATAATACACCTTAATATTATATAGTGTGATCATTATCGGATTGATTCAAATGCTGAATGGCACACAATTTTTTTTTTAATCAGAAGAAAATGAATTGGAAAGACAGGGGATGGCTAGAACATTACTGATTCTACTCCATCACTATCCAGGATTTGATTATTCTGCTGCTGTTGTCCCTGCCACAGGGGTCGGCAGCAGTCAGCTAGTAGTACTGGTCTTCACACTGCACCTGATTATACAAACAAAACTTACAATTCTGAAGAAGGCTCTGTTGGTGTTTGGGTCCAGTAAGGGGCAGACGGTGGCAACCACCTCCCCGGCACAGTCTGCACTCGCTACGCAGTTCCGCCACGGGTTGTACGAAACACTCTGGGGGAAGGAAAACATTGCAAGACTATAAAGGTAAAAGGTAACATAATATTAACCTTCACATGGTTTAGCCTATACAAACTACTGCTCTGTTTATACTTACTCAAACACACACACACACACACGCGCGCACACACAAATACCTGTCAATACCTTGGTGCTGAACACTATCCACTCAAACTCCCCCTCAACACACACACACACACACACACACACACACACACACACACACACACACACACACACAAATATGTGGTGACCAGCCCCTCCAACTCTGTCCTGCAACAAATCAGACCTGCAACATTTCAAATCTAGTCGCACTAGTCAAAATTCTGGGCGCATGTGCGACCAAACCAGTCGCAGTTAAGAGCCCTGAATACATTTGTAGTTAATGTACCAGTATGAATAATCTCACCCATGTAGTTGCGCTGTGATGTGTGATAGGTAGTGTCTTGTTGTTATCGTCCTGGCCGTTAGCGAAGAAGAAATGCAGACTCCTCATGTTGGAGCGAGCGTAACAACTGCAGTCTACAGCTGCAAACACTCCTGTGAAATATAGTAGAAAAAGTCAGAGTCAACCTTCTTTGCATTGGCTTGGCACGTCAGACAAATTTGCACATGAAGTGTACCAGCTTTTACATCAGGGATTCAAGTTACTTAGTGATACATAAAATACAATGATTGCACAAAAAGTCATAATACAACAAAGTTTAAATTGAATTTGATTTTTACGATAAAAAGCCATATATGCATTGACAGGTTAAAATGTGACAAAATGTGTACTCATTGTGGAGTTCAATTCAAATGAAGGAAAGACAGACTCAAGGAAAGATTAAGTTTTTAGTAAAACATATTATGAATTCTCAGTTCCTGATTCCGTTGTTTGGTCACAACTTCCTTTGAAGTTTACATGCATATGGATTTGAAAAACAGACCTGGGAAGTGTAGTGGCCAGGCCAGTGTGCGTACAGCTGTCCACCTGATCTGCTGGATGGGAGAGACCGGCATCTGCAGGTCCCAGAACTGGGGGGAAACAATTGCAGTAGATACAATGTAAGGCCTGGAATTCTTTTTTTGTCCATGTACATCTGTACCTGCACCGGTACAGGTAACATTCTATGTGTATTACAGTACTTCCACCAGACAAATTTTACCACTCTGAATACTAGCCTGGGTGCCATTTCATTTGTAACAGGAGTCCTTTGCACTTGCTACAAAGGAGCCCATTACAAATTGGTTAGTGCTATGTTGTGCAATTTACCTGTCTAGATAAGAACAGTGTCTACTAGAGTAAATTTTCACTTTGTTTTGTTAAGGTACAAGAACACCAGATGTACATGTCTGGACCATTTTACTGGTATAGGTACAGGTATTAGTTACACAGCCCTGCTTAAATCAAACCCTTACCTTGATTTGTCTATCCAGACTGCCTGTAGCGATGAACCTGGAGTTAGTCTCGCTCCAGACGACAGACGTGACTGCCCAGTCATGAGCGGAGAACATGAGGTAGTTGTTTAGAACTCTGTTGTTAGGCACTGTGGGGGGAGCCAACCTGAGGAGGGGGGACTCGGTTTGTAGGTCCCACATACCAACTGTTCCTGGAATACAGACAAGACAAACATGAAATGGATTTTAAAAATCACAAATGACATTCTAGTTCCCCTGGAAGCGACCAATGCTAACAAGGCTAGACTCCAGACTACTTCTCTTCAGGCTAAAAGACTAAATAGTATACTTGAGATTAAGGTTTACCAGTCTTTTGGACAATTGTTGACCTGGTGGAGTATTTGGTCGTAGGGCTAAAACTCAGAGGTTTGGATCCTGCCATGTCACCAATTTTGTGCCCTTGGGAAAGGCTTGTAACATTCCTCCCTCCACACAGTTGTAAAATGGGTATCTGATTTTGGTTTTGGAGGTAAAATGCATTGAAAGGAGAAAGATAGGCTTCCATTCCAATACTGTGCTCTAAACAAACTGTCACTTTGGATGACAATCCTCTGCCCCTACAGCCTAAAAAAGGCTACCTTACCTTTATTGACTACGAAAATTGTCACACCCAAACTCACCATCATAAAACCCAGCAGCCAATCGACGGTGCCCTTCATCCGGTTGCCAGGCAACAGTGAAACACTGCCCGTGCTCATTGGCTGGCTGGTTGCCATGGAAACCGGACGTGTTGATGACCAGCTGCAACGCTGGCTCCACCAGGTACACGCGGTGCAAGGCATGGTGGGATACCCCCTGGACCTGCTCTTCTCTGGTTGGCTGCAGGGCTTCTGGATGAGGGATGCTGGGAGGACAAAATCAGGTTTGATTCTATTGATAATAACTTCATCAGGTTGGTAGTGCATATATATATATATATATGTATATATATTGGTATTTTCTTTTACATAACCAGTAGTATAAGAAAACCTGTTAACGTACGCTTTGATGTCTATCACAGTAGTATCAGATACCTTTCTCAGAGCTTCTGACTGGATTACTGCTTGTCGCTGCTACATTTAGCCATCTGGGATTGTGTTCTTGCTGCATAAGTGCCACTTACACGTACATACAAATGTAGGATACATACGTTTCTGGGCTAATATTTTCTCACTTTATTTGGATGACTACTCACCTGATGACTCTGACTCTGCCATCTGAGCTGGCCACAGCCAACAGGCCCAGTCTGGGCAGAGCTGCCGGGGGGTCTTGTTGGAGCGAAGGGTCCTGTTGTGGGAGGTCTGGGTCTCCTGAGAGGGGGTCTGTGTCTCCTCGGGAAGGGGGCTTCCATTCTGGAGGGTCCCAGGCTCCAGAGGGGCACCACTTCATGTCCCACACTGCACCAAACTCGTGGGCCAGTCCCAGGGACAGGTAAGGCACATCTGTGGCACTATGGGAGTACAAACACAGAGTATAATACATGTATGTAAAACAAATACAGGAAGTTGACAATTCAAACTCTACTATTGGATAAATTACAGACTAGATAACTTTCAGACATTTTGAGTGACACCCATCACTTTTCTTCAGTGTTACTAAAATAAACTACACTTACATAGGAGCAATTGGAAAAATAGCTGTACACCACCTACAATGTAGTCCTACAAGTGAATCATCCCTGTTCTTACCTGTACATGTTTTCCTGTACACCACCCTATACTACAAATGAACCATCCCTGATTCTCACCTGCTGTTCTCCAGATCCCCCAGGCACCACAACTGAATCATCCCCAGTTCTGAGTACACCTTGTCATATTCGTGTCTACCATCCATACTGCGATGACAACTGATGGCAGCATACTGCGTCGCGTGCGATTTTGCTGTAGGACACCATTCTGCAGCCCATACTGGCCCGCCCACGAAAAATGTAAAACTCCGCTCATGACGTGTTGACAGAGATTCAAACAAGCCGATGGTTTCCGCTTGTGGCTCTTGAGATTTTTTTCCGTGCCGAATTGTGATGGGTAAGGAGTGGGTTGTCTGAGGGATGTACTGTTGTATTGCGTCTCCCGTGAGTTGAGTGAACTGGTCTTTTCGTGGTCTCAAGTTGGGGAAAACTTCCTTGCTGTGATTCTGCTTCTTCCTGTGGATAAATCAGATGGCATAGCTTATTTCATCAACTTGGTGGTAACTGTTGGCAGTTAGTTATTGAGGAAATGTTCATAAATGATCACAAAGCATCTAGGGTGGCCCAGCTAACCAGTAAAGTCAAATTCTTAGGCTATATTTAATTTAGTGTTCTGGCCAGCATTCATCTTTCTGAATGTACTGCGCCTGTGTGAAACCTGTCATGTATTGTGCATAGCACTTTGGCAGAATGTTTTGTTTAAGGCTATATTCACACATTTAAGGATGACATCCTGTCTATAGCTTTTACTTGTTGTGACAGAAAAGATACATGTATCATCTACAATGGGAAAAATTCTGATGCAACGTTCTGCCGATATGCTCCATCCAGCCCATACATACCATGAGTCTGTCCATCCCTGTGCTTGTGTCAGTGGTTGGTATTTGGCACGGCTTTTGGACTTGTATTTATATGGAGTTCTGGGCCCGTGTCCACTGTCATCTTCATCTGTAGCATGATGGAAAAAAACAAGATGATTATGCTGTTGGTGAAACTTGTTTCCTAAGAACTATCATATCATAGAGTGGAACTCATACAGTAGGGGCATCATAATTAGATAGATTTAAACAATGCTTAGACAAGAGTTAAACGTACAAACTTTAGGCTAGGTGTAACAGGCCATTCGGTGTACAATAGCCAGCTGTCACCATGCCACATGCCTGGAAAACTGTTATCTTATGCAGAAGGCTATACAGAGGCCTAAAATGTAATTTCGTTTTGAAATTAGGACAGTTCTACAAACAGGGTCCCTTAGCTACCTTCTTCCATGTCATCACTGAGTGAGTCCTCACTGCTGGAATCCTGGTTTGGTACAGAGTACTCATCATCAGACCCGCTGTCCTGGTGCCTGCTGACTGCGTCGTTGTGGATCTTCCTGATGTGGTACTCTACTCCTGACGCTGTCCGAAACTCACGCGTACAGTTCAGGCACTTAAAGGTACCTCCGATGCCTTCTGGTCTCTGAAAATGTCAACAAATGTCTTCACTGTGGGTTATCCTTGCATAAAATCAGATGTCCTTATAGTTTTGGAAACCGTGACCATAGCAAACTGTAATTTTCACACAAGAAATTACATTTACCCCCGATTTTCGACTGTACAACTCCACTCTTTGTCATTAGAGGAATGAGCAATCCACTGCTTCTGTGACATCATGTTATGTAGATGACACACGATTCGGTAAGCAGTGGATCATAGGTTGCAGAAAGTCTATGGCGCCCCGGTCTTTGTTGAGGGACAGATAGTTGAAATGCCCTGACATGATGTAAATGGCCTCTTTAATACCTTGTGACATCACAGAAGCGGTGGATTGCTCATTCCTTGACAAAGACAGGAGTTCTACAGTTGAAAAGTCTCTTGTGATGGAAAGTACTGTAATTGTTTAAACTTGCTTCATAATGACTTCCACTAACACAGAACACACAATGTCCAAGACAAGAATGTGCTTACCTGTTCACACTGAGATATATGTCCCTTCAGTCCGATCAGACTGCAGTAGGATTTGGTGCAGCCTTCATAAGGACACGCAATACTGCCAACATCCTACACAACAAAAAAAGACTTTATTCAAGAATTCAAAAACAATACAACAATACAAATCATTTAACATCGTGACATACATGTAGTATAAGAACGAATATGCAAGGACCAATATTGGTCATGACTATTGTGTTATGTACTGTCATCTTCCTTGAGTACTAGTGCCTTATTTGAGAAAAATTGAAAGATGTAAAGTGCTATGCATGACAAGTATTGCAAAGGTACAGTACATTCCACTGATGTTACCTGGACGTCACAGATCCACTGATTGGTTCGTCAATATCATGTGATCACACTACAACTATCTGATTGGTTCTTTATCACGTGATCATGCCACATGACGTACCTTAATGTCCCTGGTCCACTGTTGTGTCTGCTCAGGTGTGATGTCCAGTTTGGGAGTAGAGTACAGGTGCTTCACACTGATCTCTTTCTGTCGCTGCTTCGTCTCTTTTACCTCTCCCTCAATCACCAACTCTTGCAGATGCTGAAGGGCTCTAGAGATGACATGGTGGAACAACAGTGGATTTGAACAGCCTGGATTTGAACTCAAGACGTCTTGGTCTAGAGTCCTGGTCATTAGTACACTTTGCACACCAATGCCATGTACATGTACCATATCTGTGTAAGATGCCCTACATGGCTCTAGCAATTTAAATCTTTTTCTAATAGTCAAAATATGAGCAATCCCAGCCAGCAAGAGGTAGGCAAAACCAGTTGGGTGATCTGTCTACCAAAAATTTGCATATGTCTTTAAATAATTTGCATGTACATTATGATCATGTAAAGAAAAACAGTACAGGGATTGCTTGTATGGCCTGTAGAAAAAAAGGCTAGAGGTCAGCAGAGGTCAAGAGATAACAGAAAAGAGGTCAGCAGAGGTCAGAGGTAACACCTAAAAGAGGTTAGCAGAGGCCAGAGGTCAGAGGTGTACAGGAAAGAGGTCAGCAGAGGTTAGAGGTAAAAGCAAAGATGTCTGCAGAGGTCAGAGGTAACAAGAAAGAGGTCAACAGAAGTTAAAGGTAATGGTAAAAGGTCAGCAGATGTCAGAGGTAACAGGAAAGACCTACTTGGTTGCGGCTTGTCGTTTTGACCTCCCAGGTGTCTCCGCACCTTTCCCAGAATCCCCTGCAGGGCTGTCCGTTCCCTCGGCAGCGGTCTCAGGTTCCGGGCTGGGAGCGTGGATGGAGCGCACGTGCAGCCGCAGTCCCACAATGCTGCGGTAGATCTTGTCACATTGGTCACATGGGAAGGTCTCTCGCTCTTCTGACGACTTCCCACAGCGCTGGACGTGGTACTCATACCCATGGAGGGTGGTATAGCTGGAGGAACAACCCTGGAGTACAAAAATGTTACAGCTAAGATGTCAAAACTCTTTTTGAGCAATTTCTTATTTTATAGATCTCTCTCTGTCCAGGTTAACGTCTTTTTTCCCCTCCAAAACTGGGGGTTACACGTTCATATGGTGAATTTTTTTTACCTCATTCCTAGATCTAACAGCTTTCCCAGATGTCCCTCTTACCTCATTCTTGCACTGTAATTTTCCCACCTTCTTCAGAATGTATTTTAGTCTGGTTTTCTCCTGTGAGAAAAAAGATAAAGCTGCATTATGTAATATTAGGATGATGCAAAAAACATTTGTGGAAGTATTGACATAATATATCACAGTACAATGTATCACCTCTTCAAAGATATCAAACCCAAGACCAGACTGTAGGACATTAATGTTGATATGAAGAGCTAACTTACATCAACTTGACTAACATAACATTATTTATCTTATAACTGTTCATTATTGTTTCCTGCCCTGTTACATGTAATATTTTTATTTGTTCAATTTGTGTAGATGTGCATGCTATCAGCATACTTACTGCCTAGTGCACTCCTGGTATTGTCGTGCCACAATTTTGAATAAATAAAAACTTACATCCATTCCGCTATCCTGACCAGGAGAGGCAGTGTGAACCGTCATGAGATGGTACTTCAGACCTGAGAGAGTGCCAAATCTGGCTTCACACTGGGTACAGCCGTGACCTGTCTAAAAAAAATTAGGAGAAATCACAGATTAAAGGTTTTTGAAAAGCATCTTGCCCATCTTAGTTGTTATATACCTGTAGTTCAGTACCAAGGCTAGTACCAAGGGCCTCAATAGGGCTGGACTACTATAGATAGCATAGTTCAGTGCCAAGGTTCAGTACCAAGGCTAGTACTGAAACTGGTCACTGTACTGTAGTATACATGGCTGGTATGTACCTGTAGTTCAGTACCAAGGCTAGTACTAACGACTTCTGTATGACAGCTTAGTATAGCATGGCTTGGGGGACTGTACAAAATGTAGGTGGCATGTACCTGTAGTAATCAGTTTTGGGGACTTCAGTAGTACTGGTTACTATACCATGGGGGACTGTAGTATGTACCTGTAGTTCAGTACCAAGGCTAGTACTCAAATAGGACTCAAGCCTCAGTGGTACTGGTTACCAGTATAGCATGGGGGGACTGTAGTTCAGTACCAAATTACAGCACATAGATTTAGGAGAGGGCCAAGAAGGGATCCTTGTGGAACTAATGTTATATAACGCAGACCCCCTGACTTACCTTGCCATCGCACTTGTTGAAGTGGTTCCACATTCCTGACTCAGTTTTCCTGCTACAACCACACTTCGGACAGACACAGCAACCCTTCTCTTCTATTTCCTGTCTCCATGTGTTCTGTGAGTGTCAACATATTCAGATCAACACTTATAAAAGAATTGACTTATACCAGATGTATCGGAATCTATCTGTGATCTTTCAACCTGCCAAGAACTAAGAAAACACTGACTTAAGAAGTCTAATATATTCCAAATAGGGCTGCGGACCGGTACACTGTACCGGTCCAATACCGTAAAAATCGTTTCGGTACAGGTCCAAAATACCGGATCATGAAGTAACGAGTATATACCGAAATAGCTAGTTTACACCATGTATATGACTAAAGATAGGTAAATCCTACCACAAAGACGAAAAATTAGCACTGGAAAAGACGTAAACACCGTCGATTGATTTGAGATCCTCAGTCTCACGAGACATCGCGAGAGTGTGGCTGATCCAGGGTTGTGATTGGAAGATACTGACAAGTTGTCAACACTTTATTATTGTTTGTGTCATGATTGAAAAAGTGAAGAACACGTGTTAATTTGTCAAATTGTTCAGGTATAGGTACAGGTCCGGACCTGTACCTAAACCTCTGTACCGGTACCTGTACCTGTACCTGATGTTGCGTTTAGGTACGCAGCCCTAATTCCAAACTACTTATAGAAAATATAACAAGACATGTCAGTGCCATTCTAACTAAATAACAATATATTATTGTAATTTGTTAGATGATGAAATTTTCACACAGGGATATGCATTCAATGTTTCCTTTTTTCAACAAATACAGTACTGTACATGTACATTTGTACCAATAACATCCTTCCTATCTTGTCCTACCTTCTGTGAGTCCTCTTCCTTATTTGAATCCTCCGTATCATCAGTTGATACTTTAGGAACTTTCCTCTGGTACTGCCTGCTTGTTTTTGGAGTGGCTCCTTCTTCGTGTGACTTTTCTGCATCGCTATCATCCGATCCATTTCTGCCTCTTTTCTTCCCTCGTTCCTCTGCCTCCAAAGTCTTCTTGTTCCTACTTCCTGGTGGTCTACCTCTTCTTCTTCTTATTGGAACAGTTTTGTCTCTTTCGTCTGTCTCTTCTTTCTCCCCTTCTTTCTCTCCATCCATGTTTAACTTTCCATCTTGTTCATTTGCTTTGGATTTTTCTTGTTTTGTGTCTGGTGTACTTTCCATTTCGGTACTTTCTTTATCATCATCATCATCACTTTCACTGCTGTAGCGAGTCCGTTTTCTCAATCTACCTCTCCTTGACCTCAGAGGTGTTCTTGTATCCGAACTCCTGGTTACTTTGGGAGAAACTTTGGAAAAAGAGTTTTCTGGGTTTTCCTCATCCAAGAGTGGTGACCCCCGACTCCTACGGGTCATAGGTTGACCCCTACCCCTGGGTCGTCGACCTCGGGTGCCCCGACCTCTTGGGGATGGTGTCACCTCGCCAGATGATGTCATATCCTGTTTAGCAGCATCCCCTGATGATGTCACTTCCTGTGCTGCAGGAATTGCACTTGTTGACTTGTCTGCCATCTAAGAAATATTTTCCACTGTGCTGAAACAAGACATAGAGGAATAAATTATACTTGTACACTACTAAGACATATATTCCACTGTGTTAAAAAAAAACAGTGAAATAAATTTATATTTATATTACTTATATTACAAGGTCATACTACATATACATTGACCATTGATGTTTATTTAGTGGTAAGAAAAACTATAAGGTGTGAGAAAATTGAGGACCGTGAAAAAATGATTTTCTGTGGGAATCGAACCCTCAACCTTACGACGGCGACATACACTGTAATAGTACGCAAGCGCATATACAGTACAGTAGGCTTATAAAACTCTGCATCAACGAAAGTTTGGTAGGATATCATATAGAACCGCATGTAGGACAAAAAGACTTTTATAAAAACTCGTACAATTAGTGCTTAAAACATGTAAAATTGCCTATTATTACTGGCATAAACTGAAGTGGGATAAATTTAGCAACCGACCTCCTTTTGCAAATCATCAAAAAACATCTACAATCGGATACAGGAAACCAGAAGTCACAAAAACATTTAATCTATTTCCTATAATTGTGTTAAGATGATGTAAAAATGTTAATACGAGCAGGAAGCTTCGAGAAGTGTGTAAAATTGGACAGTGTGTCGCTACCTGGATTCGAACCCGAACCTCTAGCTCAGCCTCGGCGGAAAATGGCGGACTCTCGCGACTCCTCGGGTCTTCTCGCGAGAGCTGAGGTTCTGAAGGGTCAAAGGTGAAAACGCTTAGCACTCTGAGGGTCAAAGGTCAACAGTTCTCGCTTTCTTGGCTCTAAAAATTCAGGTGAGGTTTTTGTCACTTTTCTTGCATTTGTATTGACTTCACCATGATTTTCACCGTTTCTATACTTTTCTACGTAATTTTTCTTTCCGTGGATCACCCAGCCTAGCAAGTCAGTAGTATATTTTAGTGAATTTGACGCGACAAATGTAGTAGAACAATGTGTGTCAGTGGCCCCCTCCCCCATCTCAAAACAAGTACGATAGACCAAGGATAGTTTGCATGGAGACTAGAGCTGTTTCGGGCGCGTCGGCATTCTAGTCCTAGTTTGGACACCCCTTCAAATCAACTCACTGTGGTCTCGAGATGATTTGGAAGAGTCTTGTCCTGGTAGCAAGAAATAGAACAGCTAACCATAAACCCATATGCATGCATATAAAGTTACACACAGGGCTCCAAATTAACTTTTTGACCTAGGAGCACTGTGCTCCTAACCATAAAAAGTTAGGAGCACAGGCTAAAATCTAGGCGCACCAACAAAAAATATTGTATTGCAAAGGTGTTAATATATTAAAAACTAAGCTAGATCATATTTCCTTAAAAAAAAATTCTATCAGCATCCTTAATTTTGAAAAAATTGGGCATAGGTTCCCCGGATGACCCCTAATCGGGGGCCAACGGTGCTTCCACAAGTTCAACAAGTGAAAAATACATGATACAAAATGTACATGTATTTACTACCTGGAACTTGGAGCAATTATTCCCAAAGGTGTACCTGACATTGATATATTAAAAACTAAACCAAATCCTATTTCCCAAACAAATCACATATTGACACAGCTGAACAAATAAAAATGTGATCATGTCTATAAACTCCACTCAAAAACAATTTTTGAGAGACACTCGGGTCGCGATACTAAGCATGATAATCTTTAATATCTCATCTGATTCTCCCAATGTATTACTATTAGGGACTTCACAATCACAGCATCCAACCGCACTAACACAAGAAACCAATAAATTCGGAAAATTTCTCAATAATGTTTGAAAATTAACCTTATAAAAATATAAGTGAATTTTATTTCAGTTGTAGCCGAAAATAAATGTTTTCATGCGTTTAAAGTTTCGTTTTAGCACCTTGTAGTATGTACTTAGTACATGTATCTTGTACATTTGGATGCTATCTTGACCTTTGACCACTGTTGTTGTGAAACACCGTCGGCCATTTTGTCAGTCTCGCCGTAGATTTTCGAGCCGTTTTTTCGAGCAAATTTCAACGGTTTTAAACATTTTACGGCCTCAAAACTCATATAACGAGGAAAGCAAGTTGTAGTTGTTATTTTCATGCGTAACATTTCTTCTGGGGATGGATTATTTTTCCGCCGAGCTGCCGAAAACTAGCGTCATGCCGCGACCATGCGGTCGGGTGCGGGCGGCCGGAGGGAGTATCGGTGAGCTTTCACGATGTAAACAAAGACATTCGGAGTTGTTCACATGAAAATTTTGCTGTGAAACGCCAGTGGGGTGTCAGATTTTCTACCAATGACAGCGTTTTCTTTGCGGCGTCATGGCGAGATCGACAATTCATCGTCAATTCACAAGATTGTGCCGACAATGGAATGAATAGGCTAAAATTTTTATTGGCGCACCGTGCGACCGTGATTTCAAATGTAGTCGCACCGTCAAAATTTTGGGCGCATATGCGACCAAATCAGTCGCAGTCACGAGCCCTGTACACAGTACACACACAATTTACTATGCTGTAAAATTATATATCTGCCAGGGATTTAAAAGCTCAACTGACCCCCAGATAAACGTAAACTGATTAAAGAGTGACTTACTTGGTATAATGCAGTGTCTTATAATTACTCTTAGTCAAGCCCCCTGCACCATGTGAACAGTATTGCAATAAGTAGCAGACTGAGCCCTGATAGTTTACAGTAGCCAAATTTGTATTGAGTGATTTTATAACTAGCTTCTTCCCTCTAACAGTAAAACATGAACCCAAAGGACCGTCTGCCAGCCCCCCACCCCCAGGCAGCCTTCAGTGGTACTGCAGGGAAGGAGGTGAACACTGCATCTGAATCCTAAGCTGATACCAGTAGCCAAATATTATATTGAGTGATTTTATAACTAGCTTCTTCCCTCTAACAGTAAAACATGAACCCAAAGGACCGACTGCCGGCCCCCCACCCCCAGGCAGCCTTCAGTGGTACTGCAGGGAAGGAGGTGAACACTGCATCTAAGCCCTGCTATAGCTTATACTAGTAGCCAAACTTATATTTCATAACTAACTTCTTCCCTGTAACAGTAAAACATGAACCCAAAGGACCGACTGCCGGCCCCCCACCCCCAGGCAGCCTTCAGTGGTACTGCAGGGAAGGAGGTGAACACTGCTTCGCTCTGTCGCATCGGACAGGAGACCGTACAAGAGATCGTCTCCAAGACTCAGGAAGTCTTCCAACTCCTCAAGACATGGCAGGTGAGACGTTTGTTCTTTCTTTGTATTGCATATTCTGTAAACAATGTAACATCAGATTATCATGAAAGTTCATCTGTGTTGGTAGTAATCATAGTAAAACGTTAAACTTTATTCCAACACACAATTTACAGAGATCAAATTTTCAACAACCACTGTTGTAAACCGTAATTCTCGCGAGATCACGTTGTCAGTGATTGGTCATTAATTATCCTGATGAAGGCGACAGTGGTCGCTAAAAATTTGATCTCTGTAAATTATGTGTTGGAATAAAGTTTAACGTTTTACTAACATTACATCAGTTTTGTATTGTATTTGCCCTTGCATTCTGCCTACCTGCCTAAGTGCCCAGGCTAAGTGCCTTGCATTCTATCAAGGAGCATATAGGCTATAAGCTATATGGGCTATAAGCTCCTTGATTCTATAGAATCTATTGGTATGGTTTGCAACCTACAGGCTGGCTATCTCTGACGCAAAATCAGAACCAGCCACACATGTATGTAGCATGCAAGTATACTTAGTGCTACTATGGCACAGCTGTCAATACATACATTTTTTGTGCTACCTATTGGGACCAAGCAATAACTTAGTAGACGATAGTAGTCCTATTCCAGCACTCTTTTTAGTGGAATTAAGTTGTGTGTTTGCTGTTTCAGCTTCCAAATGGAGTCAATCCAAACCTCCAAGTCCACCAGGAGAGACAAACTAAACTACAGGATCTGGTCAGACAGATGGAGGTAAGACAGAAACCAGTAATTCATATGATGTAATGTTATAAATGTTCATATGAGTATGATGAGCTTCTTCACAGCTTGAACTGTGCATGTAACTGTGGAACTTTTTGACACCTAGTACAGTAGAGATACTGATATTGCTGACGATGTTGATTCTTTGCAGGTTTTGTTCAGAAAGCTGCGGTTAATCTATGAGAAATGCCATGAAAGTACAGCAGGACTACAGCACTCCAACATAGAGGTGAGTCTGTCTGTGTGTGTGTCCTTCTGTTTCAGCATGTCTGGTGCCTAAGCATGCATCTACATGAATGTCTGTGTGCATCTGTGTGATAGTGTGTGTCATTCATTTGGGATTGGATGAAAAAGATACAGTACAAAAAGAAAGCCTGATGAAAACACACCAAAAAGCAGCGGAAGCTTAAACCTCCACTTGGAGATTAGATTTCATCAGTCCATTGATGACAGATTCTCTTGTCCAGTTGAGCTCTATGTTCTGGAAGAAATGTTACAATGTATATTTAATATGCTTTAATATGCCATAAGAATTACTGACATGTACAATGGAAAAACTGTAAATACCTACAAGTTATACAGTAGTATAAAACGACCACATTGGACAAATTGTAAATACTTACACAATTCAGACGTAACTCTGCAAAGTGGTATCGCAATAAAGTTTCTAATTTTGACTTACATGCCCACACCTTGTCCCCCTGTACAGGCACTGGTACCATATGTGGAACACCTGGAGGGGAAACATGACGACTCAGAGAGTGACTCTGTCAGATATGTAAATGAGGAGAGAAAAGAGGTGGTGGAGGTCAGTTGGAAAATTGAAAATTGTCTACATAACCAGTGGTATTAAAGATCATTTGAAATCATCATTTAATCCACTAATTCTAATTTTAACATAGAACAATAAACATTATGCATTATTGTGCGTAGCAAATACCTTTGCATACATGTATATGTGACAGGAGTCTACATCTGTTGCTATAAAATTGGAACATGATGTAACCAAACACCAGTTACCATGGTGACAGCCATCTGGTTCAGGTCATTGACCTTACTTGTTTGTTTGGAGAGGAAGAGGAAACAGAGCAAAAACAATGTTTTTCTTCGGTAAACAAAACTAATACACTGTCAAAAAATCATGTGTTATAGTGAAAACTTACCTCTTAGTTTACTATGTTGTTGTTCCTGTTTTGTTTGCAGAAAGTCCAGCAGAATTTAACCAATTCTACTAAAGCTACTATTAATATACAGTAGGCAGCAGGCCTAAGTACAATGTAAGTAAGTACTAGTAACACTGTCAAAAAATTATGTTTTGAAAATAAGTGAAAACTTACCTCTATGTTTACTATGTTGCTGTTTTGTTCACAGAAAGTCCAGCAGAAGAACCAACAGTTGAAGATCCTGATGGACCAGCTGAGGGAGCTGATCTGGGATGTCAACGCCATGATGGTGGCCAACAGTGCAAAAGCTGCAGTCAGATAGAACTCAATAACAGTTTAACAGCTACAATGTAGCATAGTTTGAGTGTAAGGACCTAATAAACCTCTACCAGGCTTCAGAAGCAGATGGAATGAGTGGAAATTGTAGCCTGGGTGCCATTCATTTTGTAACAGTTTTCTGAATAACACGACTTTTTCTACACATCAAAGTGTCCTATTCAGGCAACATTTAGGAACACATTCTATAGCAGCAACACCTGTGCTGTTAGATAGAACTGACTCAAGCGTTCAGCATGTTGGCAGAACGTACTGCACCTGTGTGAAACCCGTAATGTATTGTGCATAGCACTTCAGCAGAACATCTCATATAAGGTCGTATTTGTGTATTTATGACATTCCGTCTATACATTGTAGTTTTCAGTTGTTGTGTTAGAAAAGACATTGTCTGTAATATAACAGGCATACCCATATACTAAGTATGTAGTGTATTTTTTCACAAATCTGAATGTCAAAAAACATTTGTCTCAATCACAAAAGATTGTACTACTACATAGTCTGAAATAACTTATTAATTTTGTTACTCCATTGAATAAACTTATTCAACAAACATGTTTTTGACTCAATTATTATATTGAAAACATGGCAATGGAAGAGAACTATTGTAGTTAAATCTAATAATACAATGCAGATCTCAACCTAATCACATATGCTAAATGCAAAACTATCTCTATACAAATTTGAGAACTATCCAGATTTAGTGCATACTTTATAATAATGCAAAAGAATGGGTCTTTGCAAAAAGGGATAAAATACATGATACAGCAACAATATCAATATGATCAAGTTGAGCAATCATTATTAATACAAAAATGAATTAAGCAGGAATGAAATGGCACAGTTAATATATGTTGGTTAAAGAGCTTACAAACATATGTAGGTGACAGTATACATTGTACATGTACTTAGTATGCAGTATATCCTTTATAGTGTGTTGGTCCTACAATGTTTGGTATCAACAAAAAGCAGAAAATTCAATGTTTGTCTTGCTATTAGTATTACAACAGAATGTTACATTAAATGCTGTAATAATGTTCATTCTTAATCACAACTGCTGATACTGTGTAGCTAAGTGGAAAACTACATCTTGTACTTGACTCTGAATTATCTTAGAATTATTTTACAATGATAATTCCAAAAACACCATTGTAAAGTGTAATAATTAAAAAAGAAACTAAAACTACATGTAGTTGCATTGATATGTTAATTAAGCACAGTATTATAGGTTACACTGATCAGATGTTGGCCCATTCTTTTCCATGGCAAGAAAACTTTGTGTGAAATTTTTTTTTCCTTCTAAAAATGTGACCACAAACACAGCACCATTAGTATATTACATAGAATTCGAATGCATACCATGTAGTTTTGAGCATTCAAAATATGCCTGGCATGTTGACTTCATGACTCCTATAATTGTAACATTTGGAGCTACATGTATCATAGGATGTCTAGGCCTGTTTTTTTCTTGTTTTTTTTGTTATATCGCTTCATATTTTTTCTGGAAAATACGAGAACCAACAAATTAAATTGGTGTGGCCCTACAGATACAGACGATACAATTACAAACACTCATATAAATTGTTCACTGTATCTCGGAAATGCCTCTAGGGCGATGCCTTTTTGTCAATTTAAAGCATCCTAACGTTTGACACAAGGCACTACAACCTCTAAACAAGAGTTATATTTTTACATTATAACAAATTTTCTTGCATTTTCTGTGCTGTAACACTAAGGACAAAGTACTACTAGAAGATCAAATGGATTAGACAAATGCTAAAATAGAAAAAAGATTAGAAAAGTTGCTCTTAATTTTTCTTCTAAATCATGAAGTTTCTTTCACAACTACCAACAACAGTCTCAGTGTCCACCAATCAACTGTCATGTAACATAACCACTACCTTATTAGGGAAGATGACGATGTTGACCAATCAGCCGTCTTGTTACATAACCACTACCTTGAAGGACGATGTTGACCAATCAGCATTCTTGAGATATGTGACTCCTAAACACTGTGTTTTTCTTTTAATTACATGGAATTTTGACACAATAAAGTAAAGATAATGTACAAAATATTGACAAATCTTTCAAATGGCACCCACTACAATACGGAGTATATATTTGCATTAAGTAGTAATATACATTGTGCAAATGTGGCTCTAGTATGTATGATGCAAAACTAACCAATCAAAGGAGCTGAAACATAAGTCCTAAGGACACAATCTTATTGCCATTACACAATTTCATAGGAAGCATAAAATTAGTAAAATGTTTGGCTTTTAACAAGTATCAACTTCAAGTTTCTAAAAATTGAAATAAATTGCATCAGAATTAGTTAACATAATTAAACATGACATCACACAGAAAAGGATAAAGACTTCCAAGGAAATCAGTTTTGATTATACATCTTACTGGCCAATGAAAGTAGACGACACAAATTGAGAGCAGCCAATCACAGCTCTTAACACATGTATACTCTACTGAGGGTGAAAGGTAATAGAAAAGGCAGTTAGAATTCTTCCATTCGATTTTACAAAATTCCAGATCAATATACACCAGTCATGATTTTATAAATGCTTTGAAGACATGTATCAATTCTTTTGTTGTTGTTTCTTTTTTTTCTATCAAAAAATTCCCGGTGCATATTGCCTTTTTGGTAGCTTTTTTTTTATTGTGCAAAAAGTGTTCTCGTTGCCTCCCTTGCAACTTCTTTTGTTGGAATTTACAAAAATTGGAAGATAAGTTCATTTTTCATGATGGTATCACAGGTGTTTAAAGTTAAGACTTTTGGCCCAACACAAAATTCTCTCACCTAGAGCTTTCGACCAGTCACTCTAATCTTCCTCAGTAGACTGGAGGTAAAAGAGGCTATATACATCAGGGCCCATCACCCTTCACTTAATCGCGACGGGGGCCGACATCGTCTACCAGATACCTTTGACCCAGTGTTGACGTCACACTTCAAAGAAGCCACGTGACAAGCCTCACTGGGTCAGTCTACTGAGGAAGACCAGAGTGACTGGTCGAAAGCTCTAGGTGAGAGAATTTTTTGTGTTGGACAAAAAGTGTTAACTTTAAACATGTAACTACCAACACAGATGAACTCTCGTGATGACATCACAGGTCATCATCTCCGATGTAGGAATCTTCGAACACGTCGTTTTCGACAAGTGCTGCCGGCCCGCGTGTGCTCCGGCCGGTCGATTTCAGCGTCACAGACGAGAACTTGTCCTGTGGAGAAAGCACAAAACAATTAGGTTTGGAATATGTAACAATACAAACATAACTAAACAAATATAAGTGGAATTTGATTCAAATTCTATTGTCAAAACAATTCAACTATGGAGTGTAAGAAATACTGATGGTATATACATGACATTGTGTGTGTGTGTGTGTGTGCGTAATAATAAAAAAAAACGTATGCTGGTGTTTCAAAGTCTAAGCAAAGATATCCACTGGGAACGCACTGTGTATGCATTGCTGATTTACAAGTTTTGAAAAAATACATGAAAACCTAGAAAACTATTGCCAATTAAGAATTTTTTTCTAAATCCACAAAGATAAAAAAGATTATTCACAAACATTACAAAGACTGTAACTACAGACAAATGCACATTCATGAATAAACAAAGCCTCAAACAAACAAACAAACAATCATGTCCTCTTACTGATATCCTGCGTACGGAGTCCTTTGCCCTCTGCGCGGCGCTGACGTTCTCGTCTCCGTTGGTGTCAGGTGTCCCGAGCTGCCCCGGGGCAGAGATGGACTTGGGCAGAGCTGTCTTCCCGTCCTTCCTCAGGAACTGTCTGCTCTGACTGCGCTTCACTCGGTCCTGCGGCTAGGTTTACAAAAAATAAAAAATAAACAAGAGATAATTTCAACCTGTAGCATACTATGGTATTTGTGGGAGTCTCCCATAGCTGTCTAAGAAGCTAATAGGATCCTGCGGCTGGTGTAAAAAAAAAAGAGCATTTTAAACCTTCTAGTACATGTATATTCTTGGACAATGCAATGTCCAGTGGCTGTGCTAACATTCAACATGTTATTTTGTCCATCATGTCCATTTTGTTTGTCAGCGAAAATCCATCAAATGATGAAATGACTCAGATGCTGGCTAGAACACTGACTAGAATGTATGTTAGGGTTAATTTGGTTAAGTCCTAATTTTCTTATGTGTTGAATGATAAAGTTTAGTCATTCGTCATATATGTTAGCTGTTAGAGTACTAACTTGTGTATTGCTGCCTACCCTTTTAATCCTGCCTCCTTGTTTCTTCATGATGAGTTCATCTACCATCCCCTGTAGGCACATGCTGATCAGGATAGCTTGGTCAGATTCGATAGTGATCCATTGCAGCTTGTCCTTTGCCACCAGGTACTCGAACGCCACCTCCAGCTTGGGTTTCAGGTCCTTACTGTCTCCGTGGGCATTCGCACCATTGGTTTCTGGGATCTGTTCCAACAACAAAAAAAAAAAAACACATTTCATTACAATTTCAGACTACTGGGAATTATACAATCCTTGGGTTTCTGAATTCCCCCACATACCAACCTCTGCTAGCTTACAGCCAAATTTTGAGATTTTTTACATACTCTTATTCTGCCTGTCAATCTTCTCCACCCATGTTCTGTCAACCTAATTTGTCCAGACAAACAGGTAAACTAACCTACAGCTCAGCCACCCAAAACAATGCTTCTGTACCCAGAACTGTAAAGTCAATTTCATAAATGGCAAGGTGTTTTGAACCAATTTTGCTGTTCAAACTATTTTTTCATACAGTAGTGATACATTGGAAGTGCATATCTGCAACATGAATTTGTGTTTGAGAGGCCACATTTGCAAAACCATTGCAAAAATATTTTAAGATGGTATGTTACTTTCATCCAACCCCAGTAATCATTAAGTTATAAGGAGTTGGTCTCCCACCAAAAAAAAACATAAAGGTCTCCCACCTGCGTTGTTATCCTCCAACACCTCATCCGTGTGACCTTGAAGATGCCCTCCTTGACCTGGTTGTTTGCGACCTTGATGCGGAAGTTGAGCTCGCGGTTTCCGGCGCTCACGATGACGGGACAGTTCGGCTGGGGGAAGTCCGTCACGCACGGTTTGAACTGGATAAATCCGTAGGACTTCAGCGTTCTGGCTAGTTTCAGATACTGTGAAAAAAATGTGATAGTCAACATTAAATATATTTTGTATTATTGGAGAAAATGGTGAATTCATAGATCACTTGTCTTGTAATAAAACACTTGGCAAGAATTAAACAGCCAAAGTACTAGTGTCTGGAATACCATTACTTGTCTTTTCAATTTCATGGCAACTGCATTTCTTGCTTTACCACATACAATTTAAGATTTTGAATTCATTTCCCTCATACCAAAATTTTAGGCCACTTTTTTTAAAATTACAATTAATTTGACTCGATATGAAAACCTACAGAGATGGCAAACAATTATTTTTCAATCATTTCATGTCAATGGCTCTGGGTACAACAGAATTGATAATGACATAGCATACCTAAGGCCCCTTAACCTAATCCAACAATGCATAATGTGCCACATTCAGCAGAAAAAAATAGCTATGTGTCCTTGTTTCCTTACCTCCTTCTTGGAGCCTTTAGTCTGCAGAGCTGCAAGTTGTTTGTGTACTTCCTTCGAGGCAAACACCCAGCCCCGCTCGATATCGTTCACAGCCTGCACATACAGTAGGTTCATAGCTATCCTGTCATCTAGGAGATCATTGTCCATGCTCGGCTCCCAAAAGCTGCGGAGGTAAATAAAATATTGTTATGTTTACAGGATATTGTTTTTGCTCTGTTTCCTCTTCTTCTTCTCCAAACAATAAGGTCAATGACCTGAACCCGACATCTGTCACCATGATAACTAAGTATATTAAAGATTCCCTGAAATGGAATTAAAAAGTCGTCATATTCTATGGTTTTTGCAGATTTTAGAAGTTCTTTGCCTTGTGATTAAAATGAGATATTGTTTGTGCGATAATTCAGTCGGGAAGTCATGTTAAAACGTCACCAACTATAATTGATACGTGTTGGGTTACATCATGTTGCAATTTTATATCAGGAGGGATTTCGACTCACTTTTTCCTAAGGACTATTCTGTGTTTTGCCTCACTCTCTGCAGTCTTCAGTGATATGTACGGGGATTCAAACTCCTGAAGCTTCCTCACAACTGCAGATAAAACAAAATAGCAATCATGAAATCGACAAAATAACAATCATGAAATTTGACAAAATAACAATTATGAAATTTGACAAGATAACAATCATGAAATTTGACATTAAAAAAGTAGGAAAATCAACAATTGAATGTGAATTTGCATGAAGGAAGGGTTATATCAGTATTTTTTTGCATAAAAATATATATATACTTACTTGAGTTCCCACCATCTTTTTCCTTCTTGACCAGGAAGAGGGCGAAGTAGTAGACAAAGTCATCGGAGAGTTCTATCTGGGAGGCAACCGTCTGAACAGAAGAAAAAAAGGATACAATTACAAATGTACAGAAATAAAGGTACAGCTGGCAATATTACTCCAAGTGACTTGATACACCTAGCCTTCGCACATCTAACTGAAGGCATTGCTTAAAGCCATCTAATGATGACACCTCAACTGTACTTGGTGGCAGTGAGTCCCACTTTACAATAGTTCTAGGAAAGAACAAGTTTTAAAACACCTCAATCCTTGGTTGATGATGCTGGTACTTGAATATATGACTATATTTTGTTCTTTTCTGTTCTGGTGTTAGATACATAGTTGTAGCTAGTACATTCAGGAAGATGTTTGAATACTTGTTCTTGTTGTAATAAATGGAAGATGAGTGACTTCCTTACCTCCAGGACGTCATCTGTTTGGTCTGTAGAACTGATGCTGACTGAGATCTTGTGCCCGTTCATTAAGAAGACATCCAGCTCAACTGCCTCTGGCTCTGCCTTCTGGGTCTCCTATATGCCAACCAACAGATGTAGCTTTTAGCACTAATACACGTATGTACAAATGTAGTTACTGTGCAAAACATGTACATACATACATACATATCCGCACTTTGATTATTCTGCTACCGCCTTCCCTGTCTCAGGAGTGGGCAGCAGTCAGCCAGACTGGACTCCATGTCTCCATGTGACCCTGTCCAGTGGGTCAATGTTGGACAGTCCACACATTATGGTCTATACTATATAGTGCACTGTATATAGCAACTTATGGTTACATTGTGTGCTAGTAATATCTGGACAATGAACAAAGATCAAAGTATTAATTTAAAGAAAGGCTTACCTGTTGGGCTTGATTTAAAAAGCTGTTAAAGATGTCACTGCCAACAATCACTGGATCTTGGCTCACTGCAGAGAAAAAAATATAAAAAATTAAAAAAATTGCACTGATTGGACATTGCTGTGGACCAATCACATTGAACGAAAGGGAAATACAATTGTGATCCTGATTTTCAATGAATCAATATGTCGCTCATATCCAAATATGGCATCACAAGCATCTGGCACGGTGGCAGCTGGCCATACATTGAACTCCTAGCCTTTGAACATTTAACTATAAACATTTCAAGCAATCTAATGATAATGCCCCTACAGTACTTGGTGACAGTTGTAGTTCCTACAGTAGTTCTAAAAATATGAGTTTTTGAACACTGAAGAAGGAGCCATCATATTGCTGACACTCACCTATCTGTATATACCTCTCCAACTGTTCTCTCCTCTCCTCTATCTGCTGTGGAGTCAGGGTGAACAGGGAGAGCTTTTTGGGAGGGAAGGGGGGCAGGTTGGCCTGGCCAAACTCTTTCTTCATCTGAAAAATGTCAATGAAATGCACAATGTTAATTGTTGTAACCTGAAAATACATGTGAAGTATATTGACAATAATCAATCTCCAAGCAGATCTTTTAGTTTTAGTGGCTGCAAAGACAGTATCATATTGGCTAGGCAGTATCCATTTGCTAGGCTATATGCTGGCCAAAAAAAAAGAAAGTGTGATTTAAAAAATCCCAATAATTAGTATACATGTACATGTTAACATGTCAAAAATAAGCCAAAGCCTAATCCTCTGCTTTTGTATGTAGATGTTGATACAGCATTGGACACTCTACGGTGTTTTTGTTCAGTAACTACTTATGAATTATGTTTATACATGTACTTCTGATAAGAAAAAGGCTTGAGAATAATTGTTATCCCACACAGACTAACCCACCTGTTCATTGAAGTGGTGCAGTTGACTGTAGCGGACTGAACAGTGAGCCACACCATTCACATGGATGTTGAACACCTGAGGGGGAAAAGGGAAGAAATACAAATGTATATTGACATCATGCATAAGGTGGCAAGGTAGCCTTTTGGTGTAGACTTACATTCTTAAGGTTCTAGGTTCGAATCCCAGACCTGAAGGTTCTGGGTTCGAATCCCAGGCAGGTCCCTATTAGTATGTTGTACTCTTGAGAAAGGCACTTAACATCTACACTGCTTTTCTCATACACTTATATATATTTTGGTGGGGATTATATTTTGCAAAAGAAGGAAAAGTAAAAGGTTTTTCTGATGTTTAAGTTTGTAGTTGAAACAATTCTGTCACTGGGGAATGCACATTCTCCATGTCTTGAATTCATGTTTGGGAGGTCAACACAAGAAAAACACATCAAACATTTTGTGATTTACAGTACATCATTACATTGAACAAACAGTAATTACTACATGTCAGTTAGACATTATTTATTACCAAACACAGCCCTACCCTGCACAATGTCAACACAGACAGTTTGCTGACCCTCTCTGGTACCAGCAACAAGATACAATGTATGCTAGCATGTCAGGGTATACAATAACCTACATGTCAAGAACAGAAAAAATGTTTTACACTTTTCAAGTTTATAATAAGCAACTTGTACACACTTTATGTATGTATGAATTTTGTCTACCAGTTGCCTTTTACTAGTTTTACATTGTTAATGTGATCAGGCTTTAAAAAGAAGACTGCCATTTGGAGTAATCGAAAGGTCGGCACTGTTTGTTCCTTTACCTGGGATGCAAACATCTGGGGACAAAGTTCGAGGTGACACAATGTACAAAGTACCATGCCAAGTTTCACTCTACAACACGGAAATTTCCTTATGTTCAAGATATAACTAGGTTTAGAACATAAAGAAACAACAGATTTTCAAAGAGATCTAAAATGAAGGATGAAGGATTGAAATTTGCGATGAAATCTAGATTTACATTTGATACATATAATGGTATGAGTCAATGACTGTATTGAACATCAATGTAAAATGAAGTGGATCTATCTAAGTGTTTATTGACTATCACTTGATCATATAACTGTAACAGTGGGGTGTTGTTCAGGCGGCTTACTAACAAAACAAACAAACAAACTTATCATTGTTTACAATCCAATATTTCCTAAACACAATATAGGATTGTTTTCGCAATGTAACTTATTGTAACTTACAATAAGTTACATTGCAAAAATGTAAGCTAGGACATATGTACATGCTGAATAGATATGAATACACATTGTACATTGTATCTCAGAAATAAGATCTAAATACCGAATCACAGTCAAAGCAACAAAAAGAAAAATTTACATGATTGACCTTAGTTAATTAGCTTAATCTGATGTCTTGATTGATTTCTTCGAATATCTGTTTGTTTTTTTCTTATCAGTGTCTTCTAATAAAGTAAATAGATGTAACTACATAAACATGCAGAAACATGAAGTTTTTTTATATTTTGTGCATGAAACTTGCAATATGATTTATAGAGAAATCTTATGACATCAATATACTAAATTTATGCTACCGGAAATAACTTGCAAGTTTGCACGTAACAACATGTAACGTTAACGTTACGTTACGTTTGAATTCCTCAAAAATTGCTAAGTATAGCAAAGAAAAAAACGCAGTGTTAGGACAAGACGAAGCAAAATACTCCCCTTCTAATGTGAAGAAAACGTCCACTATTGTAAGAATTTGTGAACCGCTACAAAATACACAACAAAAACAACAAAAATTCCAAACTTGATTTTTTTCAAACGACAACTTACTGTGTAAGCTCCGCTTTCGTCGCTGCATTCTTGTGTATCCGGGATCGAAAAATGCATCTTGACCACCTCGATCAAGTCCTCCTGTGGTCTAAAACGACTTCAAGTCTTTAAATTGTCTTTGTTTTGGCAAACTTCGACGTAAAAAGGAAGTTTTCTTGAAAAAGAAGACTCGGAAATCTGGTTCTCACTGAAGATACGCCATGTTGTAACTTTTAGGTCACGTGATACCATCCACCCCTTCCGGATCACGCGCCAAATATGCTAACTAGAACAGTCCACTAGAAATGGGTGGGAAATGTTTTAAAGCTTTCACTCAAAATGCAAAATTCTCGTCTAATATACTGATATCTTATTAAAAATAGAATAAAATTGCTAGTATACAAAATTTATGATAATTAATTGTGTAATTTTGAGAAGTTTAGCTTAAAGTTTATTTCTAAAAAAATATATCCCCCTATTCTTCAAATGTATTTTTCTTGCCCAGGGCTTGTTGTGATCGGAGTTAGGATACCCTGGGGTTTTAGTGATATCTTACTCTTAGTATTTTTCAGAAAAATTAGATAAATAAAATGATAGCGACAAAAAAACAGGATGAACTTGCATTTATATAAATTTGGAACAATTTGCACTATTTCAGAGGGATAACCTGACCTGAAAAGATTTCAAATCGAAAATTTAGGTTTCCTTTTTTCTTCATAACACCCTCACATTCACCATGATGCAATGCTTCAGCATGGCGGAAAGATGATATGATGGAAAGGTGTGGTGTCTGAATTTACATCTCTTTTGTTGCCTAATTATATCTTAATTGAAGTAAGTGAATTAAGATTATGTTAACATGCACTCTTAAGAGTGAGAAAAATCTAAAGTTGGCGTTTCAAGCGATGTCATGATAGCCAAAAATAAGCGCCGTATTGCTTGACAGTGTGTGCCCCCCTCCCATCATGACATAATTTTGTGTGTGTATTTCAGAATGACATTAATAAGATCATATAACACGTATTACATGTGTATATGCATTGGAAAAATGTTTGCATAAAATATTGACAGCAACAATTTCTACTGACACATTATTTTTTCTTCTTTTTCCACAGTTTTTCTAAGTTAATTCCATGAAACGAAGGAGGGTCTAGATAAAATAGAATGGCGGATGAACAGGTAAGTCAAATGCATTGTGTGAAATTATTGCAGTTTTCAGAAAAACCTACCTTGTGAAAGGATAGAGGCTAAAAGTTAAGACAGAACAAATAGTACTAGCCAGAATTTACCAAAATGTTTGACTGTACAACTCCAGTCTTTGTCAAGGCATAAGATTTAAGAGATCCACTGCATGTTATTAGATGACACAAGTGAATCAATGGGCAGTGGATCATAGGGTGGAGGAAGTCTGTAGTGCCCCCCGTCTTTGTTGAAGGATGGTCCAATGTCTTGTGTCAGATGAGATGTGTCTGAACATATGATGTCTTTGTAGAATAACCCAGGAGCCGAGGCTACAGAAGCTGAACAGAAGCAGCTCAGCAGGAAGGAACGAAAGAAGGAGAAAAGAGCCAAGAAACTGAAGGGGAAGGAAGGAGAGGGCGGAGGTGAGAGGTCATCCGAGGCCACGCCCCAGGGTCATGGAGGTCAAGGTGCAACAAGTGCAGGAGGTCAAGATGTAACAAAACCACAGAAGAGTAAAGCTGAGCTAAAGGCAGAGAGAAGAGCTAAACAGGCAAGTTAACCATTAGCAGTCTATAGGTGCCATACATCTGTGCAATACCATACAAATTGTATTGGTGCCTTTGAATTTGTCAGAGTGCAAACATTTAATAAAAACAGGTACATGTACATCAGTAATAATGCTGAAATATTTATAGTGTTGGCCTTCTTTCTGTATCTTTCTGCCTTGAAGTCTTCACAGCTGAGTCTTTGGCACTTCTAGCTCTAGAAAACAAGAACTACAGTAGGGGGCCAGCCCACTGGTAGGGTTGTGTGTTGACCTTCCCATACTCTTTTTCATAGATGCTGAGTGCTAAGCAGAGAAAGTTGTATGTACAAAATGACCTGGCCAGGGTTTGAACTCCTGACCTCCCGGTTACAAAGCGAGATTGAGCTATTATACCAGTATCTGATGCTTATTTGCTTATAAATTTCAGGAGGCAGACAGAGCAGCTAAGCAAGCCAAAAAGTCAGGAGAAGGTGGAGGGAAGGACCCTGGGACGGTCCAGAAGCCCCGGACTGGCAGCGACAGTAACGTCCCGTCCTCCCCGTCCATGCAAGTCACCAAGAAGGAGGCGCCGAGAGTGCGGGCGAACGTGCTGGTGGACGATCCTAATGTGCAGAAGAAGGTGGCCAAACGACTGGAGACACAGAGGGTTAGTTGTCTTGAAGGTTCATCTGTGTTGGTAGAAGCCATTATGAAACAAGGTGTAACTGTTATTTACAACAACAAGAAATTAAACTTGATTGTACAACTGCTCATTTCCTTGTTTCAGATTTTTCATCAGCTCTTGATTAAGTCTGTGTCTGCGCAATATTCATAGGATGTTAATGATAACTATTCATAGAAGAGTTGGTTCTTTTATTTACTGTGTGGATTTTGTCTGTACAGGTTCCACAGAGACCAGTGACCCAGAAAAAAGTCGGCCTGTTTTCACATCTACATCAGTATGAAAGAGAGACTTCCCTTACCAAGAACATTAGGTAAGAGAACTACTCGTATCTCTGGGGAAGGAGATACCCTTCTGTGGGAGTTGACTGTACTGGGTTGACTGAGGCAGTAGGTGTTCCTTCCTTTCCCAAGGACACAACATTTGGGCCTGCCAGGATACAAACCCAGAACCTTAAGAGTAAATTCAACAATGCTAATCACAAAAACACCTTTCTTTTTGATACAATGGTAGAGTGTATGTTGATACATTCTTTTGTCCCTACAGTTTTTCCCCAGGAGGCATCCACAGTGCGATCCTGAAGCTGGGACTCCAGTACGCTAACGGCATCATCTGTGGGTCTAACTCCAGATGTCTGGCTCTGCTCGTAGCTTTCAAAAAGGTAAATACATGATTTCATATAAAAATGGTAAATATTTCTCAACTGTAATCCCTAAAAATATTTCCTATGCAATATAATGGTTCCACATCTATTAGTGCATTGTAGCTCTGACATTTAATGAAAAGAAATCCATCATACAAATCAATCATATAACTTCCAAAGGTCATATCTTTATACATTGTACTTTGAAGAAAATAGTTTCAATGTTTGATGTATAAAATGTACTTTTTTAGTCTCAGTAAGTATTAAGTTCCCTTTTTCCATTACAGGTGATAGCAGACTACACCACACCTACAGATAAGGACCTCTCCAGAGACTTAGATGCTAAGATAAAGCCTTACATCAGGTGAGAAAATGTTTGTTGTATAATCTCATGTACAGAAAGTACAGTAGAGCAGTAAGATTTTCTCTCAAACAAAAAAAAAGATAGCTGAATCTGTTCCCTTTTCTATTCAAAGAAATATACTTCCGTATTTTGATACAATGTATTACTATGTCAGATCACTCATGAAATCTTTGTGTTTCTTTTCACAGCTTCCTCACTCAGTGCCGCCCCCTGTCTGTTAGCATGGGAAATGCAATCAAGTACATCAAATGGCAGATAAACCACTCACCTAACGACATCCCAGAAGCTGAGGTAAGTACTGTGATAATATGAAGTAAGAAGGAAGAAGAATGCCATGAAAGTGATCTTGAACCAGTTAAGCTCATGATCAATGTACAGTTGAGCTAATCTTCCACTGGTTGTGACAGAGAAGACAGACAGTACTAGTATACATGTACAGGTTCATTGTACATTGTACCATGAAAATTCCCCTAGTTCTTTTTGTCCAATATGTACAATAACACTAAGAGAGGGACAATAGCCATGATTTGAAGTTACAGCCTCTTACCAGTGATGATTATATTTTGGTAGATTGGTTGACGATACCATGGAATTAAGTGTAAACAAAAATACAAGCATGTATCTGAAACTTAACTGTCCGTACAAATTAGAAAACAATAATGTGAATGTCTTGTCTTTTTTTCTGACAGGCAAAGAAGCAGCTACAAGAGAGCATTGACCTGTTTATAAAAGAGAAGATCCTACTGGCAGGGGAAGCCATCTCCAAAACCTACACCCTGTCTAAAATACATGATGGGGATGTCATTCTGGTCTATGGCTTGTAAGTACATGTAGGATGCCTTTGTATTTCTGGATTGAAGGGTGAACATTTGCTTGCAAATGTACTATGTTTCATCCCTATAGTCTGTAAAAGAGTTCTCAAAAGTACACAATGTTTACTATGAGATGGAAAATAATAGTTATTCAGTACCAAGGACAAGAACAGGAGTACAAGCTAAGCATAGTGAAATATATCATATAGTCACTCATCATTTGGTATGAAGATAATAAATGTTTTCAGTGTGCCTGCTTGTAGTAATTTCTACATGCTAGGCACTTTTGAGACACTGATAGATAGTTTTAGGTCCCAGAAAAGGATATCTCATTCCCTCTTTCCTATAGGAGCTAGATGGAGAATGCATAGACAGAATCAGCAATAAAATCACAATATTGAAATGAAACAAATTCCCCCCTAAAAGGTAGAGTGCTTACTTGGAACCAAGAGGTCCCAGGTTCGAGTCCTGACATGCCACCGATCTTGTGCCCTTGGGAAAGGCACTTTACACACCTTTTCCCACTTCACTCAAGTGAAAATGAGTATTGTCTGTCCTGTATTTGTTTCTATGTGTGGGACACAACACCAGCAACAGCTGCCTGTGTCCTGCGTGTATTACACTGTTGCAATTTCAATAAATAAAATCAAATCAAATCAAATGAAGGAAGAAATTCTCCCCCAAATGGTACAAGGTTTTTAATTCCTTGTTTTTGTTATATTTCTGTAGTTCTTCCCTGATCAAGAAGGTCCTATGTGATGCCCATGACAGTGGTAAGAAGTTCAGTGTAGTTGTTGTGGACGGTCGGCCTAAGTTTGAGGGGAAGGAGATGTTGAGAAGACTGGTGAGACACGGCATCAAGTGCACCTACGTACTCATCAATGCAGTATCATACATTATGCAGGAGGTAAGGTCTTCCATTTTTAAATCTATATTAATTTTAGTTTGTTTTGGTTCTGGGGTTTAGAAATCAACATACTGTACATTTGTTTAATGCAGTATCCTACATATAGTCTTCCTTTTTTTAAACTCTAGATTTAGTTAGTTATAGTTTGGGGGTTTAGAAGTCAACATACTGTATATTTGTTTACTTTTGCAGTGGTTTTTTATTTCAATGTGGAAGGAGTGATAGGAATGCATTGCAGTGTTTACAGTTAAAATAGTTTAAAGATGCATTCAATAGGATGTAATTAGAAAATTAAAGTTTTAAAGGGGAAAGCAACCTCTTTAGATCTGCCCTTTCTTTTGAAATTGCTCTGTTAACAATCATTCTTTAAATTGTTCTTGAAGGAAGATACTTATCTTCAAAAACAATTTAAAGAATTAACAGTAACTCACACAAAGATAGTGCTAGAAATATTGTAGGTCTTCTGTATGTGTGTTTCTTTTGAAAATTTTCCTTATGTCTTAATTGCAATGAATGAGAATCTTATACTTACTACATGTGAATTCATTCTACTTGAAAATACTTTTGTTTTTGTAAGATTTGGTTTGTTCTTGTTTAATTAGGTATTTGCCTTTCTAGTATTGCAGGTCTTACGTACTTAACTATACATTTGTAGGTGCATTTCTTTGCGCTTTAGATGTCTCATGTAGGCAATAACTGTATGTGAATGTATGCTACCCTGTACATATTACGGATTTCCTAAGATTTGGTTTGTTTTGCATAATTACATGGTATGTTTTTACATAATCAGGTATCCAAAGTGCTCCTGGGAGCTCACGCCTTACTTGCCAACGGGTTTGTGATGGGGCGGGTGGGGACGTCGTTGGTTGCCATGACAGCGAAGGCCTGTAACGTTCCCGTGCTCGTCTGCTGCGAAACGTACAAGTTCTGCGAGCGCGTGCAGACTGATTCATTCGTGTTCAACGAGCTAGGTGAGTCATAGGGAGTTAGAAATGCGCTTCATTAATAAACTAGAGTCCTATCATGAAAGTTCATGTTTAAAGTTAAAACTTTCGACAAAAACAAACTAAAGATCTGTGGTGTTCAACGAGTTAGGTGAGTGGTAGGAAGTTTGAAATGTGCTTCATTAGTAAATTAGAGAGCCTTAAAGATCTGTGGTGTTGCTTTCTATGTATGTGACATGTATAGTCAGAATAGGACTATGCAGAAAAAGATGTTTCACGGTTTTCGTTGGTCAACGTTGTATCATTACCCAAATTTGGCCTGTTGCAGACAGTATCTTTTCTGACACATTATTTGCAAACTATAGATGGTATGTCATCCTTAAATACGCTAATACGGCCTTAAAGAAGACGTTCTGCCAAAGTGCTTTGCACAATACACGTACAAGTTTCGTGCAGGCGTAGTACATTCTGCCGATTTGCTACAATAATTATATTTTGACCATGCAAGCTTTCTATAAGAGTGAGCAGTGCTACATGGAGTAAAACTCTTTCTTGTGACAATTTGATGAATGTTTTAATACCTTAAATCAGGCACTGTATGTTCTGCCAATGTGCTGGTCTATGCCATCCTTGTAATGAATGTTTTAACGTCTTGAACCAGGTGACCCGGATGACCTGGTACCCCTGAGAAAACAGCGACACCTGGACACCTGGCGGCAACAAGACTCACTGCACCTGCTAAACCTGGTGTACGACATCACGCCTTCTAACTTTATCGCCATGGTGATAACAGAAGTCGGCATGATCCCATGCACATCTGTTCCCGTCATTCTCCGCGTGAAAAGCACTGAAGTGTCCGAAGAATGATAACTCACAATGTCTAAAACCATTTCAGATATTTTGTATTTAATGCCTAACTAGCTGGCTTGATCTATTGTACGTTGATACCAAATGATGAAGATGATGGTGAAATGTCTGAATATTAGCCGTTAGTTCTGAGTTCTAATTGCTCGTATTTGGTGAGAATTATATTTCCTTTTGTATGATCCTTATAACTTTGGTTATTGAACCTCCTTGGTTATATGTAATACAAAGCAAATAAAACAATTTTTGGGGTAAAATCTCTAACGGTGTGATACCATTTTTTTATAGTATGTTGGGTCCAGCATGGCTTGCCCTCACATGCCCTGGTGTGTGATGGTACACATCTATGAATGTGTGTGTTGTGTAAAGAATGACATCAAATGTGTGCTTTTTTTTACCCACGATGTGCATTTATTTGTTAGTACCAACTACGAACAATACATGGCATAACCGTTTACACGTTACAACATGTTAAAGCATTGGCAACAGAAATGATATGATCAGTTAAAAGAAATGAGAGTGCATGTTAATAGGTGCAGAAATAGTAAATGTAATGCTAAAGGTGTAGAATAGACCTATGTAATGTTAAGGTGCAGAATTAGACCTATGTAATGTTAAAAGAGGACTAAGTAAGTAAGTAAGTATGTAATGTTAAAAGAGGACTAAGTAAGTAAGTATGTAATGTTAAAAGAGGACTAAGTAAGTAAGTATGTAATGTTAAAAGAGGACTAAGTAAGTATGTAATGTTAAAAGAGGACTAAGTAAGTAAGTAAGTAATGTTAGAAGTGCAGAAATAGGTCTATGTACTTATATAATCTAACTTAATTGCACTAAAGCAAAGCAACAGAGAAGGCTACAGCAATGGGAGTTCCATCTGTGTCAGAAGTTGGTTTTGTCTTGTTCAGGGTTAGGGTGTTAGTCCACACAGTCGGGGTCAGTCTTCCAGTGGGGCACGAAGGACTCCACTGAGCCACGCAGACGGCCGTTTGGATCCTGGAAGTCATCCTATAGGAAACAGAAAAGGCATTTATGAAAGTATGATAGAGTCTAAGCAGTTATATTGAAATATAGCAGGTTGGCTTTGAAAGAGATTCTATCAGTTCATTTCTCTAAATTAGAAGAATTGCAAACATCGCAATACAATGGGGTGTCCTGGCAGCCATGGCAAATATCGGACCCCACTTACATATCGGCCTTTGATATATACTAGTTCATCAGTTGAGTCATGCTATCAGTTTCAGCTTCATAGAGAAAACAGAAAAGTTAAAAGTACAATAGAGTCTCCCTAGATAAGTGCTTATGAAGCCTAGGACCAAAAAATTTCAGATAAATGTATAAAAACTAGTATTATTGGGTTTGCACGTAACATTAAATCAGCATAATGGATCATTCATCTGACGAAGGTTGACGGGTTTGACCGAAAATTCATGGTGAGTTCTCTTTTGTGTTAAACAAAGTTTAAACTTTACTAGTATGGATTCTTTACCTCTTGGTTCAGTGTGTAGGTGCCACACAGTCCAGCAGTCTTCGCCATGTAGGACTCGGGTGCAGAGACGTACACACGGGTGAGGGAGTCCCACAGGACGGTAAAACCATTGTCCAGGAAGATCTGGGGGCAAAAGAGGAAAGAAACATGTCAGAAGGGAATGGGGAATAGTGGGGTCGTGTAATGGCAGAGTGCTCGACTCGGAACCAAGAGGCCCTGGGTTCAAGACCGATCTTGTGCCCTTGGGAAAGGCACTTAACACAACTTTCCTCACTTAACTCAGGTGAAAATGAGTATTGTCCTGTCCTGTATTTGTTCTCTGCGTAGGTGGTGGCATAGAATGAGTTGATATAACTTTAGTCCGCCATCACCATGTCTAGTCATGAAAAGTTGGAATATATATTTTAAAAAAAGGGAATGGAGGAAGCTATTTGATGTATGTGGTATGGGTTGCTTGCATCATGAAGTTGTTAGCATTTTGTTTGTATTTGTAACAATTCTAAGTGTTGCTAAGAAATCTATCTGGTCCTGTCCTTGGTGCTAGAAAGTCCATCTGGTCCTGTCCTTGGTGCTAGAAAGTCCATCTGGTCCTGTCCTTAGTGCTAGAAAGACTGGCCCTTTCATTGGTACTAAAAAGTCTATCTGGTGCTAGAAAGGCTATCTGGACCTGTCCTTGGTGCTAGATAAGCTATCTGGTCCTGTCCTTGGTACTAATTTGTCCATTTTGTAAGGCCCTAGAACCTTATAAAGAGTTCCTTTATAGGTATAATTTTCTATGTTTATCTAGTTTGCAATGCCTTCCCGTACAAAACACTTGTCACTAACCCTCTGGAACTGAGAGTTGGGGATCTTCTCCATGTAGAAGCCGTGTCCGGTGTAGGGGAGGGTGATGGCGTCACCGTTCATCGTGACGACGTAGTTCCGGCCCAGACGCAGCTCGTTCCCGTTCACACGCACAGTAACACTCCTGGTGCAGGCCTCATCCATGTTACCTAGTGATGAAACACAACGTATCTTTAGGATCTAAAGTTTAAGTACTTAACAATGACCATTCAAGTTGCTAGAGGCAGTATGTTACACCACTGTGTCTAGGGCACGGTATTGGAAAGTAGAGCTTTGCCTACGGACTGAAAAGGCTATAGGACTACTTTTACCAAATGAAAAGTGCTTAAACTTGCGTAAATCGTGTGTTTCTTATAATTAGTATACATGTATAGTAGAGGAGATTCATTCCTCAAGCTAAACGACACTTTTTCAGGCCACAGGGGCAGTAGGTTGTTTATCCACTGTGTCTGGGGCACGGTGGGGAAGGTGGAGCCCATCCCTCTCCTTCCACCACCTTTTACATCTCCGTAATGTATACGTACATATTAACATATTTGCTAGCCTTACAGTAAGCAAGTAGACGTACCAAGGAGGGCACAGCCCATCCTGTTGTCAGTCGCCACGCTGAAATCTTCACCAAGCTTCAGACTCTGCACCAGAGTGTAGGAACAGTTCCCACTGAAACTGTAGTACCTGTACAGACAGAAAATCGTATCAGTAAAACTGTTGGTCCAATATAACTAAGTACACATGATATGATGATTCCAAGGACTTAGAAAATGAAGAGATATAATACTCTACAATAATTATTGTTCGCAGATAAATTTTGTACAACGGAGAGGGGCATCGAATAGCAAAGCTCCTTCACATTGACTTGTTTAACGAAAGCCTACATTTTGCTGACTGTACGTCATCTTCATCAGGTGAATTATCATCTAATGAATTTGACAGGCGGTCATCAAAACGTTGTTAAACAAGTGGTTGTGGATTAAGAAATTTGCTATTCATTCACTCACCATGCCAAGGCCCAGGCTGACATTATTTACGGATAAGAGACTGGAATCTTTTCATATTTTTCAGTCCATGAATCTCTTACTCTTATACATGTACTTAAAGATTTCTCGTCTTACATGATATTTTTAAGTTATTATGAAAACTTACTTTCCGTCAAACGTCCTGTAGTGTGGATCGCCCACAGAGTGACAGGTAGCCTGGTCGGTGGGCACTGTGTTCATGAGCTCGCTCAATTCAAATCATTTCATATTTTTATGGACTATTTTTATAAGTCCACGAGTCGCGTTTTACATGATATTTGTAAGTCTATGAAAACTTACTTTCCGTCGAAAGTCCTGTAGTGAGGGTCTCCCACAGAGTGACAGGTAGCCTGTTCAATGGCCACGGTGTTCATGGACTCAGCCAGGATGTCGTTAGGCGTGAGCATGGGCACGTCGCTCTGCACACCGTCAGGCAGGGGCAGGAAAATCTCCCCGTTTGGCTCGATAGGGTCGACCAGGTCCACCACCTCGTCACCGGCCTGGAACGCACTGTTGTCTGCGGGAGACAGACATGGTGTTCTGTTAGGGCATGGCCATATGTCTTGTGTCTTACAATCGTTGTACAATCGCAAACTGATAGCACAATTCTTAGGATATTCGTGCATGTGTCCTAAACATTCATATCGGCTCTTGTTGTAAAGGAAAGGCTGCCTTAGGGTGCCATCCTCCGTAGTTACCCAAGGCTCCCTTCGTTCGGAAGGCCGTGGTAGCTAGCAACAGTAGGGGGCCGGCAGTAACTACGAATGATGGCACCCAGGCTATCCTTAGAGCCTTGCAGTTTTAGATGTGATCACTAGTACAGGTTGCACTACCGTATAATAGTAGCTTTTGGTAAAGTGGAAATGTTTGGTAATGTTGAAACCTACCCATATCACAGAAGCGCCACTCCCCGGTGTTGCCCTCTGCAGTGGTGTACCCCACATACCTGGCAGCCAGAGGGTTCGGATCAGTCCATTCCATGAAGGCGGGGCCCATGTAGCTTCCTGTAACATACAAAGTACAAATGTCATATTTTAAATCCTTTGCATCATCTGTTAGAATGGCCGTCGGTGACCCCAAACAGAACACGCATTCTGTTCAAATGACTACCGATGGCCCCAAATAGAACAAGCGTTCTGTTCAAATGATTACCAATGACCACAAATGGAACACGTAATACAATCACAAGGACATATGATGAATTTTAGTTTCATGCATAAAAAATATATACAAATCTAAGCTTTGTGCCAGGGGAAATTATTTGGCAGGGGCAGGAATTTGGCTTCACATTGCAGAGACATACCAATATTGCAATACGTCCCAGATCTTGTGGTCCTCGTCGTTATCGCACCCCATCCACGAAAGACTAGACACTACGCTAATAGGACAAGGACCCCAAAAACAATACCTCCGTACCATGAGGAAACAACTAAATCGAGTTACGTATCCCCCTCCTCAAAGACATACCGATTGCGATGCGCCCGTTCTCGATGGAGACCCAAAACTTGAAGAACCGCCCTCCTCACCATTAGCACACCCCAACAACAAAAGACTAGACACTAGGCTAACAACCCAAGACAATACCTCTCTACCAGGAGGTAACAACTTTAGGGAGTTATGCATCCCCCTGGGCAAAGACGTACCGATAGCGATGCGCCCGTTCTCGATGGAGACCCAGAACTTGCGAAACCTCCGGGCCGTGACGACGCCATGCTCCTGCAGCACAACCAGGTCCTCACCGTCCGCCCTCCGCCGGATCGAGTTCCGCGAGTTGCCATGGCTACCAAGCACGATCTCGTAAACATCGTCCATGTCCTGAGAAGAGAGAGTGTCGCATTTTTCATTCAAACAGTTCATTTGTTCATATCAAATCCCATTCCACATAGGTAACAAAAGTCCCGTGTTTTGGGAGAGCAAAAGGAGAGGCCTGGCGAACCCATCTCATATTACTATTAGCCTCAAGGTTCGCCTTAATGATAATCCCGCGCTAGTTTTGGGCCCAGAAGCCATATAAAAGTGTCACAAGAGGGACTACCAAGGATGTTGGGCAGCCTTGATCCTTCAGTCAAAATTAATAAATAAATAGATAAAATAAAACATAGATAATAGGACGTTCTTGTTTACTTTCACTTGTTTACATAGGCATTTATTTGTATAGCTTTGCCTGAGTTTGCTTTGCATGTAAAGTTGATGTTCTGCCACATAATTTGTAAGGCATTCGTATTTAGCTTGTTGTACATGGAGCTCATGCTGCTAGGCTGATTTTCTTATTTTAAAAATTGTAATCGTAAGAACAGTAAAGTGCTGACCCTGTTAGCCGGTGAGAGGGACAGATGTGCGTCTCCCCTGGCCTTCACCTCAAACGTGAAGGTGTTGGTGTTCAGCCGGCCCACGTCCCAGCGGTACTGTTTACTGGTGCCTGTGAACCTGCTCTTACACAGGGGCTCCACTGGAAACATAATAACATAGCCATTATGACAATTTTGCTTACTATGGGTATTTGCTGTTGCATTGATGTAGTTATAACACAGAACACGATGGTAAGGCACGACTTCATTAAAGGCTCGACTGGAAATATATAGTTATATAACAGAAAAGGGTATCAGGGCATTGCAACTAGCCCGGGTACCAGACTGTTTCCAGAGCCTACACAGGCCAGGTCTTTGGCTTCAGGACCAACATGCTCCCAAGGAAATTATACCACAGCCCCCCTCAGTTAGGCCCCTACACGCTGTCTAACAACTCTTAGCCTAGTGTGCTATTGGTCTGGCATCCAGGCTACATGTAATTGCAACAGTTCCTATGCCCCAACAAAGACAGGAGACGCTACAGACTAAGGCAAGCGTCTACCCAGACTGCACTGTCCACGATACCTACACTGTACATGTAGTTGAATCGTTTTCAACACGATAGACATTTTTAATCCCCCAAACAGAAGCAACTGTAGATGTATCCCTAGAAATAATATCTACTTACTACAATGTATTAGCAAACTAAACAAGACCAACATACGGTTGTAGCAGGCCAGTTCTCCGTCCACGACTGCCCAGTGCTCGTTCTGTGCGCAGGCCACCTCGATACACTGTACCTCATTCCCGAGGTGACACTTGCACATCCTGTTGTCACCTTCTCCCCACTCTTCAGCCAACTAAACATCAGGAAAACATATTTACTGCCATTGATCATCATGACCGAGTTTTGAGACTTATGATCTCTTAAGTGCTCTTATTACTTACTGAGCGTATATGCCATACATGAATTAAAAGGGGCATTGTTGAACTGTTAAACTGGTTTTCTTTAATCAAATGCAAATTCAAAATAGATTAATCAATTGGAGTCAACCTTATTTGATTTCAACATGCAATAATTTCTACATAATTGGTCCACATTTCTAGATCTATTGTCACAGTGGTTATTTGGCAATTAATGTTAATACAGGTGTTTTTATATTTTGATCAGGGTAGGTCGGCTACTTGGTTATCATACAGCTAATACATGAACATTTCTTCCAAAGACTCTGCATTTAATGAACAATCAATTTTTTAATCAATTATCACTTACAGCATAATAGTTGCCGTTATGAACGCAGCCACACTGATCCTTTGGTACGCATGCGTCACCACTCATGACGTAACCCTCGTCACACTCGCACCCCTCCAGACAGGGGCTGTTACAGCGCGCAGGCGCATTGAGGTCCGTACACATGGCGGGACAGGCGGAGGTGCAGGGACTGTAGTGGCTGTTGGGCGGGCACATCAGGGCTGAAAAAAAGGTACAGAATGGACACTGAAATGATAACATGTCTTTTGCTGTGATTGCATACTAAAATGTCAAATAATGTACAACGAATATGGATCAATAAAGTTGTGCTTTAGACTTTTCCACTGGATAAGAATTTCGAACTAGAAAAGTCACAACTTTATTGATTCAAGTTTTCAACCCGGGATGACTAATCTTCACATTCAAACAAATATGGATGTACGCAGAACAATAAAATGCAATCAGGTGTCTTTTCCTTGCACTTAAGCTCTATTCTTACGCATCAAATGCGATTTTTTAGCCAAGTTAAAAAGTGCCAGAAGCCTATATCGTCCCAGGCCTAGTTTTTAGTCATGTCTGTTGTATTCCTCACAGTTACCACGATAACCCCGTTTTAAAAGCTTACACTTCTTTTAACACTTGATCGGTCTTGATCGGTCTCACTCTCGTACTATTACAATGTAAAGTACCCTGTTGGTTGTTGAACATGAAGACAATTTTAGAGGAGTCCGGCTATGCCTGCCTATATACACATGACTATATTAACAAACCATTCCATCTGCATGAACTAAGACAAAGATTAAAAGATATATTCATCCAGAAATTCAACTCAGCACTACAAGCACAAGGGCAAAGGAAAAATCAAGGCAACAAACTGAGAACATACAAAACATTCAAAGTACTATACGACAGAGAACCATATTTAGACATCCCAAATTTTGAAAACCGCAGAGCCATGTGTAAACTCCGTATTAGCGACCACCCTCTACACATAGAATCTGGCAGGCATAGCCGTACACCGTTACAAGATAGACTGTGTACATTCTGTAACAATTCGTGTATTGAAGATGAATCGCATTTTATGCTTGACTGTAAATTATATGATAACGAACGTAAATCACTGTTCAGTTCAATTAAGCTCGACAAAAAATGTAAAACATTATCAAAGGAAGACACCTTTAAATATATCATATCATGTACAAATATAGACGTCATCAATGAAGTATGTAAGTATATTTCAAAATGTTTCAAAAAGAGAGAAGAAGCCATTAGAACTTAGATCAATACAACTTATATTTATATTTCTTTTTATCTTATTTTTAGCATTGTATACTTTAGACCTAATGTTAGCCTTTTATATTACTATTGTTGTAGTACTCTCTAGTACATTGTACATCCATGCATTTATCCCTCCGGGGAATGAACATGCAATAAAGTTTCTACAATGGTGGCAGCGGTGGGATATCCCACCAAAGTTAAAAGTATTTAAGAAAAGATCTTACGACACATGTGCTCAGTTCTCCATCCAGTGATCGGGATGCCTGCTTGTGCGCATGCCTCGGCATAAGCCTCCAGGTTTTCACACATCAGAGCCTGGCTGCCGTCGAACATCAACATATCGTATCTATAGGAGAAATAGAACAGAGGTGCTTGATCTGTAATGCATTTTGTACAAGGCTTTAGTTAGTATGTATGATAAGACTGCACGTGGCGTGTAGACTTAAGCATGTCGTATCTACAGGAAAACCGATCAGAACCTAGATGCTTCGGTCGTGTGGCGTAGCGGCAGAGTGCGCGACTCGGAACTAAGAGTCCCGGGTTCGAGCCCTGACATGCCACCGATCTTGTGCCCTTGGGAAAGGCACTTTACACGACTTTCCTCACTTCGCTCAGGTGTAAATGAGTTTTGTACTGTCCCTGTGTTGGTGGCGGCATTAATATAAGTTGAAAAAACTTGAGTGTGCCGTCACCACGTCTTGTGATTGCATGTTTCGGAATATAAAAAAAAGTACAATATTTACATATCTACACATGTGTGGTTACAGGGAAATATATATACGCTTCTGATATCTGTAATGCAAGGCTTAAGTCTTCATTTATCCCCAGCTAGATGACAATGTTTTTGCTTGCTTCCCCTTATGTTCTCAAGTAGTGGAACAATTGGTAAAACTAACAAAGATTGTTAAAATCACGCTAAATATGCACGTTTGTAGAACATATTGTGCCAGTGAGGGCAAAATCCATAGTGTATTGTCCCTATGCATGTGCATGACACTTTGAAAGAACGTTTCATTTTACTTTATTTCAGTTTTACATTTTGTGTACACCTTTGGAAATGTTATGTCGGAAAATATAGCAGGCAAAATTTCTGAAAACCGTGAAAACCCCGAGTTTCATACAGATGCAGTGTGTTATGCCGACGCGTTTGCTTAATATAGCCTGTATACACCTACTTGCATGCATCGAAGTAATTAGATGGATCCACCACTGAGAAGCAGGCGCCGAACATTCCCCTGCCGTCAGTGAGTTGTCCGCAGTTAGTGACACTCTCCACCTCCTGTACAAGGGCCTGGTTCACATGGGCAGGGTCTTCTGGTAGCTCTGGAGCCAACGGACAACTGGGGAAACATGTTCTGAGTTATTTATCTATATTTGTACCTTAACGATTGGGACTACATTGTTAGCAGGCACGGAAGAGGCACCTGACGTCGGTGAGCTGTCCACAGTTAGTAACACTCTCCACCTCTTGTACAAGGGCCTGGTTCACATGGGCTGGATCTTCTGGCAGCTCTGGGGCCAACGGACAACTAGGAGAAATATTTGAAATATTTACGTCGTTATTTATCGTAACATTTAACTTAACGTTTTGGGACTACATTGTTAGCAGCCACCAAAGATTGCTGTTGGCGAGTTGCCCACAGTTGGTCACACTCTCCACCTCTTGTACAAGCGCCTGGTTCACATGGGCTGGGTCTTCTGGCAGCTCAGGAGCCAATGGGCAGCTGGGGAAACATGTTCGGAGTTATTTATCTTTATTTGTAACTTTCTGTTTGGGACTACATTGTTAGCAGGCACCGAAGATACCACTGGCGTCGGTGAGCTGACCACAGTTAGTCACACTCTCCACCTCTTGTACAAGGGACTGGTTCAGATGGGCTGGGTATTCCGGTAGTTCTGGAGCCAACGGGCAACTGGGACAACGGACAATATTTTCTTAGTTATTCATCTTAGTTTTATTCACATGTATTTTTCGAGGATTGGACAAAAGCATGGTCTGGGTGCCATCCTTTTGGGGCACCTTGCGCTCGCTGATCTGAAAAACGTTTTTTTATTGGGTCAGCCAGGGTGCAATGCAAGGAGCCCCCTGGATGGCAGTCAGGACAGGAAGTGTGTGGGGAAATGGTATAACCACAGACTGGCAGGAAGCTGGGGGGTCATTTCCTGACTCCCCAGCTTGCTGCATGTCCGTTACCTCATTCAAGCCAGTGGGAAAATGTATACAAAATCATCAGGAAAATTATGAAAAATATGTGTAATGCATAAACCAAGATCTCCACTACAACTCCCAATTCTTCACAGAGGCTTGGGTTTTTTTTCTTGTTTGGACTCACCTGGGATCATCATGGGTCCTCCAGCTTTCCCCAAACTCCACCACTCCTGTGGTGGCCATGCCCAGGGGAGAGACTCTGTCGTCGTCTTGCTGTCCGTTAAAGTTGCCGCAGACACCCTTCGTCTGGCCGCTGAATATCGACGGGATCTACAAGAATCAAACGAAGATTCATGTGTAAACACAAGGTGGCTCATTCTTGTATAAAGAATGATCTTTCTTTGCACGTTCTTGTCCATGTGCGCTAAATGCAGTGGTTTCACATGAAGCGTTACGTAAAGAATCATCATGTAACATTCCTGAACAGTTGGGGGCTAAAGCCTCCTAGGGAGGCGCTGAACTATTAGGTGTTCGCAGCTAAAAGGAAGACGGGAGGCCAAGCAATGACTTGGAAGAGGATGGTCCAGCGGGACATTACAGAGACGGGTTGTGGATAGGAGGGGCGCAACTGACAACAAAAGACAAAAAAAACGTGAAAGACATTGATGGCCCACCCCTGTGCCAAACGCCAAAATGCAGCAATGATGAATTATGAACTTCAAGATGTTTGTCACCACGTTACCTTGACATCCACCAGTGCGTTGCCATTGTAGATGACCTTGAGGCAGAAGTCGGTGTAGAAGACCAGGTTGTTGCCACTCAGCTTCACCACAGCTCGGCCCAGGCACACTGGCAAGGTGCGCTGGATACCGTCAACCTGGGGAACACGGTTACAAACATTTTCAAAGCTAAAAGTTTTGATCAAACACAAAAAAAAAGTTCTCATCTAGAGCTTTCGACCTGTCACTCTGATCTTCTTCAGTAGACTGTCCCGCGACGGGGGCTGGCATCGTTTACCAGATACCTTTGACCCAGTGTTGACGTCACACTTCAGAGAGGCAATGTGAAGTCTATTTGCCTGCCTGCCTACATGTATGTGCTGAGGCCAGAAACTGGTCCCTTACTCCCTTCCATCTGGAATCTCCATCTTGCTCTGTCCATGGCCAGAGTCTCAGCTAAGCCATGTATAAGCCCTTCACGGTAAGTCCTGTGACTATTTACCTACAGTAAATGTCTTCCCTCTTCTCTGTCACGAGCAGCGGCAGACTGAACTTGAACTTTGAACTTTCACCTACCTTAACCTTCTTGCCCTTCTCCAAAGACACCTTATGTCCGTACACCTCCACGTCCACTCGGCTGACGAAGGACACCCTGTTGTTGTGTCAATTCTCGTTCTTCACGATCACTTTGAACTCGAACTTTGAACTTGAACTTTGAACAATTGGACGTTCAACTTTCACCTACCTTGACCTTCTTGCCCTTCTCCAAAGACACCTTGTGTCCGTACACCTCCACGTCCACTCGGCTGACGAAGGACACCCTGTTGTTGCGTCAATTCTCGTCCTTCACGGAGACCACTTTGAACTTGAACTTTAAACTTTCACCTACCTTGACCTTCTTGCCCTTCTCCAAAGACACCTTATGTCCGTACACCTCCACGTCCACCCTGCTAACAAACGACACCCGGTTGTGGCGATGCTCGTTCATTTATTTAGTAGGCATTAAATGCCTTCTATCTTCCCTGTCACGTGCAGTAGGAGACTAGCTCTTCAGTAAGCTAAAACGTTTTCTTTTGAACTTGAACTTTCACCTACCTTAACCTTCTTGCCCTTCTCCAAAGACACCTTGTGCCCGTACACCTCCACGTCCACCCGGCTGACGAAGGACACCCGGTTGTTGTGGCGATGTTCGTTCTTGGCGGAGACGCGGAAGTGCGTTCCCGTGGTGCTCTCCGCCAGCACGTAGGTGCAGATGCCCTGGAAGTCCGTCCTCCTGCCGTCAAACGAGATGTAGTGAGGGTCGCCCCACGCTCGGCATTCCCCTACTCCTGTGGAGAAGTGTTTTCAATTGAAAGTTTAGCAGGACCTTTGGAAATCGTACTTGAATGGGTTAAGACGAAATTGCATCCAGGTCGTCCTTAGAGTGTCCGTAGAACCAACGTAGCCAGTTATCGTATTAGATGGGGAATAGATATACATGTATATATAGTTTCTATCATTACACCATTCAGTATAACTCAAAAGACGGTGTATTTGATCAACGCACCGTCATTATCTGTAGATAAAGGCACATTCTATTATCTGTTGGTTAATGGCCAAGTACAATGTACTTGACCATTCTCTTCTCGATACGATTTCATGAATGGGGATTTTGTATTTTCCTGAAAATTCATTCGACTGGGTGACTAGTTGATAAACCGGACTCTGAAATATTTCATATTTGTTATGCCCGTAATACAGTGTACATATCCCATACCTTCTGTGGGGCAGAGTGGTTCGTCCATACACAGGTCGTGCATGGCCACCTCCAGTGGGTCTGTCATCAGCGCAGCGTCATCAGCACTCGGCACGTGGACAATAGCTGTGGGAGCTGGGGGGAAATACATTGTAGGCTTATTCTATCTCATTTAGACAAAATGGAGAAAACCTCTGGTCATGGGAACTTTTATGATATTTATTGATATACCTGTACGTGGCTTAATTAACTTGTATCCACCTGGCTATGTTTAGTTGCTGTAGACCATGCGAAAGACACAATGCTTTGTAGTTGTAGGACCTGGTCAAATCCATTGCATGATTCTCATACGATTGTAAACTAAAGTGTGACTCGTGGGATATTCGTGCTTTTTTCATACAATATTCAGCTGTCTATTGTTGTCTTAGATCCTTGTGGCTGCCTGGTTCTATTTTCCCCCTTACGTTGTACTTTCTTTGTCCTACAGTAATGTCATGAGAGTAAAGAGCATATTGAACTTACCATTGAGTTGGCAGATGTAGTGCTGCTGGGCTGTGCAGCTCAAGTCGTTCCAGTCATAGGCATAAACCTTCCTCAGTTCTCCACAGTCTTCATCTCCTGCACTGTTAGGCTCCCTCTGGTCAACAAATTTAGACACACGTTTAGTACAGTAACATATACAAGACAGTAATCACGTACAATGTGCATGTACATATATCACGCGTATACATGTAGCTATCGTGTACAGCGATGTAGAGTTATTCTACTCTAAACAGACTAGCTTTTACACTTTTCTTCAGGTGTGACCAGAAACGCTTGAAGGGTGTTTGTATTACTCACCCGATTGTAGTTTAACGATGAATGACTCTAACAAGCTTGTTTACCTTTACTAGCTCACAGAAATGACTAGGCAGCAACATCATTTGACAAAATAGCTGTTTGAAATGACTAGGTTTCCCCACTATTTGACACAAAGTGAAGTGTACTAGATATCATTATCTAACATAGGAAACCTCTGACTAGTTCCCTTACCGAGTGCCAGACGTTGAAGTCTCCGAGTGCGCCACCATCAGGCCACGCCCACGTTCCCTCCGTCTGTCTGTCATTCAGCCCGAACCAATGAGATTCGTCCACCGTGTTCCGGATGTGAGTCACCAGGTAGTTGTGGGTGAACTAAAATGAAACAGCATTTCAATAATTCAGTCAGTGAATACAAGATTTTTAAAAAGAGCTTGTGTCTCGAAGTATTCTCTACTTTTCTATTCTTGGGCCCTTCCAGACGGTCTACAGCTTTTATAGATTCTACTTTTCTTCGTATATAGCCATGTAAAATGAAACATGTCTACTTCTCACTTGTCAGAATCAGACAAACCATAAGCGGTGGGCTAATGAGCAATAGGTCAAAGGTGAATAGAAGTCGATATCGGCCCCCTTCTCTGTACTTGGGCGTTGATTGGCCATAGTGTAGGAGGTCAAGAGATTACGCAATCGGGTTATTTAGGACTTGTCCAGAATATTTAGTAGGGTAAGTCCATCCCTTTCTTGTGTTGAAGTTTAATCCTTCTTTGTAATGTTAGAAAATTTAATACAAATGAGCTTTTCTACAGACCTGATCCTTGATGACAGCCAGAGTCGCCCCCTGGTCAAGACAGTTCTTCTCTGCGTCGTGGTACGCCATCTTGTTGGCGGAGAACATGTAGCACTGCGCGTTAAACTCGTGATAGCCGTCCGGACACTCACGGGCGTCAAGGGCTTCACCTGATTTCCAGCATAAGAAATGACACAATCGTTACAGAAATCAATATTTCTTTATCAAAAGGTCAGCTTTAAATACAGCTTTCTTAAAAAAATGTCACATTTGTTTGTTTGAACCATACTTTATTCATGAGAACCTCAAATTGACCTGCAGGCCTCTTTTCATGAGGAGAGAGGTAAGAGTCAAAAATATGTCAAAAATATAGAAAGTTTACATCCTGATAAATTATGCACATATATTTACACACACGATACAAAAACGTGCAATCGAGTAAATGCTGGTATATGGTTCGTGTCCGATCGTAAATAAAAGTAAATGCAACGTTATCTGAGTACCTTAAATCAACATATCTATTATTGGTAATCAGCGTCGATTGGAAGTCTGTATCTGCCCCCGTCACTGCACAATGAAGGATGATGGGTGATGATGCTTCTTACTTACCAACAGTGATCTCACAGATGTAGTTGATGGTGTCTGTGCAGCTTTGGTCGTTCCACGTGTCCCCGATGATCTCTGTACAGTCTTCGTCAATCTGGTCATTAGGCTCACCTGCACCCCAGTATCTGGTGAATACAATGGCGGAAAAAATCCTCATTTCCTTGAAATGTGATTTGACCAATCATGGTTAAATAGAGGACGTGCTCAGAATTAAGAGTTAAGAGAACAAAGAGTTGAAAGCATTGACACGACAGTATCTGGTGTACAATGACGAAAATAATCTCTAATTTTCTTGAAAATAATTGTAATTGGTTTCGTAACAAATTTCAACAACCAATTATGGTAAAATGTACTCGGTGGTATATTTAGTTTTATTAGTGAAAAGCTTTAACCTCGAAGCTTCCCATCAATTGCAACAGTAGTGCAGATTTCTTTACTCACGTGACCATCACGGGGCTTCCATCGCTCCATTCGAAAGAACCCTCCTTGCCGTTGTCATGGAAACCGATCCAGTATTTCCCGTCAGGCTTCTGGGCGAGCACCCAGGTCTGAGAAAACAAATCAAAACATGCAAGCTTTGAGTTCCTAAGTTCCTCCTTCGTGCGTGCCATTCAACTCCTTCCAGCCTACGGGAAGACCGTTTTGACCTCCAGTTTGTCGACCTTTCGTCAACGCCTTTGAGGGACCATTTTGGCCTCCAATCCAGCCTTCCTGTCAGTCTTCGGTTACACCATTTCCCCTCACCTCCTGTGACCCTACTGTATTTATTAAACAACAGCGGACGCTCAAGCAAACAAATCCCCAAAGTCCATGCACGGAGACCCAATTTACTGACAAAATCCTGACGTGTGACAATCGCCTACGGACGCGAGGGTACGAAAACTTAGAATGTTGAATTTTTCCTACGTGTAAACGCGTCTGCTTTGCCGTACATTCAGATCGTACGAAGAGTTAACAAAGATAATGGTGATAAGATAAGTCTTACCCATTCCTCCTGTGAGTTGATGCTGACCAGGTCGCCTCCGCTCTGCAGACAGTCCTGCCGCGCGTCGTGCCAGGTGGTCTCGCCCACCACGTACTTGTAGCAGGAGCCGGCATGCGTCAGCCAGCCGTCAGGGCACTTTGTCATAGGCTCAGGCAACACTGGGGGTCAACACAACAACAGTTCAGTTGCCTGGTGTCTAGTATCCTGGTTACCAAACCTATTCGTTTGCGGATAGGACAAAAGAGACTCTGGAGCTAAAATAGGTTTGGCAACTAGGCCACAATTGCGGAGAAGACGAAAGAGACTTCTCCAAATTTTTGACTGTTCAACTTATGTCTAGTAGCCTGGTTACCAAGTCTGTTTCTAACTGAAGTAGGTTTGGTAACCAGGCTTAGTATTTTAGACACGCGTGTTCATCCGTTTATCAACTGTCAAAGCAAGCTAGTGGCGATTTTGGGAAGTGGGAAACAAGCTCAAGCTGTACATTTCTGGAAACCTGGCAACCCTATTTTTGCCGTTTTTTCTATACTAAGTCCTTTAGGAAGGTTAGGAAATGACAGTAAAAGTTGGACCTACTTGCGTGGCAGCCCAGCCTGCCGTCCTGGACGTACCAGGAGGTCCCGGGAGCACACTCCACCACCGCGCACTGGATCTCGTTATTCTCCCCGCAGATGCACCGCCGGTTTCCCTCCTCTCCCCACTCTTCTCCAAGCTTAACAAGAAATCGGATACTTCAGACCATTACCCTAATACTTCCAAATGAGAAAATTTTTACCTCCGTTCTTATGTGATAGGCTATAATCCATTGGTTGAGTTAAGTCAATTTTTCTTGCATGGTATTTGCTGTAAGTTTAATCTGCTTCTCTTGGTCGTTTAGAGTAATGGTTGGTTGGCCCAGAACCCATAGGTCCTGGGTTCAAATCCACCAAAATGATCTGATCTGTTTTGTCCTTTGGAAAGGCACTTTATGTGACTTTTATCACTTTACTCCTGTGGAAATGAGTATATAGCTTTGATTGGGGACGTCCCTCGGATAGGACGTTAGATGGAGATTCCGTGTTTGGGGAGAGCCACACATGATGGCATCCACCACCTTTCGTGAGTGACACTGCTTTTCTGACAGGTCTCCAGTGTCACTGACGAAAGTTAGTGGATGCTACCTTAAATGTCTGGCCGTTTCCAAAATCATATCCAAATGCTTGAGTCACTTTTTTTTGGCTTACCTGATAATAGTTCCCAAACATGGTGCAGCCGCACTGCTCGACGGGAACGCAGTCCTGTCCGCTCAGCACGAAGCCTTCCTCGCACTCGCAGCCTTCCACGCATGCGTGCGGGCAGAGTCGGGGTGCGTCCATGTCTGAGCAGGTGGCGGGACAGGCGGAGGAACAGGGCGTGTAGCGGCTGTTGGGCGGGCACATCAGGGCTGGAGGGAACAGGAAAGAAATGTTAATCCTGGGCCTTGTATACTACGTCTAAGGCTCCATGTTTGAGCAGGTGGAAGGACAGGCGGAGGAGCGGGGCGTGTAGCGGCTGTTGGGTGGGCACATCAGGGCTGGAGGGAACAGGACAGAAACGTTAAACATCACAGAAACATTAAACATTTGGGCGTTAAACATTAGGAAATTGTCCGTACACATGGCAGGACAGGCGGAGGTGCAGGGGCTGTATACGTACGTAGCGGCTGTTGGGTGGGCACATCAGGGCTACGGGGAACATGTTAGAAACGTTAAAGACATCCAATGCAATTACAGCGTGGCATAAATATATAATTTTTCTGTATGAGAAGAATTTGATACACATCATCATCATTACATACTTGAAAACTTGAAATAGCACGAAAACAAGATCCGTGAGGATCCCCCTTTTTGGTACCACTAAATAAATACCTAGAAGCAGCCTATCATACGATAACATACCAGGGGAGTTTGTCCGCTATAAAGTACAGTTTGCCGGAACAACTCCTCTGGCATGATATCTGTCTATTTGGTCAATCTCTACGCTTTCCAGCCGCTTTCATGCCCGATGGAGGCTAACTTGTCATTGAGATGATGACAATGATGTCAAGGTTTGTGCGTTAGTTAGTCTGTAAAACTTACGACAGAAGGATTCGTTCCTCCATGTGGCCACCATAATGCCATTTTCCGCACACGCGTCGGCGTAGGCCTGCAGGTTCTTAATTGGTTAGTTAGTTACTTAGTCTGTAAAACAAAATGCGGAAGACTTACGGCAGAAGGACTCGTTCCTCCATGTGGCCACCATGATGCCGTTCTCCGCACACGCGTCGGCGTAGGCCTGCAGGCTCTGACACAGCATGTCCCTCTCCCCTCCAAACGCAGCCATGTCGTAAACACAAGAGTCGAAGAACCCGGCCGGCTCCACGGACCGCGCGCACTGCCCGAAGCTTCCGGCCGTGTCGGTCAGTCTTCCGCAGTTGGTCACGCTTTCTACGTCCTGAAGAAGGGCTTGGTCGGCTTGGGCTAGGTCGAATTCTGCGGCAACTTCGTCTGGAAGGCAGCTATTGGAGGGAAAAAAAGAGAAAAAGGAATTTTAGATTGATCTAGGTGCAGTTTTAGCTCCCGGAAGACCTAATCTCCCACTAGTCGTGGCAGGAAAGAAAGACGCTTATATCTACAGTATACATTTTTACTGTTACAGTACCGGAAAAATCACCTCGCTCTTTTCAATTGGACCACGACCAAGGACTGAGACCTTTTCCAGTAGCGTGGACGGCCATATCGTACACGCGTGCGTTCTTGCCACATAACATGCCACAGAGCAGTGTCAAACATGTGAAACATGAAAAAGTGACTTTAAGTATAATTTGAAAGATAGAAAAACTGTTTTAAGTGAAATTTTAACCCTGCAATTACTAAAAAAAACACTGTAATATGGCACTCACTAGGGGTCGTCCTCCGTGACCCAGCTCTCGGCGAACTCCCGAATGTTGGTAGTCAGGCTGCCGTCTTTCTTGACTTTGTCGTCGTCCTTCTCGCCGTTAAAGTCGCCACACAAGCCGCTAACCTGGTTCATCTGCAAGGCCAAGTGTGGAGTCAGACCACTATGAGTTTACGGTAGAACTTATGATTATGATTTTACGGTAGAACTTTATGGTAGTACCATGCCTAGCACAGCAATGATTTTTAAAAAGATATTTTAGAGTGACAAGTAATTTTAGAGGCTTTGCTTACACCATGATAAAAGCAACCGAGAAGGTTCTATGACAAGCATTTCCAGCACAGTCTCAATTCTATGTTGCATACATTTGTCTTACGACAAGTATGGCAGTACCTTGTTCACTTCAGTACTTACCATAGCGTTGCGGAGTCCCACATCCACCTTCTTGTCTCCGTCATACTTGACTTCCAGACAGAAGTTTGTCTCCAATACGGTCCACCTACAAACAGCATTGACACACCTTTGTTACTGATACGTAATGAGCATTTGATAGTTCATGATCATGATATCTTGTTCGGCGACACAGTTGATGAATATGAAACATTGATACTTTGATAATAGTTGAGACTTTATGATGGCTAAGGGGCATTGCTGTGCTGTCTGAACGACTTGAAACTGTTCTTCTTAAATTTGGCTTCAATGACTATTTGACGAACTCCTGCTACAACCCTTACCTGCCGCTCTTTTTAATGGTGATGCCTTCTGGCAAACAGACGGGGACATTCCTCATCACACCGTCAACCTGGAAAGATAACTCTGCGGTAAGGCACAGTACACAAAGGCCATGTGATGTGCTATCTTTACACATGCATAAACCGTATATGAAAATTCTTACAAAGTTCTTCCACAGTGCGTGCTCAGAAAAGACGAAAAATGCTGTACAGCATTTTTTTTTTTTTTTTCTAAGCACTGTGGAAGAACTTTGTAAGACCACATTTGAAAGTTATAAATTTGACGAAAAAAAAACACTTGAGGATGAAGACACGAGGCTATTTGCATACAATACCATTTGCTATATGGCCAGAAGACGTTGTAAACCATCTCAGTCTATAACATCTATTCCAACAGTGAGACTTACATAGACTTTGTGTCCCTTCTCCAGTGTGATGCGGTGACCGTAAACATCAACATAAACCTTCTCCACAAAAGTCACCCTGTCGTTGTTACCACGGTGTTCGTTCTTAGCTGCCACGTGGAAGGCTCTCTGCCCCTGAAACAGAGTGTGCACTTAGACTAGATTAAACTTGAAAGTGGTCAAGTTATCTCCTTAACTGAATGATCTTGCACCAGTTAAGTTCACTAAAGAGCTATAATTCTTCTTCCACTGGTTGAGACAGGCAACATGTATGATATTTAAGGGTTCAATCATTGTAGGGGTAAATCCACCTCTTTTTGACAAGAAGGATTGGATACTAGGGTGGCCTAACGTCATATCCTATGGATTGCGACCCAGTAGTGTGTGTGTCGGATGAGCAACAGCCGGGATTCAAACTCCCAACCTCTTAAACCAGTGTCAGACTCACTAACCACTGGTAAAAATGATATTGCAAACACTTCTTACTGTTTTTTAATATGATGATTCCATATTAGCGGTCTCACCTGTGTGTACTGTGCGAGTGTGTAGGTACAGGCGCCCATGAAGTTGAACTTCAGGTTGTCGAACGTGGTGTAGTGAGGGTCTCCCCAAGCCTTGCACGTTCCCTCTGAAGTCAAAGGTGCAAAAGAAAATATAAAATGAATGAATGAAGACCATAATTGACACAGAAGTACAGGTCACAACAGAAGTATAGAAAATGGATAACGTTACATATATACTTTGTCAAGTAAAATATAACTGACCATTCCTATAAACCTAAAATGTACAATATTTGGTAATACAAGCATACTTGTAGCCTGAATTATACAGCCTTGTTAGCTATAGGTCCTTTTTTGGGAGCGGACCAAGGCTGGTTTTCAGGCTAGCAGGTTTGATGAATGGTTGGGTTTCCTTCACAATGTAAGCCCCAATACCTATCTGTCTAACGAAGCCCATACCTGTCTGAATCAATTTTGTGTAGACCTAGGCAATATGTAGTATATACAAAGAGTGAACACATACCGCTGCGTGGGCAGGCGAAGTCACACTGTGCCTGTTGGGGAGCAACGGCACTGTCGTCCATAACTGGGCTGACATCTACGTAGGAACATAAAAAAAGAGAGATTTTAAAGAGATGTCAAGTACAAGTGTTCTTATATTATTGAACTGTTGTTGCTATTTGTGTGTGTATGTTGTGCTGACCATAAATATGTGGAAACAGACACGAATACAGATATAGACAGGCCCAAAACAATACCTCCATAAAAACTCACCAGGCTGACAGGACCAATGTCCGTTCTTCAGGGTCCATGTTTGTCCGTGCGGACAGGCGATCTTGGCACACATGACCTCATCCCCGGCCAGACAGGTGCACTCCTCGTCTCCCAATACAAACTTCTCATCAAGCTGAAATTAGCAGAAGCCTCTGTTAGAACACAGAAAAATACAGAGTACACTAGACTAGATAGGCTAGGCTAGATGGACCGATAGCTACAGACAGATAAAATTACATGTAGATAGCTAGATGAAGATAGATATATAGATAAATAGATACATGGACGGATAATTAGTAGTGATTGCACAATTGTGGCCCAAGGGCTACGAAACGGAGTGGGCGACCATGCTTTTGGTAGATAGATAGATTGGATAGTGTTCAGCACCAAGGACAGACATAATTGTCCTATGTGGGTTCGAATCCCTGGCAGGCCTTGGAAAAGGCATCTACCGAGATAAATACATAGATAGAGATAGATGGAGATAATCTCCAAGCAGATCATTCGGTGGCAAGGCAGTATACATTTGCCAGAGGAGTGTCACCGGTGGCTAATGGACACCTTGACACCGCATGATCTGCTTGGAGATTAGAATATAGATACTAGATAGATATCTACCTTGTAGTAGCTGCCTCCCCTGACGCAGCCGCAGTCGCTCATGGGAACGCACCGGTCTCCGCTCAGCAGGTAACCGATCTCGCACCGGCACCCTTCCACGCATGCGCCCCTGCAGGTCTCTGGAGCGTTCGGCTCTGCGCATGTGCGTGGGCAGGGAGTCATGCAGGAAGAGTACTCGCTGTTGGGTGGGCACCTCAGCGCTGGGAAATACGCAGAAGATAGGATTGAAATGTGGGTTTGCTAAGTCAGTTCTTCATCTAATATTCTGTATCTTCTGTAGGCTTGTTGGATGTCGGTAGCCTCTACCAGGCTTCGGGAGGTGGCTGGAGAGAGTTGGGAAATACGGATATCATGAAGCAAGTCTTAACTGTAATTTGTCAACACATACATACAATCGCCTGGCATTCGGTCTCATTATACCAAAGGGAAATCTTGCACACAGAACCAGACTTCTTTGCACGAGGTATTAAAGAGGCCGTCTATATTATACAAGATATTGCAACCATCCCTCAAGAAATGACGGAAGCCACAGAGTTTCTGAAACCTATGAACCGCTGCTCAACGAGTCACGAGTGTGTCATCTGCATAATGTGACGTCACAAGACCAGTCGATTGTTTATTCTGCTCTTGCAATTCTCAAATTGGTCAAACCAAAAATTGCTATACTCTCATTAGTTAAACTGCTAATTGTGATAGACAATCAGGATCGGCCTATTTCATTCATCAGAGTTCGATACTTACGGCAGAGGTCGTCTCTTCGCCACTTTGGCGGCTCCAGCCCCGCAGCTGCGCATGCGTCGGCGTAGGCCTGCAGGTTGTGACACAGGTTCGTCTGGTCTCCACCATTCGCCGCAAGGTCGTACACGCATGCGCCGAAATACTCCTCAGGGTCAATCACCTTGATGCAGTCCTGAAAAGCGTACAAGATTTTGTCAGGTCGCAAATCTAGAGTTAGCCTATGTGCACAGGCCATGCCCCAGGTACTGGCCCCTTGCTTTCCGGTTTCTTCAGTTAGCTCTATCAAGGGTAATAGTCTCAGCTTCTCTTAGGGTAAGCCCTGTGTCACTCTGAATCTGGTCTTTCCACTTCTTGAGTGGTCTTCCCCGGGGTCTGGAATTTTTTAAACTCCTGGTGGTAGGCCTTATAAACTAAGGTGTAAGATTGTCTGTTTAAGTCGATATAATATATTTCAGCTTGAACCAGGCTTAGAAGCGGGCGTAAAGAGTAAGAAATTGGCTAAATAGACAGATAACATGCCAGGGAAGTTGGTCTGCTGAAGGAGCTTGCCACTCCGAACCTCTGACAATGTCTCTATCTTTTTGATCAATTTCTACTCTTTCAATCTGCTTCAGAAGCCTGGTAGCATAGAGGGTATACTTTTCTTGGTTTTATCAAAGCAAGAACATCGAATCCTCTCATTGACAGGTAGCCACTGTAGACATGATTTTAATGCTTGGGCTAGACTGTACTTCATTACCAATGGATCTTTACACATTTGCATTCATCTCAACTAGAAACAAATCCCATCTACTAACTGCCGTATCTTTGATATTGTGTTGAACTATATTCATCACTCTGGAAGATTTGACCAATCTCATTAACGCTATAGGTATCGGTGCGCCAGCTACTTTCATTTTAATTATGTTTATGTTATATTTTATGTCATCTTTATGTTTACAGTTGTATTATGTTTTATGAGCAGCGGATTCACATACGCACAACAAGTGATTCTTATCTAATGCTCAAAAATCAATGTGAATAAAATAAACAAACGAACCCGGAAGACGCCCGTGATGTCCGTCAGCTGTCCACAGAGATGCACGTCCTCATACTGCTGGACTAGAGCGGGGTCAGCCTCGGTCAGGTCAAAGGTCTCCTCCGGGGTGATAGCAGGGCAGCTGGGGGACAAGAACAGACGGTTGTATTTGTGTATGTGGTTTAGCACGATAACTGGATTAATTGCCATGAAACTTTGAAGATGGACAGGTCTCAAAGGGGCTTCAAGATGATTAGATTTTGGGTTCCCAATCGGCTTGTTATGGTACTGCAGTGGAGCATCCAGTTTTGATATCTTATGATGTTTGGGTCACGAATTTTGCATGGCAGATACCTCTTGTGGCCAGGAAGAAGCGACAAAAGTTTGAGCCCCCTAGCATCTTGCCCAAGTTCCGCAAGGTTATTGGATCCTTACCTAGTATCGTCCGGAGCGACCCAGGAGTTTCCGAGCTCCAGAGCATCCCTTGCAAGGCCGCCGCCCGGCATCTTGTTGTCGTCATCCCCATTTCCGTTGTAGTCACCGCACATCCCCTCAACCTAGTTAGATTGACATATGAGAGGAGCTTTCATCAAATGGCAAACCCTATAATAGCAAACGTAATAGTAGTACTATATGTTTACCAGACAGTTGTCGTATGTAATTAGCCGTCGGCATACTTGGCAAATAGACAATTGTTACCGAATTAGACGGAAACCTAAGGGTTTATACCAACTTTCTACCAACCGGGACCGGGGGGCGGTACCGACTTCCGCCAAACTTTGACCCCAGTGCTAATGTCACGCGTGGAGACAAAAATCACATGTCTACAGCACTCGGGTCAGAAAGCTGATGAAGACTAAGAGTTAATTCTGTCTAAAATTCCTGTGAGTCAATTTCTCTTTTTTCTTTGAGAACAGTTTAATTCTCATTACGAAATTTCGTTACCTCGTCACCATAGATGTCCGGCAGGTTGATGACCAGGCGGTTGTCTCCGTCGAACGCCATGCTGAAGCACATGTCTGTGGTGATGACTACATACTTCCCGCTCAGCTGGATGGACACCCTTCCCTCGATACAGATCGGCAAGGTCCGGAGAACGCCGTCAACCTAAGGACGGTATAAAAAAGAGATAATGTTACATCATTGAGCAGGGTCTTTCCCGGTGAGAGTGTTTGACATCTCGAAGAGGTGATAGTCAGGTGTTGTGTCAATCCTTCCAGAAATGTAGTAAATTTACAAAAACATCACTCTTCATGCCGTTAAGTCAAGTCAACATTTGCATTGCTTTGCATCCGATTTTGTCCAAAAGACGAATTTTCGTGCGATTCCTAGAATCCTTGCAAAGTAGGTAAATGCTGAAGAGAGACAGACAGACAGACAGACACTAAAATGTTTATTTACCTTGACCATAAGGCCCTGTAGAATCTCCACCTTATGCCCGTACAGGTTCAGCTCTACCACGTCCACCATGGACACCCTGGCGTTACTGTTGTGCTGCGCGTTTTGCTCAAGGTTATCTGCTTTTGCACGCGTTAAATAAACGTATCAAAGTTTATCATTCTATAATTACCTTGACCAGAAGGCCCTGGAGAATCTCTACTTTGTGTCCGTACAGGTTCAGCTCTACCACATCCACCATGGACACCCTGGCGTTGCTGTTGTGCTGCGCGTTGCGCGCCGCCACGCGGAAATCACGGTGTTGCACCATGACGTACTTGCACTTCCCCATAAAGTTGTACTTCCTCCCGTCGAACGTGATGTAGTGCGGATCTCCCCATGCCGTGCAGTTGCTGGATTCTGTAATGGCACAAAATACAGTAAACCTGTCTAAGACGACCACTAGGGAACCGACTCGAGGAAAATTTTTCTTTTCAAGTGGTCTTCTTATACAAAAAGCACCCATTGTGGACGAAGCAAGACAGATGAATTCAGATTTCACAAGACACAGCCAAACCTGTCGACTACGACCACATAGGGAACCAATGCAAAGTACTAGTGTTACTCTTGGACGAGTGGTCTTCTTCTACACAAAAGGCATGGCGACAAGATAGGACAGAGATGCAGTTTTAGGCTTACCTGAGGGACAGAAAAGTGTTCCCAGACATTCGTTGGTCTCCGTCACCCCTTGGCTTGCGCCAGGGTCGTCAGCCATCAATGGGGCATCTAGAACAGTGGAGAAAAAGTGTAATTCAGAATCCATTCAAATATAACATCCCAATTTGGATAAATTGTTTGTTTCAGCGTGAAGCTAATACGGCGAGACGGTAGTTTGCCAGGCCTCCATCGAGTTAATTTGTAGTGTGTCGCCCACTTCCAGATAGTAGTACGAGTATTGATAAATACTACGATGTACGGCGCATCTATATGATCAATGCTATTTGGCTATATATAAGATAACCCCAACACACAGGCCCCCCTTACCCGGCTGGCATCCCTCGTCCAGTTTCCAATGAGACCCCGGCGGGCAGGCGGCCTGCACACACCTGATGTCTCCGGGCTGTTCACACGTACACTGCTGGTCTCCTTCGGACCACTCGTCGTTCAGCTAATTAGGACATACGATAACATTTCAGAGGATAACATTTCAGCGTATTGGTACACTTGAAAGTCATTCAAAACCTGTCTTTTTATCACCAACGTCCTCAGCGATAGCAGATCTAGAGTGCTGTGACGAGGATGCGATCCCAAACGTGACGTCTCACCAGATGACGTTGCAGTCATGATCATCGACAGGTATTATGACCCACTCACTATGTGCTGACACGTGCATTTCTATGTCTTTACGCTATTAGTTGGATCAGACTCGTGAAGCAGCGAGCGAAGTTATAACCGGCCCCCGACTCACGCAGCCGACCCACTATCCGCTGTGCCCCCAAATACACTGCCCCCTATAGGTATGCTGGCTTTTGCGTTGTGGCACTCTGTGGTACTTGACGTCGGCGGGGGGGGGGGTGATCTACTTACCCTGTGGTACCTCCCGTTCGTCCAACAGCCGCACTGCACGGCTGGCACACATATCTCTCCGCTCAGGACAAACCCGTCCAGACAGCGGCAGCCCTCCATGTTACAACTTACCCGTTTACTTTAGCGTCGTTCTGGTCTTCAGAAATCATGACCCACCCACTACTCTTATTACTGTCAATTGATTTTCAATGTTTCCTCTACAACGATGATATTTAGTTTTTGGACGTCTTCTTCATTCTCACCTTCACGACTGTGGTTCAGTCACTTTTCTATGGAACAAGAGCTGGAGAGAAGTGGTGGCCAACATCGCAGACGTATGATATTTGAGGAAGAATCTATTTTGGACCTCTTCACTACTCACCCTGTGGTACCTGCCGTTCGTCCAGCACCCGCACTGCTCGGCTGGCACACAGATCTCCCCACTCAGGACGAACCCGTCCAGACACCGGCAGCCCTCCACACACGGCTCGGCCGGGCTGCACTTCTCTTCCGCCTGCAGGTCCGCACAGGTGGCCGGGCAGGCGCTCACGCAGGGCGCGTACTCGGACATCGGAGGGCATCGCATCGCTAAAACACAACAGAGAACTTTAGAGTTAATGGGGTCCTCAAGTCCAGAAGGGAAGGGAAGAGAAGTTCAGTTGTAGGGATGCCATAGAAACATCTGCCAATAGCATTGTAACATAAGTCCGGAAACTGACTCTCCTGGCCACTTTATGCCTTTTGGCCGAATTATACGATCCTTATTCTTGTAGGAAGACCCAGATGTAGTAGAGGCTATGGCTACCATTTTCAAGCCTTTAGTTGGCCTTAAGGTTAAGGATAGAATTCGCTGGAAAGCGCCAATGTGCCACCTCTTAGCTCCCTACTTGAGGCTGGTAGGGAGCAGAGTTTTAGACAGACTAGGACTGGACATGCTAAACATGCCTCGCGTTTGGCCTGTCCTCAACTCGCAGTAACAAGTGTAGTGGGCTTTTTAAGAAAGTGGATCGTATTCCTTTATTGTCCTATTGTCACCAGGGAATGATTGAATGCGTTTTGCTTACGACAGAAGGAGTCAGTCCTCCAGCTCGGCTGAGGCACCCCCTCATCCACGCATGCGTCGGAGTACGCCTGGATGTTCTCGCAAAGCAGCTCGGGAAGGGTCCCCTCGTGGGAGGCCATGTCAAACACGCATGCGTCGTAGTAGTCTTTGGGGTCGACCATCTCGTGGCAGTTCCCGAAAGGTCCGCTAGGGTCCAGCATCATTCCACACTGGTCGGTGCTCTCCACTGTCTGCAACAGGCCGGCGTCGACTTGCGATAGGTCGAAGGTTATCTCCGGGGTGTCTTCAGCAGGGCAACTGGAAACAAGTAAAGAAATTGGAGATTTTAGACTTCAGGGAAGTATGCAATCCTCCGCTTCCTGAATTCTCTAATTCCTAATGGCCCTCGGGCAGATTCTGGAACTTTTCATAAGGGTTAGATCTTACTGGAACCACCGAACCGTTTTTGGACGTACAATATATGCTGCAATATGTTGAGTTTCAATGAAAGCAATACAACTTGATACCAGTCTATTCTTATAATAGAATAGAATTTATTGTATTGGTTGCTTTGTCATCCTTGCCATACATACGTCAAGCAACAAAGTTCATTCATTCATTTTTTAAATCCATACATATATATGATACTTAACAGCTTGGTGAAGGGAAATTTATTTTATCACACCTTGCGTCTATGATGTCTCCCACTTTCCAGCTGTCTCCAAACGTTGCCTGGCTCGTTGCTAGGTTACCGTCCGGCAGCTGTCGATCATCCGAGCGGTCCCCATTGAAGTTGCCGCACATGCCTCGTGATTGGTCAATCAGGTGGTTCGGCACTTCCAGGTTGACCTCGTGGTTCCCGTCGTACGTGACCCGGAGGCAGAAGTCCGTGTAGATGATGACGTCCCTTCCGCTCATGCGCACTCCGGCCTTGCTCCCGATGCATGCTGGGAGGGCCACTGGGATGTCGTTGATCTACGTGTATTTAAAAAAATAAAACAGGGTCGTTACATTTTCCAAAATATCCCTGGCTTATCGACAAACTTTTAAAGTTGACGTCCTATCAACACCCTATAGTGTATAAGGTTGCGCCTATCTCCGTTATTTAGCCCTTGGGTCACACTGCTATGCAAGCACAGGTACTGCAACAGCACTATGTAAAAGCTCTAAGTGTTGGTCATGAGTGCTACGTAGTGCTAAGTATTAGCAACATTTTCAAAAGTCCCGGTTAGGGAATGTAACCCACCAACTACCGCATGCAAAGCAAGTGCTCTAGGCTATTATCATGGTGCATGGCAACATTTTATGCCATATAAATGGTGAGAATGTTATTTGTCGTACCGCGACCCGGTTGTTCCTTGACACGGTGATCTTCTGTCCGTACACCTCCACAGTCACCCTGCCTACATACGACACGTGGTTCCGACCGTTCCTGTTGGGAAAACAAAATTCCTCTAAGCGTCTTTTTTATTGAAAATCATAGAAAGTATCAAGTGACAGTGTTCTGCATTTATGGCAATCTATGGTTTTTTTTAGTCTGCTAAAGACAACCTTTCACTGTCTCGGGTTTTATGGGGACCCTTAGACCCTTCCTTAGTATTCTGGCTTCAATCTGAAGCTTCAAAAGCTAGGATACTGGTTTGAAAATCTAGAACTACCAATAAGAGACTGGGGTTGCTTGTCACCAAGGAATCAGCCCAATAGGGTCTCAGAATCAGTTCTGAGTGACTTGTGAGAGTGCTAGAATCACGATTTTGCTAAGAGACTGTATCATATTTGTCTACCCAGGGACTAGTGTAGATGAGCCTACCTGTGCTCGTTCTTTGCCGCAACCCTGAAGGCCGGCTCCTCAGTCCGCTCCGCCAGTGTGTAGGTGCAGGTCCCCATGAAGTCTGTCCTCGTCCCGTCAAACGAGATGTAGTGCGGGTCTCCCCAGGCACGACAAGACGCCCCAGCTATTGTAAATATTCACATCATTTGTAAATTCACTCATGCATTGTAGTAAGACATTAGTATAGTCTGCGTACCATTCTGACAAGCTGATAGTGTTAAGACCAAAGTACACAGTATTAAGAATGGTTAAAACGATGTTTGCAACTAGAAAATTCGATCGACTAAGTTATAATTAAAGAGCTTTCTTTTGTAATTGTTACCGTTTGCAAGAAACATAGTCCGCACCTGATCGGGCACAGGCTGTGGTCCCCAGACAGATATCCTCGAATGGGGCAACTGTAGGAAGAAGTTACAGCAATTAGAAATCAAGAAATCTCTTTATTCATTATCATTAATTTCTCGCAAATTATCTCTGCATGTTTTTACAGACATGCATATAGACAGGAAATGAGGTACCCTTTTCTGGGACCTTTGACATAATTTCTTGCTAGTACAGTGTTCACATGTGAACTAAACAAGCAATCACACCGAAAACAAAAACTTCTTGCACGAAGATGGCAAAAAGGAGTGCCATGCATTGCCAGCTATTAACATCTGTGTTTGACCGTTATAATTGTACATTTGAGATTGACATGTGTGTACAGTGCATGGGAGTAATACTACTGTGCCCTCACGTACACGTGGGCAGATTCTGGTAAACCACCCACTCCATGTGTACACGGGGTCAGAGTCCAGTGACCCTAGAAGGTACACGCGTCTAGCTGCATCACGAAAAAGCACGTTTTGTGTAAACTCTTCCCACACGATCTAACCGTGAGGTCAGATCCACATCCTACTTTAGAACAATAGGTTTAAGCCGCTTGTTTATAAAGTATGTGTTCAACATACTACAGGGTTAAAGCATTTATCCATGCAATGACTCATCACTAAATGTTTTTCCTTATTTTTGTCTGAAGCAATCAGATATTTCGTGGTTCGTGCAGTCCGTATTGACACTGCGGCATTACTGTACAAAGAATCTATTCACATATTTTATCTGCGTGCTAAAACTGGAATTACCAGATCCTGTTTCAACAACTTATACGTTTTTCCTTATTTTTGTCTGACCCAATCAAAAGTTCGTGTTGCTTGTATTGACACCGTAGTGCGGTATTGTTGAAATGTCAGTGTACAAAGAATATGTTCAGGTATTTAATCTACGTGATAAAGCTGGAATTATTAAATCCTGTTTGAACAACTTCTAAGTTTTTTTCCTTATTTTTGTCTGATGCAATCAAATATTTCAGAGTTCGTGTTAGTCGTATTTACACTGCGGTATTGTTGAAACGTCAGTGTATAAAGAATCTATTTAGCTATTTCGTAATCTGAGATAAAATGGAATTAGTAAATCCTGTTCCAACAACTTTTATTGAAGTTTTTCCTTATTTTGTCTGATGCAATCTAGTATTTCATGGTTCGTGTAGTTCGTATTGACATTTGTAGCATTGCTGGAATGTTGATGCACAAAAGAGTCAATTCAAACATTTCCTAGGCGTGACAAAATTGAATTACTAGATCCTGTTCGAACAAAACACATGATGCAATGATTACATCATATTACACAATGAAAAGTATTGTATAGACTTCATGAATTCCTGGTTACCAGTATAATTCAATTGGTTGCAACCCGAGCTCTACTTTTCAGTCAGACATGTTTGAAAGTTCATAGGCTACGTTTGTACCATTAGAAGAGTTTCTTGTTAGGTTTGTCCCAATCAAACTCCTTCTGGTAAGATCGTAATCATTTACTAAAGAATTGCAACGTTTACTATAGGGCCTCGTGTCCTTTTAATTGGTTCAAAGTACTATAGTACGAGTACCATGCCATTTTGAGCAATGATCGTTGAAATGCAAAATCCACAAACTCTTCTGGGTGACATTTTTTTAGCAAGAACGACCTTTCAAACAAGACAGTTTTTAAATTGATCACAACCTTGATTTAACGGTACGTTAGAGCTTGCAGACCGGGTATTTCACGCTGACCATAAGTATTTGTTTGCGTGCCCTAGTCCCTTGTTACGTTGAAGTATATATACTATAGTTTTAAAGTATTATCAAGGCTTAGTAACATGCTAGTTCATGTATTTTCTGTTAGAAAAGGCTTTCAATATGAACTTTCTCCTTAGATCCTGAGATTTCCGGCGAAGACCGTCTGTTGGAATGTGGTAAATGAGTATGTACCGTTTCCTAAACAACAGGCTACCAGAAGGACTATTCCATTATACTAGTGTAAGCCACTCTGATCACCCATGACACTGGTGACGTTTAGAGAGTTGGGCGGAGTTAATAAAGAACTTGGTGCTACATACTTTGTGGCATTTCCGTTCCCATTCTCGACACATATTTTACAACACAGTGCTATGATCCCCAAACTGTTATTACAGCATATGTATGGTAAAGTGGCATGGTGGCTTTATGGTTAGGGTTGTTGAATGAGAATCTGAAGGTTTGGGGTTCAAATCCCTGGTAGGCCCCAGTGTCCTTGGGAAACCATCTATTTTCACGACTCTGGGAAAATGACTACCTAGCTTCGGTTAGGGACGTCCTATAGGATGGGACATAAAGCGATAGGTCCCTCGTTAAAGATCCCACTGCATTTATCTATACGATGTATTAAACACCAGTACTCAGAATCTGTTTTTAATGTTCCTCAACTCAATTATGTTTAACCAATTGTATATATCGTCCTCAATGGCTTCAAGTGCAGCTATTTAAGACTACTTAAGAATTTCACCAAGTCTCGATAAGTAAGTTGTTATTCGTGGCGATAAACTCTACCCTAGTGAAACGACAAATCTATAAACTATACATGACAAATGGACTACGTTCCTTTACACATGGCGGCTCTTAACTTGACAGCATTGAGTACACTTCCCGAGGTTTGGACAAATCGCTGCCCAAACAAAACTCAGTCGTTTGACGTGTTTGTGTGTGTTTTGCCGAGGACACCGGTTTGACCCTCTGGAACCGTGGCTAATGCTTACAAACACAGCTTAGGGTTCGCTTGTGATCGGCACGTAGCGCTGCTTTATTTCTCTGGAGAAGAAATTGGGGATGCAGAATTTGTCAACATCCTGGTAGCCTCTGAACGTTCAGTTTACAGAATTCTTAAGGTCACCGTCCTTATGGACAATTTGTGAACTTTTGACCACTTTTGGTGGAATGGGGGAGTAGAGAACTTTAAAACATTGGCCACAGTCTACAGATTCTCTACTTTCTTCATGGGAGCTCGAGACAGCATTGAAGCATTGTATTGGTTGGGCCGGCTACTCCAAGGGCTGAACTGTGAGGAGCTTACAACATATTGAGGAAGGGTCTAGAGCGGGTGCCTTTCAGCGCTGACTCAAGGGACCTCAATACGACCCCAGGAGCGGCCATAGGACTGTAAGGTTTGAACCACTCACACTGGGAAGGTCCCCTACTCTACCATTACGCCACACACCGCACACTAAAAGCATTTCTATCCCATATACATATACACAAGCTACATGTGGTTAGTATCACTACCTAGCTACGGTGGCCCATAAGAGAAAAGGAAAACATTGTCTCTTTGGGCCATCGTACTTACCGTCTATGCAGCTCGGCCCCTGCCACCCAGGCTGACACTCGCATCGGAAGTGGTTCCCGTCCACCACGCACAGTCCACCGTTTTTACATGGGTCTCCTGCGCACTGGAGATGAGAGAGAAAATCAGACATCAAGAATTCTAGAATTGTCTTGTTTCTTTGTTTGTTAGTCCACTAAAGGAGTTACTGCTTGCTGCCCTAAAATTGTACACTTTTGGGGACAAGCTCACGTTATCTGACTGTCTTTATGGCCAATTCAACTCTTTCCAGACACCTCTGAACCATGGTATAGAGTGTATTAGTATGTCTATCTGGCCAATTTCTACTCTTTCCAACAGCCCTGAAGCCTGATAGAGGCTAAGAATGTCTACTTGGCCAATTTCTGCTTTTTCCAGACTCTGAAGTCTGGTAGAGGCTAAACATGCCTATCTAGCGAATGTCTACTCTGTCTAGTCACCTCTGAAGCCTTGTAGAGGCTACTGAAGGCTTTATGGGTCCGTAGAGGATAAATGCGTCTATTATTTGGCCAATTTCTACTCTGAAGCCTGATAGAGCAACCTCTGAAGCTTGATGGAGGCTTCTAAATGCTTACCGGATCAGCTGCCAGGTCCTCATCAATGCGACCGTCTCCATCGTCATCTATCCCATTAGGCAGCTCCTCATCAATCCGCCCATCACAGTCGTTATCCTCACCGTCAGCCGGCGTCGGCTGGGTCACCTGACACGGAGCTGCGATCTTAGCCAATCGCAGACCGCCGGGGTAGCCGTAGGACTCCGGGTACGAGAACCCGTACATGAAGGCTGAAATATGAAATATCGATGAATGTATAAGTATTACTTCAATCAAAGTGAACACAAAAATGCTGCGAGATGATAATCATGCCAATAAGTTCCATCAAATTTTCTTTTCCAGTCAGAAACAAACCCTTAAGGTGGTTACTACAACCTATTACAACCTGTAATCTCTTATATGTAACTAGAGATCCCACCGCTGCCACCAATGTAAGGCAAACGCTTGTACTTCCTTGTTGCCTACTGCAACTGAGCAGACAAGCACTCCTTTAAACACATGTAAAAGCTTACAGATGTGGTCTGTGTACGTGTGGTGGCTATGACAATCCATTTGTCCTTACAAACACATTGTAGCATATGCATGCTGTGACGACTCTATACAGTGTAGGGTCGAATGTACCTGAAAATGTGACGATAGGCGAAGTGTGCTTGAAAGTGTGGGTACCGGTATAACATGTGTATCATTATGGGGTCTATACAATTAAGGGTTAACTATACCTGAAAATGTGACGATAGGTGAGGTATGCTTGAGAGTGTGGGTACCGGGAGCGACCATCAGCCCAGTAGCAGACAGGTCCGTGTCCGGGATGGGGTGCCACGTGGTGGATTCTGGGAGTTTTCCTCCGTCCAATAGCAGCCCGTCCAGCTCGTCTGTCCTTAGCACGATGCTGACGTAGTTCTTGGTTGTTCCTGGAATCAGCAAGTATCAATTCCCGTAAAGACACAAATGCCCCCTCCTTTTAACAATCTAAGAAAAGGGGTACTTTTTCCTCATGTTTTACTTCTTGTTGCAATATAGTGTGGTCGTCGACTTGTAAATTGGCAATGGCTTTGGTGTTAAAACTTGAACTACATTGAATAGCATGCAAATTTCCCTATTTACAACCATTTATTTAAGAAGAGCCTACGTTTCGATACCATCTGTCATCTTCATCAGGGCATTTATGATCACTGTGCACTGAAGCTATGTGTTACTACTAAATATGCGGTCCAAAATGTAAAGTACCTGTGACATTCATTGATATTAGTTACAATATCATATAGTGGGATATGCGGTTCCAAATGTAAAGAAGTGTTCTTTACAATACATAAAGTACTACATTGATTTCGACATACATTTAAGGCGGAAATGACGTTGCACATACCGGAAATGAGGTCAGCAGTGGAAAAAGCGTAATCTGCGGCAAACTGCTCGACAGGCGGGAGATACATCATGAAGGGGTCAGTGTCCGTGCGGTCAACGTTGCGCCCCGTCTTGCTGAACTGGAGCACCATGATTGGTTCAGAGCCTTCGATCACGTGATACTCGTCTGATGGGATGTCCAGCTCCCAGAATTCCCCGGCTTGTAGGGTGCGACTTTGGCTGCCGCTGAACTGGACCTGATGACACAAAAGTTGTATGAATGTTTTCCTCTTGAATTTTCATCCTTCAATTATGGAACTTAATAGAATTATCAATTTGCCTGTTAAATATATCGCACACACACACACACGCACACGGCACACACACACACACGCACACGGCACACACACACACACACACACACACACACACACACAATCATATTCAGGACATATGCACATAGTACTCGTTGTTATTTATAAACAATTTTTGTTGTGTTTCTTGTCTATTATATCATACTTTTCGTTCCTAGAAATTGCCCGACCGGAAATGTGCCCTAAGCACAAGGAGAGTATAACTTGGTTCTGGATACACTATCCAGAAACGTACCTGAGCATTATTCTAGATAATTTTGGATGAATCAGTACCTGTGTGTAGTCATTGGCGGCGACGTTGCGGAGGCACGGTTCTTGGTATTTCCATATGCGTGTCTGAATATTGTTCTGGATAAAACACGGTTCTGGATACGAATTTACTATGGTTCTGGATAGTTCTGGATGATTCTGGATAGAACAGTACCTGTGTGTTGTCCTTAGCGGCGACGATGCGGAAGATGTCCCCGCCTGTCCTGCCCTCCAGCGGCACCGTGACGAACCGCTTACCCCAGGTGTTCACGGGAGGAATCTGCTCAACAAGGTGGTCACCTGTCCCGCTGATCTGTGGAATCTTGAAAGAACACAAACATGGGCCACGCGGTTCAATATTTATGATAGTTCGTCGTACGATTTTTATGCCATAGAGTTTTCAAGCCAACTTTCACAGAACCAACGGCACACAAGTATCTTGACTACAGCAGGACTACCAAAAGGTTAGCATGTGAATTCTTTGGTTAAAAAAATGATTTCATGTGCCGTATATGAAAAGTTAAGATTCATTGATAGCTAATGATACACATGTGCACAAAGCAGGTCCGTGGGTTTGAGCCTATCTTCATCAGGACGGTACCCAAAATCAAATACTCATTCAGAATTCCTTTCTACACTAGTAAGCTACTCTATGTTATAGAATGTCTAACTAAATAAAACATCCTAGTTGGCAGAAATAAAAAGATGACGAACGTTTGTGAATTTGTTCCCGCTGAAGACGGCCACGGGCTTGTCTGACGTGATGTGGGATCCGGTCAGGTCCTGGTCACTCTGCAGCTGGATAGCCTCCATCCTGGGCGGTATTACAGACGGGTTAATTCAGAATTTGTCCGTAAAACAACGACTGAAAAATGTCTGATTGATGACTCAAAAAGTTCGAGGCGAAACGAGGGAGTTTTCAATTCGGAACTAAGAGGTCTTGGGTTCGAGCTCTGTCATGCCTCTAATCATTACGCGACTTTTCTCTCTTTTCTCAGGTAAACATGAGTCCTGTATTGTCCTCTGTGTTAGTGGTAGCATGACAATAAGTTGAAAAAAATGAGTGTGCCGTCACTACGTCCTGTGATTACATTTGGAATGTAAATAAAGTTCACCATAGTGGGGCTCTCATACCAGCTCCTAATCCAGGGAGCAAGTCGATATACAAATATGATGTTACCCAGACTAAGAAGTAGACAAAGTGTACAAGCTGACGTTACCTGTTGAGAGTTAGGCTCCTGGTGGTCCCTCGGTCGAACTTCTGCCCGTCAATGTTGCCCTTGACCTTCTGGGTTGTTGTGATGGTCACGGTCGTCCCGTCCTCTATACCCACCACAGCAAACTCTGCCGGCTCGCTCTGCAAGTAAACAAAAACAAACAAATAAACAAGCATCCAGTGGGCCCAAAGTCTCATCATTTTGAAGTCTCATCAAGGTTTACCAAATCATCAAATATCCAGACAATACGCCTAAGCCTACTCGTGTTATCGTGTCGACACACACACACACGAATGCTACCGAAAACATAACCTTCTTGACGAAGGTAAACATGCAATTTTCCATCATGTACAGAAAACGTTACTAGGCAAAGCATGTTTTCATACATTTTAAGTGTCTACCTAGCTTTGATCGCTTTGAAGCTAGAAACAATACTATCTATTGATGTAGTGCACCACTTGTTACTGAAAAGAATGGTAAAAGGCGAATGAACAAAGTAAAGTAAAGTTTCCATCACCGCTTACCCTTGGGTGGTATCCAGCTGTGTAGTACTCGTTACCGAGAACATCGACGGGCAACGCGAGGAAGGCGTCTGAGGAGGCCTGCTCCGTGAACACTCCGTAAACCACGATCTCGGCGTCAGAAGTGATGCGGATAGCCTTAGACGCCCTGGTCGTGCCGCGGAGCTCGATCTCACGAGGGATCTCCACTATCGACACCTGCGTTGGGAATAGATCGGTTTTTAGCCAGTTAGCACAGAAAGGAAGCGGAAAGACCACTTCTAGGACTGAACTAAGTTGGTGGAAAGTATAAGGTGACTAGCTTGGAGATGGCAGTGAACGTGGCCTTGTATCAAACACTTGTTAGAAAGAGAGTTCAGTAATTCTAGAGTCCGTGGAGGGAAGCTGTTCCTGAAGATCGAGTTAGAGACTAGCTAGCCATGGTAACTGGGAACTTTTAACGGCAAAATAGATCAATCACAAAATAGTGGAAAGCAGTAGAATAGGAGCCAAAAGTTGAAAATATTCTCGAGAACAAGCCCTTCATGTGAATGATATTCTACACCCCCTTTGTATCATGTTTGCATTATTATTTTACATTTCTAGTGTTCTGCTGAATGCCTGCTGATTAAAAAAAAATTCCCTACCTGTCCGAACTTGACAGTGAGAGACTGTGAGAAGGCCTTGAACGGCGCCTCCACAGTAACCGCTGTGTCGTGGCTCACGGTGCCGGTAATGAAGAGTTTAGGCGGGTTAGGGTTAGGGTAAAGTAAAATCGATTCCTACCTGTCCGAACTTGACAGTGAGAGACTGTGAGAAGGCCTTGAACGGCGCCTCCACAGTCACAGCGGTGTCGTGGCTCACGGTGCCGGTGATGAACAGTTTAGGCGGGTGCTGCTGACGAAGCATGTTCTCCGTAAACACCACCACGAACTCCGTACCACGGTTATCACGGACATTCAGACCTGCGAACAATCAAAATTTAGCATAACGTTTTATTCTTTATCTATATCTATTTATTTCTTTGACTGAAGATACAGCCATGGCTACGAAATTAGCATTGGTCTACGCATTATTAAGGTTGAATCTTGAGGCTTTGCCACACAGGAATTCGCAAGGCCTCTGTTCGGATGATTTGTAGTAGGTCTGGACTAGAATTTGATCAATCGCAAATTGAGGCATGCCCTACAATGTAACTCTTTTATCAAAGGTGTGGTTGGTTCCTTAACGTGTGTGGGGCATGATATTCACCAAACATGGGAAATTAAATCGTTTGACCGTTTTTGTTTATCACGTAGTTCCTTGACAAAGTCTATGATATGAAACGATATTAAGCTATTGAATATTACATGCATCAGCTAGCTTGAATTAAGCATATTCAATACGTCTATATGCTTTTTGGCAAGGTTTCAATTCGATATATATACACAGGTGTACGTTAAGCCTTTGTCAAATGTTCTTCATGTTCAACATCTAGTCACACAATGGGAACGACTTGTAGTTAATTCCCTTCGCTATGCCACAGTAAGGCCATGTTGATTTGATTATATGGATGACATCCTCCGGGAGCTCCAAAACTGATGCGCGCGTGCGAATTAAAAAAAAGTTTTGCAAAAAAAAAGTTCTTTTCATTATGAAATCTACGTGGTCATGAGGGTTGAGCAAATGGCACAGAATATGGTTTGGCAAATAATCTAGTCTTCAAGTTCATTTCTTTACAATTTCGTCTTTTTTCGTTTGATTTTGGCATTCTACGACATTGGTATAGTTTTTATTAATTTTTTTTGTAACTTACGGTATATTTTTGCTCATTTTGCAACTGTTTTGTACGATTTAAAGTATGGTTGAAAACTTTTTTTGGGGGGAAACGGCCGAAAATTCATGCGCGCGCGGATGTCATCCATATAATCAAATCAACATGGCCTAACACTTAAACAAAAAGACGTGCAAACTAAATGGCCTACCTGTAGAGACCTTTGCAGGAAACCCGGGCTTCTTGTTGAGACTGTAACAAAATTTACTTAATGATCATGTACGTAAAGAAGATGTCGAAATACATGTTGCGTTAAAAGCTTTTTTATGTTCTATTTACCTACTCGATGTAACATATTCGTTCACAAAATGGTAGTATTGGTTACCCGTATTGAACCGTCTCATGTCTTAATCACTTCTAACGTGCACGTGCAACATATAATTAGTAGTCAGTGCTGAATAACAGAAGTTCTCTTTATCGGATAAAATGGTTAAAACATGTCTTATTTTCGTGTATGTTTTACCCTATAGACTCTTACGAAAGGAACTAAACTACTTCAGCCGTCAGGACTGACATTCAGTCAACGAAAGAGTAACAGTAAAGACACCCCGACAAACTAATAATCGGCTATCTTCTATACAGTATATATTATGACAACGAAAATTGACGAAAAAAAACACATGTATCTTACCTCGCTGGTTTGGCAACCGTAGCCATGTAGAGCAGCAACACCGCCAAAACTACAGACCTCACCATGGTGTTAGATGGGTACGGTCAAAACTGTTACAAAAATTATAAACTTTCTCCTGTACTTTCCAGGACCGGTCGGGACGGAGGACAAGTCAGTCCCGGTACTAGCTGATCTAACAGGTGTCTCAAACTCTTAAGACGTAGGAAGAAACCAATCCATGTAAACAGGGGTGGGTACTTCTACAATAACTGCCATTACGTTTCATTTTCATAGTTTTACATTTGAATTTGCCCGTTTCTGCCATCTTTTCTGTAAATGAGCATTTCTTTCATCAAAATTGTACTCAAGATTCGAAAAAAAATGTAAGAAGTTATTACGTTTTGAAAAAAGATGACCCCCTAAAGTTTATATGAGATAACCTTTTTGGGGCGTATCGAAATGACATCTTATTGACCTGAGGGTCAAAATAACCCAAGGGTTTACATTAAACCACAAACACGTACAGGCTGGTCGTCTTAGCCACTCGGTATCTGCCCTGGAGTCCGCATTGTTGGCGCTGCAATCACTAAGCTGCTATAGACCACGTTACGCAAACATCACCTAATGCTTTCGTGACTCAATACCAATACACAAATGATAAACTTATTAAAGGACCGATTGAGGCGTGGATGCGATCAAACGGCACACCAGGGATACGCTATGTGACGTGAAGTATTTTTTTCTGGATTGTTTTGCGTACAAACCTCTCACGTAGACACGCGAGGAAATTATGTTTGAAGGAGTGGCCACCTGAATGACATATGTTGAACGGATGAATGCCTGTGCAAGTTAAGTAAACACTTTCTTCGCAGATAATTCTTTACCTTGTAAATATCACACGATACTGAGGTATTGGTGTTCCGGCTCTTTTTCCTGACGACTGTCAGTTACGTGAAGACATTACACAATACATTAGATACAAATGAGTAGATTTATAAATGTATGTGACTATGCATGATGTACAAAATGACTTATAAACTGGTAGACTCAACTTCTAAGTACGAAACAACTGCTCCGGAAAAAAATAATGAACAAACCTAAATAATGAAAGCGTATCATAGTTATAAACCCAGACGCTATAAGTGTTCATCATTGTACTGGGTAATACATTATGATACAATATAGCTGGTGCGATACGCTGAAGGGTACCAGCTATGATGTTGCTGTAGCAAATGATGTTGTAGTACAACTACAACATCATTTGCTACAATAACATCATCATAGCAAATGATGTTGTAGTACACACCAGACCATGTACTACAACATCATTTGCTACAACATCATTTGCTACAACATCATAGCAAATAATGTTGTAGTTGTACTACAACATCATTTGCTACAACAACATCATTACAGCAAATGATGTTGTAGTACACACCAGACCATGTACTACAACATCATTTGCTTGGTCCCATTGCCCAAGCCAATACAACACTTACAAGACAGTTTGAAATAAACCTCATCTTATTACAAATCATATTAAACCACGTCTAAAATCTGTTCTTATAGAAGAGGCCTTGAACTTAAACATGGCTAAATTCTATTATAATATTAACGTTGCCTCATTGATATCTTTCATTAAATTGCTGTCAAATTTAGCATCTTGAGTATTTGTACTGTGGCAATTGTCCAAGTCTATAACGTACATGAATGACATTGCGGCACTTTTAAGAGACCGAACTCAAATAAAAGCCATCCATGCTAAGTCCTTAAAAGTGGCCCTTGTCCAAAGACCGTTCTGATGAAAAGCCTTGAACTTGAAAAAGTCTTAATCCACTGAACTTGACTAAGTCTTGAATCTACACTGGTTTACGTGTCATAATCCTATACTGACTCGCTGTCACATATATTTGGTCAGCTGTTTGGATGTTCAGTTGCAGGTTTAGGGATAACCGCAACGTGTCGCTTTCACTGTTCCAGTGTCATGGTGTTCTGGAGTTACTTAATAGCAAGACAATGATAAAACTCATTGTTGTAGCTTGGTACTTTGAAGCATTTGAGACATTTGCAAGCAGCTCTCTGGTATCAGAAAAGCGAGTCAAAAAAGTTACCCTCATAAATATATCCATACCTACATGTAATAGTATATATGAACAGACAATAATTGTATCAGGTATCCTGGAATGAGCTGTACCACATCTGCAGTGACAAGGCCAGACCGCAGCATGGCCTTAACAAATTGTTTTCTCATGCGTATCAATACAAGCATATGTAGTCAAGTACAAAAGCAATTCACGTGACACTCTCGGGCGACAAAATTATTATATGTCAAGTTCGTGAGAAGCGCCACGTGTTCTGTAAATATTGCGAGTTGACAAAACACTTGGACTTGAATTTATTTTCCCTATGAAGACTGCCTTAAGAGGGAGCTCTGTTGACTTTGGCATGAACAATCTGCAAATGTACCGGACCACAATTACTTTAGTGCACCTAGCCAATGTATATAATGAGAGAGAGAGAGAGAGAGACAGACAGACAAAGAAGAAAGATAAGAGTGAAAGACAGATAGATAAACACACGGACAGCACTGGCGTTTTGGAGCATTGAATAAAAAAAAACTTAACAAATAAGGCACGCCTTAAATTATTCCTGTCATAATATATCGATGTTTCAAAGGTTTGACCCATGTACAGACATTTGAAGTTATATAGTAAGCATACAACTGTCGAACCAAATGAATTTGCTACTATGACGTCCTTCCCGTCATATGAAAAAGATTAAATGTTTGACATTCCCAAAGTCCTCGGGAACCAACGTAATAAACGCTTTTATTACGAAGGTCATTTTTCAACGACGTGTGTACAAAGAGGAGAGCAAAAAAAGCGGCGTTATTCCTGTTCTAAGAAAGCACTACTGTTTGACCATCAAACGAGCCAGCCAGGGCTTCTTTTCTCCGCGCAAAAGTGACAAGGATGTCGTCTCCCAACTCACAGTTGAGTGATGCCAACGTCACATCGACAAATGCTACCTTTGTTCAACAAGAAAACACTTCGCTTACTGTCAACGCAGTGGCACTTGGAATCATAACGTTGGTGGGAACTCCAACAAACGTGCTCGCATTCGTCACCCTTCTTTACGAGAAATCCCTTCGCACGCCTGCTAACATACCACTGTTGTTCCTGGCTATAGTAGATGGACTGATGTGTGGACTGGTCGCGTCGCTGTACCTTACTCAACAATTTCTTCTTGGGACGTACGCTGGGGAAACTCTTTGCCGCATCATAAGTTTCTTCTTTATAGTAAACGGTGCCTCTTCGGCTGGACTTATAGTGGTTGTGAGCGTGTGTAGACTCATCACAGTGGTCTACACGAACGTTATACTGAACTATCGTCACTCTATCTCTGGCTCGTGTGTGGTGTTGTTGCTGGCGTTGGCCATGGCGACTCACTATGTGATCTTCCCCGACACTGAATATCTGACCTGTGTGAACAGGCTGCACTTGGTCCCCGGAACTAGGGACAGTGTAACTGAAATGGTGAGTTTTAGAAGACAACGCCATTTTGCGGTAGACTTTATTTCATAAGTTAGTATCATGAATATTCATCTCAGTTAATATGTAGAAGGCAAATTTCTTCCCTTAAGATACTGAAGACTTGAATACTAAAGAGAAAGTTTTTATTTTTTTCAAACACCTGGGTATAAAAGCAACATTATACAAGTGAGAGAAAGCCAAATGAAATGTTGGTGACTATATGTATGGCCTGCCCTTAGCTCAATTGGGCAACTATATGAGCGATAAAGGCCTCCAGTGTGATAGAATCTAACCCTTGACTATAGTATGTGTTTTCTAAGCTTTGAGTTTTTATTTCATTTTTCCAAGCTTTGAGAAATTGAAACATGCCCTTTTACATGTGTTACAGATAGCTGTCACGTCCACCATTTTGTGTCTGTTCGCCATCGCCATCTGCTACTGTAAAATCTACTGGAAAGTACGACAACACAGACTGACGCTCAGACCCAACAGGCAAACCAACACCCCGCGGGCTGACGTCATCACTCTGCGGGCCGCCATCTTGATTCTGACGTCATTCGTTTTATGCTACGCGCCGGGGATTGTGGGTATCATTTGGAACAAGGCTTCGAATCCACGACCAGAGCCTCTTCAGGAAATTATCACTTTGAGAGAAGTTTCTATCACTACGTCACTCGCTGGTAGCATGATAAACCCTTTCATCTATGTTGTCAGTTCCCCTTCTTTCAGAAAGGGTTTGAAAAAGACCTGTCGACGAATTTTCCGATGTGTAAATGTTCTGCGTAATTAGAAAGTAAGATGCTGAATTGTAAAACAAGCAAGTCATTTGTCAATATGTAATTACCATTTATGAAGTTCAGAGTCTAGTCTCAGAATCTGCATAATTGCTGTATTTATCAAGTATATCAGCATGTCAAAGTGAAGATCGACAAAAATTACAAAATGGCGCTCCAGAGGCGTCGCCAAAAAGTTGAGCCCAAATGGCTCCAGTTATTGTATCTTTGTCAAAAGCAAGTAAATACTTAGTTTGAACAAGACTACGTTGTTGTGGTTTCGTCTTTTTAATCTCCTTCTTCACTAATAAACTCAGGTGTTGAACCTTCCCGTTTGTTGAGTGGCCCTGAATATAAAAATGGACCAGGAAATAACATGTTTGCTTCTATCTCCTGATGACCTAACTACCGGAAGGCTGCTGGTTGAAAACTCATTCGGTAGCCACACAACGCAAACATAACCTTTATAGCAAGGTCTGCTGCCCTTTCATGTTTTAAACCTACGTTTTACCGCACAGTTTATTCATATCTGAGTGGTTTTTAATTCCCCGCCTACACATACGTAATGTGCCTTCTGGACTGTGTGTTAGAAATAACACAGTAATGCACGAAAACATGGGCATTTAAACATGGCTTGAACAGTCAGTATCAAAATTATTTATGACAATGTACCATCTACAATTGTCGTGCAATAAAGTTCTATCTATCTATCCATCTATCTACATTTTTGTATTTCTCTCTCTAATATATTATATATATATATATATATGAAAACAGGCGACATAATATTGTATCAGAGATTAACATAATTCAATTGGCACTCTCTCTAAATACACACACACACACACACACACACACACACACACACATATATGTGAGTGCCAATTTAATTATGTTGATTTCTGATGCAATATTATGTCGCCTGTTTCCATTGCTCTTGTTAATGGAATCATGAACAGCTGTTCATAACTACATGGCCAAGATCAAGTTCAGCTTTCAAGTGAACTGAAGAGGACAAAGCCCGAACGGACGCAGCGGTCCTAATTGAAATGTACACAATACCGCAAAGTAGCAGAAAAACAAGCACAGGAGAAAGTCAAGTAAATACACACATCATAGCAAACCAGTTACCCTTTTCTGTGCAAACCTTCCTACTTTTAAATCCTTTTAAGAAAGACTGTTCAGTTTTGAAGTACTAATATATTCTTTATAGGCAAAACGGCCGAATAATATTTGCCATGCAAGCAGTTTGCTTAAAGAATATAGGCAAAGTGTTCCGCATCGTCACCGATGTCTTGGCAACCAAAATAATACATCAAAACGTTTCATTACTGATATCATTTATCAAAGACTTAGACAGCGATTAAAGAAGCTTGTCGTGTTCTTAAGCCGGCGTCGCTTAGTCGACGACCTTGGGCCATATTTATTTATCAAGAGAAGGTCAACCAATTTCAAAATCGTCAGAACGTCGAGAGTGTTCTTCGACTGGTAACCTTTCCACTTCTGTGGATAGACAGCAGGTCGCTACATTGGACAGCGCTTAGGGACATAACTATCCCAGCAAGGATTTAGACTTTGAGTTATTTTTACACGTTTTAGGCGTGTTTACCAGGCTTCCTTTTTCGTGTTGCTCTTTTTTTACGCCAGCGAAACTTCGGGTGGCATACTTGGTACTGCCCTGGCAATGATAGGGTCTTTGGTACTGTAGTACAGCCACAACTAACTGCTTAGAGATTACGCCAGCATTCGAACATCGGCTGACCGCTAGAAGGACAGCGACCGGACTACCGACGAAAATGTCCTTTCTAGCTCGCGGACTTTCTATCTCGAGATTACGCCAGCATTCGAACATCGGCTGATCGCTAGAAGAACACCGATCGGACTCACTACTGACGAAAGTGTCCTTTCTAGCTCGCAGACTCGGTCTATGGGTGAGCTGTTTTCCTTCTGTGTGATGGAACTGAGAAACTGAAGACGACACAAGGATTCTCCTAACTTTTCGTGTGAGATCTGGACAAAGATGTGTCCTAGCGCTTCATTGTCTGCAAACGCGACCTTCCCGCTACAGCTTAATTCCAGCAACGTCACAGCCTTTTCATCGACCAGCGACGCCGTCCTCTACCCAGAGACTCTCCTTATTGTCAACTGCGCGCTACTAGGAACCATTCTAGCGGTTGGAACGCCGGCTAATATTCTTTCCTTCGTCACCCTTGTTTACGAGAGGTCTCTCCGTACCCCAGCTAATATTCCACTGTTGTTTCTCGCGGTGGTAGACGGACTTATGTGCGGACTGGTCGCACCACTCTATTTGGTTAAAACGTTTCAATTCGAGAAGCCATCGGGAGAAGGGCTATGCAGAATCATTGCCTTTTTCTTCGTACTGAATGTCAACTCGTCCGCCTGCTTGGTAGCTGTTGTGGGTGTCTTCAGAGTGATAACAGTGGTCTATACGGGTGTCCTGGTGAAGCATTGCCATTCTGTGATCGCGTGTTCTGTGGTGATTTTTGTGTCCCTTGCTACGTCCATCTACTACGAGATTATCCCTTCAACCCAGTATATCAACTGTGTTAACCGGCTGCACTTGGTACCGCCGATTAGGAACAGTAGCAGTGAAAAGGTAATATCTTTTTCTTTGTTACAATACAAGGACATTGAAACCTTTTTTCTGTGCTAGGCTATGTCAATAATATGGCTAGACCTTTTTTCTCTCGGTAAGGGTCGAGTAGAGGTACATGATTTTTATACCAAAATATCCAGATAAGAATGGATGGAAGATCTGAAGTAAACTTTCAATGTTTTCCACCAGCATTCATGCAAAATCCAGGCTAGTTCTAAAGTTTATCTTTTTTTTTAAATTCTACAATGAAAATTAGAATACAAATCAAACTCCGTACTTGAGCCAGATAGCTAAAGGAGAGTAAGAGATTCGGTAGAAAATCTTAGAGCCAATTTCTTTAAGTTGGAGATAGTACTGTTTAATTTTCATTATGTAATTTTAAAGCACCTTTTTTTAAGATTCATGGACTCAGTTTGTGGATGTTATCGTCGACAACGATACAACTGATCGCAGATACATTTGTACAACTTAAACATTAACCCGAATCATATTCATCTACTTTTCCCTACAGATAAGCGTATTACTAGTGATAACTTCACTGTTCATCATCGCAGTCTGCTACTGCAAGATCTACTGTAAAGCACGGCGACACGCACTAACCGTCCGGCCTACCAGGCAAAACAACATCGTGCGTGTGGATGTGGTCACTCTACGTGCCGCCATCTTGATCCTGACGACCTTTATTCTGTGTTACGTTCCAGCTCTTGTGGGTGTTGTTTGGAACTGGTTTTCCCTCCCTCCAAGTGAAATTATTCTTCTAAAAACGTTTGCTATCACCACTATATCTGCTGGAAGTATGATCAATCCATTTATTTATATAGTTAGTTCGCGTTCCTTCCGAAAAAGTTTGAAAAAGACTTGTAGAAAAATATTCTGTACTTGGGGTCCAAATTAGAATACTGCACAATATATATTTGTACTACACAATATATATTTGTACTCAATATGTCTTTCAAGATATAATGTATAATGTTTGGGCAACATAAAAATTATGTCGAAAAATATTCTGTACTTGGAGTCAAAATTAGAATACTACACAATATATATTTGTACTCAATATGTCTTTCAAGATATCATGTATAATGTTTGGCCAACGTAAGAATTTTGTTAACATTATTAGGGCTTTTGGAGTTCAGCAGATATTGCAAATCTACAATATCCTTTGTTATTGGAAATTTGAAAAAGACTTGTCGAGAAATATTATGTACTTGGGATCCAAATTAGAATAACATATTATGTATATTTGTACTCAATATATCTTTGATGACATAATGTATAATGTTTGGGCAACATAAGAATTATGTCGAGAAATATTCTGTAGTTGAGCTCCAAATTAGAATGACATACTATATATATTTGTTCTCAATATATGTTTGATGACATTGTGTATAATATTTGAGCAACATAAGAATTATGTAAACGTTGTTATGAATGTTGGTGTTCGGCAGATATTATAGTTTACTCTACCCTCTGGGTTAATTTCCTGTTGTCAACTTAATGTTTATTTTGGTATCAGGGAAAATTAAGGCGACCCGGGCCTTCTGCATGTTACAGTTGTCACGGAATAAGAAGGAAATAAACAATGTGTACTGCATAAGTCACGAATTGTGTTCTTAGTATGTAGGGACAGCAGTATGTTTTGTAGGTACCTCCGAGCAGATGTTGGGTGAAAAACAAACTTTTCTCACTGACAACTAATTTTCTGACATCTATAATTCTCTGACAACAATTCGCGCTTGCTTGGAGATTATGCAAAATGTAGCTGGCATACTATTGCAGTAAAACATGAAAAAGTGCTACAAAAGGTCTTTGTTGCATGTTCATGTGCAAAGGTAATTTGACTTCATCCTACTTTTATGACAATGTATGCCTTTTACTTTGTTTATCAGTCTATATATAGACATGAGACTAAAAATTATACAACATAGACACACGGTCATATCTGCAGCTTTCCTCCTGATACAAAAACAATGATGGAGGATTTATTATTATCATGGCATGTTGTTTTTCTCGCACTCGAATCAAAACAATTTTAGGGCTTCTATAAGGCACCATCCACAAAACCCAATCAGTGCGGCCCTATTTAGATTGCTCAAAGTAGGTCATATTTGCTATTCGTTCTCCGGAGAGGGCCTTTGGCCTCAGAGAGGACAACAAACAAACCCAAACCTCACAATCATAGCAACTAACCTGCCCTGTACAAAGCGTGTACCGAGCAATTTATAACGTCCTGAACTGTTTCTAAATACTCCAATACCACAAGAAAACAAACTCGCATTGTTTACAGTAAGTGTCGTCACGCGTAAAGGACATATTAACCGTGTTTGACATTCGCGAGTCTCTTGGTTACAGACATGATAATGTCCGGTTACTAAAGACATTATGTCACAACCAATACAATACAACGGCTGCAACTTCCCCTAGTTTTCCCAATCCGCAATCGCTTCAGGACATCGCTTCAAGAAGGAGGGTTTGTACATGCTACAGCATCCATAATCTTCTTATGCTTCTGTCGCAAGACAATACAAACGGCTGAAACTTTTCGCTGTTTTCCCAGTCCCCAACGGACATCACTGGAATACGAAGGCTTTCAACGTCGATAATCTTTTTATTCTTCTGTCGGCTGCTAATTGTAGATAGGCGATTGTGTGCTTTTTCCAGCCACCACCAGCACAGAGTTTCACATGTCAATCCTGCCATAGGACTTGCAGGTCAAGAATCGGGCTGTACAGCCACAAGAGAGCCTGCAGAGGACAACCGTCCTAGAGTCTTCGGACAAAAAGTACCAGCCATCATCTGATTTCCGCAAGGTTGGCAATCTTCTTTGATAGAAGATAATGTATCCAAACGTCACATCGCCAATTGCCAACAATATTACAACAACGGCCGCTACAAATGACACCGTTGCCTACCCTCAAACTTTACAAGTCTTCAACTCCATGTTACTCGCGGTTGTGATTGTGGTTGGAACGACCGCAAACCTCCTCTCTTTTGCCACGTTTGTCCTGGAAAAATCGCTCCGGACTCCTGCCAACATCCCTCTACTGTTTCTAGCGGCAGTAGACGGACTCATGTGCGGACTGGTTGCCCCTCTCTACCTCGCGAGAACCTACGAATTTGAGACGTCATCGGGGGAAGGACTGTGCCGTATCGTCAGTTTCTTCTTCGTTCTTAATATCAACGCTTCAGCCTGCCTCATAGCTATCGTTGGGATCTTCAGAGTTATCACTGTTGTCTATACTGACATCCTACTTCGGTAAGCTAACATTTTATAGACATCTCCAAATGCATTCACCTTCAGATCAAAGACTTAAGATCAGTCACATGTTAGCTTAGAGTTTGTGCACATTAATTGGAAATAAAAAAAGGTACCAGTGGATTCAAGCAAGGTATGTAAAAATCGCAAATCGGGCATTTCATACTACACTGCACACAGAAAAGAAATCAGACCTAATAATTACTATAATATTAGAAATAGCATTAGTAGTATTATTTTATGGTCATTTTGACTGTTAACTATGTTCTTATCATTTCCTATGTTCTTGCCTTAAATTTCCTTAGAACTTCGCATCCTGTGATCTCGTCTTGTGTAGTGGCTGTGATCAGCCTGTCCCTGGCGACGCATTACGCGATATTTCCCGCTACTACATACCAGAACTGTGTCAATAAACTGTACATGATTCCTCCTGTGAAGGATTCGGTGACTGAAATGGTACGTCTACACCTGATTTATCTGATAATAATCAGTTGTATAGAATGATATATAGTCATGACTGACCTACTAGTATGAGGTTATTCTAAAGGGCTAGCTCTGGTAATTTCGGCTATTCGTATGAACTCTTCTGTTTGCACTCTCAAAATACACGTTTAATGCGACTTCATGACTTGGTGTAGACTTGCAAATGACTGGAAAACATTGCATCTCTTTCCAATAATCTGTAATTTTGCAATTCGTACACGTTGATGCAAAGATAATGTGCTATTTTAGAGTTTGATCTTAAATTTTCATCAGACAGCAGTCGTATGTTCTCTATTGCTTTAATTTACAGATTGACTCAATACTAGTACATGGATGTCCTTGGTATATGCAATTAGCCTCAAGGCATGAATTTGCAAATGAACATATTGTTCCTACTTTCTTACAGATCACTGTCTCGCTTGTGATACTATCCTTAGTGGTAGTCGCCGTCTGCTACTGCAAGATCTATTGCAAAACGCGACAGCACATGCTGACAGTACGACCGAACGGACTAAACGGCATAGTGCGTGTGGATGTAATCACCTTACGCGCCGCCATCTTGATTCTGGTGACCTTTGCCCTATCGTACATCCCACTACTCGTAGGGGTCATTTGGAACAGAGCTTCGGTTCCTCCAAGTGAAGTCATCCTTTTGAAAACGATGGCTTTTTCCATAGTTCTTACAGGAAGCATGCTCAATCCGTTCATCTATGTCACTACCTCCAGTTCCTTTAGGAAAGCTATAAAAGCAACGTGTAGTAGGGTATTTTGCTGTGAAGTTGTAAGGCGCTGGAAATAATTGTTTTATGATAACATAAAGTTTTATGTAATATATGATGTTGAATAACAACAAAGTTATAACTGCGATGTTTATATAATGAAGACGTCGTAGACATCTGAATTGAATACTTCAGAATTTATTAAAAAGGCAAATGTACACATTGCATACATATGTATGTAAGTAGCACTACACATAATACTATATACAATGTAAAGTGTATATTACACATAATAAATGTTAATGTTTACAGTGTGTCATCTTGACACTACCATATGCTTATTGATTCAATTTGATACTTATTACTTATAGGCAAACATGAGAAATAAAATATCACTAACAACCTTCTGTACTCTTGGTATGTGGTATCAACGTGGCAAAAACATATATAACACGAACAATATCCTACATGCAAACGATCCATAGACTATTCATCAATGCATGCATAATTTCACTATCTGTTCGAAATTGGTAATAACTGCAATAACTAAACTGGGCTTTAGTCATAATTGCCCTGATGAAGATGACAAATGGTCATCGAAACGTCGGCTCTTGTTAAACAAGTAGCTATGAATAAAAAAAGACAAACTTTGCTACGTAATCATTAGCCAACCTGATGAAATTATTTACAGTCGCTACTATAAATCGCTCATCTTCCTCACTCCCCTAATTGCAACTATCAACCATCACAACTTTCTTCTCAGCTTTGACACTTTCCACATCCTGCTCGCTGTCGCCACAGTCTCCACTTGCCTTGACTCTGGAAGCTTCTGGGAAAAGTTGGTCGAGTTTCACGATGACGTAGTCAAGTTCAGCGGCAGCCAAGAGGTCAAGGTCAAGGTCAATCAGGTCACAGGATGTCCCCTGGTCGACGTACTTCGGGCCTTCCTCCGGTGTCGGTGGCGCTGCATTGATGTACAATAAAGTAAATAAGTCATAACATAAAACTAAGAGAGTGGTTCTATGAGCTTTAAGATTGTGGCATTTTAGAAATGTGCTGACAAACCTGTAAAAGAGTTAACATCTGTGTCCATAATATAACCAGGGTCCACCTTGAGAAACAGTGTGCTTAAAGATTATTTTTACTGCAACATACTTTTGGTATGCACTCCTTCACACATCAAATGTACATACCCAGGGTATGTTGCAGTAAAAATATCTTTAAGCACACTATTTCTCAAGGTGGTGATATTATGGACCCTGGTGATATTATGGACACAGATGTTAAAGTCCATCGCATTTTACGTCGGAATTAGGTTAGTCGTAAGAAATGTACTCACATAGTTTGTCTACGAGTGGCAGCCAGGAGAGAATGTTGTTCCTGATGAACTCAGCCATCTCCAGATCACGCGACTGCTCCAGTTTTATCTGTCGTTTCACTATGGTGATTGCTCTCCTCATGATGCTTAGCAAAAGGTTGACAAGCATCAGAAAAGAAGCGGCAAAAAAGACGGCGAAGAAAGCAACGCTGATGATCTCAGCTTCCAGAATTTCCTCCAGGTTGTACCGGCGAAGCAGCGAGGGAAAAAGATGCACAAAGGACTGCCCAACAGACCTGAAACCTGCTACGTGAGATCCTAAGAGAAGATGCTGCAACTGAGCAAAAGAAAGGAAGAGGAAGAGGAGGAGAATGAAGAACATGAGGATCTCTGTGCGCATGGTGGACAGAACTGTGACCATGACGCACATACGTCGGCTGTAGCGGAGCAGACGGACGAATTTGATGATGTTGATGAAAACCACGAAGTCCACGACGTAATGGTAGATCGCGTCCCAGTAGGCAATGTGTTGGAAGTTTACAAACACGTCTGGAAATGTGGACAAAAGGCATTCAGTCTACTGATTACAAAATATGTATTACTTGCCCAACTTGTCCTTGGAAGATCGAGCTTCAAGTTGGGCTTATATTTGAGAAGCTCGAATTCAAGGAACAGTAAAGTAGCATGCTGTTTTAAGCGGCGAAGTCATTATAAGTCTTTCGAGACTGACTGGATCGCACACATGCACGCGCGCAAAGGGGGAAGGGTGAGACTGCACCAGCATTTCACAGAGCAAATGCTGACCATTGTCGAGTATTTCAGAATTAGATGTGTCTTACCTTCGTCAGTGTAGCGGCTGTTCTTGATCTCCGTCAAAGCCGCCTGAGAGAACGCCTCCCGAACCCCGTACATCACAACAGCCACGAACCCGCCGACTATGGTGGCGATCTCCAAAAAGTTCCAGGAGTCTTGGAGGTACTTTCCTTTAAGTTTCTTCGCCTTCTCAAATTCTCTTATGGCCACGTACACTAGCAGAGTCACGAAAAGCATCTGGAACACCAACACCACGATCCCACGGCTTCCTTCGTAGTTGAAGAGGCGGTATGTTGCGATTGTCGAGTGAGGAAAGAACGCTCCTGTCGTACTGAGCTCGAACATCAAGTTCACCGAACTCAGTAGGTTGGTTCCCTCCGCGTACACAGTGAACTCCACCATGACAGCCCGTGTGTATCGGTCGATCCAGGTATTGTTCTTCAGTACCTTGAAGAAGAAGAAGGAATCTTTATTGTTTCTTATGTATGTATGTCTAAGTCAAGTAGTGTATCTTTTGTCTACACTTTTCTACATACGTTTGTTATGTTTCTGTTATATCTTGACCTATGCCTAGCCCGTCGTGGCATGAATGTACAATAAAGGCATTTCCTTTTATTTATTCAACTTGCAGACATACATAGCCTGAATTTTGTTGAATTTACAAACAGTTGAAAATATACATACAAAGTAAAGCAATCATTATCAATTATTGAAATACACTTAATATCATAAAATACTCCGCAAACGATTGTACTGGTTGGGATTAGTGAATTAGTATGCATATAAAATAAGTACATAAATACATTGTATCGTACTGTCGTCAGATCAATGGGCTAATCCCTGATTTATAATTAGGAGATGTGCCAAGTAGTTTTTGTATCTGTTCGTCCGACATAGTGTGGAATGTACCTCAATCTTTTTCATCGTCGAAGTCTTGGACTTCCCCATGACAGATACGTAGCCACCACCAGGGTAGGACGAAAGTTGTCCAAACGCCGGTAGACCCTTCAGTTGGTAGGCGGGGCGGAAAGACCATGGTCCCGTAGAGTTGTCCTCCGGATCTCGGGGCCTCCATCCGGCTGAGAAGTCGCCCGATTCTTGGATGTTCCATGAAAATTCGGAGATGCACTTGGGAGATTTGATGGAGTCATCCTTCACGCAATGACCTATGCACCGAACAATAACAAACAGGAAGACCAATAAATGAATAAGGGGCGTTTTGAGACCACGGTCAAGCAAATTAATCAAAAATACAAATTCATACACCTTATTCTTCTATAACAAGTGGACATCAAGAAAGTCCTTTATTGTGAAAACTGATGACTATATAGATTCAAAGTATATCCTATTTCTCGACAGGGACTTTCGTTAAGTCTTTTATATCTACATAGCACACGAAAGTAAATGCAAACTATGCAAAGTTACCAATATGTTCAAATATAGCGATGTAATGTCCAAGTACGGTAACGGTAAATAATTAGATCTAAACATCTTTTGTGCATCACCATGCATGCTGAAACAATCATCATCCAAACGAAAACATACGATGAAGTGAACATAGCTAACACAGTCTAGAAAATGGTAAAACGCCACCTACCGGGTTTGATCCTGATCTGGCGGAGGCGGGGCGGCTGGAACCGGTACGCGGTGGAGTGGTGCAGATGTAGCCGGTCCGCCCGAGTCCCCACAGCGCCGTTATACCAGGTGTTGAAGTACACGCCAGGCAGCAGGACAGCCTCGGTCCACTTCCAGAAGTCCTGCGCTGTCTTCACCTAGGCGATCATACGGTAAAGATAAGTGTGAATACACACATACAGACGTTAGGACAAACCTTGTGTTCTATATCATATCCACCCGAGAAAACACGTCTCAATGCGAAATGTGCTGTGCCAAAATTTGGTATCCCTGAACAAAAACTTGTAACATCAATTGGAATGTTCGAACCCGGTATTCAAATGTTCGAAAGAGGCGCTTTCGGCGCAATCGAAACGTTCGAATTATTCTATAGAACATTGGAAGCCCGTGTGATAACAACAAGAGAAGCCCGGGCTGTACCGCTAGTTATCACACTACAGCCGGAACACCTGTATTGAACGTTATCGCAGCCTAGGTAGGACATAAGGGAAGTTATTACTGTAACACTGGCCGGAACACCCCTACAGATCACCCGTGCAGATCTCCAAGCAGTATCCCTTCGCCAGGCAGTATCCAACCGTTGCTCGGGTGGCCAATGGATACTGCCTGGCCAATTTGATACTGTCTTTGTGGCAACCGAAAGATCTGCTTGGAGATTAGGTATGACCTAAATGTTAATACTCACCTTGTCCATTCCTGACACGAAAGTCCCCCGTAGGGACTTGTCCAAGTAGAAGGCGTTCTGGTCCCGGTCCACTTCCGTCACCACGATGAGCACGATGACGAAGGCCAGGAGGGACAGAGTCTCGTAGATGATCCGGTTCATGCGGATCTGCTTCTCACGGTGGCTCCGGGCGGTCGCCAGGCGGACCTTGTTCTCCTTCGGTAGTTTCTTTCTCCGGTGAAGCTCTGCATGAAGAAAGTTATCTCATTACAAACGACACGAAAAAATGTGCAAACAATTCCATACACTTAGGCCTTTTCTTTTAGGTCTTGTTCCTAGCAGTCCTAACATTTTTCTTTCTAAATGAGTCGTTTCGGACTTATTGTGTCATGTTGTATCCAGAACCGTGCTTTATATAAAGCCCTGATCAGGCTTGGATATGCGTAGACTATCCAGAACCGTCCTTGAAGCTTCCTCTAACCCAGTCAGGTATAGAACTACATAGGCACGGTTCTCGATACGATACGATATGCCAGGTCACTTCAATACATTGGAACAAGGTCGATATTAACTCTCTTGTTATCAATTTCATTGTGCAGGGCCAAGATAAAACCGATTTTATCTTCAGGACCTAGATAACGCAAATAATACAGTTTAAAGACGGCCAAAGCTCCTTACCTGCTGCATCCATGGGCTTGGCAGGCTGTACGAAGTACCGCTCCTGCATAGCTGTGGCGCTGTCGTCTTCTGCAGGCTTCCTCCGCAAATACGTCAGGAAGGTCGTGATCAATATAACCTATACAAAGAGTGACAGACAGTAAGCGGTAAGGCAGACATAATCAGATAAAACAACAAGGGCAGTGCAATACTCAAGAGTCCTCTTTCTGCCCATATTTTCTGCTGCACGAAATCCTATCTTTAAGCACATCTATGTGACTCATATCATAGACATATGAGTACATTTACATGTATCGGACTATGTAAACTAGAGTATGATTGGTCAATCTGCCAATTAAATATGACATGACACAAAATCATTCTATGGAAAAATATCTAGAATTCAGTCAAACAGAAGTGAACATTTATCACCTTTGCTGGCTCAACGACGAAGGCCGACTGGAAGAAAGACATCGCAAATGCACTGAACCACTCCTCCGACCTCTTGTAGCCCCACTCAATGCTGTACAGCACCACGAAGAACGACGACACAAACGACACAACGAAGGCTAGGAACCAGGCGATGTAGATACACCATGGCGGGAGCCCAATCTTCTTCCTAGCGAGTTCCTCGCCACTTTGCTCAGCATCTTTCTCTTCCGCCTCAACTTGGCAGTCCATGTGATACTCGTCATCAAGGTTGAAAAAGACGATGTCGCACTCCTCTGTCTGGCACGCTGCGTCCGTCATGGTGGGCGGTGGCGTATCTATGGCAACGGTTTCAAGTTTATTTATTTCAAGATTATTTATTTCACAAAAAACACATAGCGCTGATGGGCTGCATTGCTGTGTTTCTGTACACATGGCGATTTTACTGATCTTGATATACACTACTTAAACATTACATAGCGTAGCGTGGGGTCGTGTACCGTAGCGACAGAGTGCTCGACTCGGAATCAAGAGGTCCCGGGTTCGAGTCCTGACATACCACCCATCTTGTGCCCTTGGGAAAGGTACTTAACATGGCTTTCCTCACATCGCTCAGGTGAAAATGAGTATTGTATTGTCCCCTGTATTGGTGGCGGCATTAATATAAGTTGAAAAAAAAAACTGGAGTGTGCCGTCACCACGTCTTGTGATTAGATGTTGGAATAAAAAAAAAGAGTAAGATGGTTTTACCGGCATCTTGTGACGCGGTTGGTTCTTCCTCCTCTTCCACATCGTCTGGCGCCACAGCGTTGTTCCTCCTGGTTTTGCGGAAGAGCCGGATGATGACGAAGTTGATGGGGAAGACCGTCAGCGTCGTCATGAAGCTGACGTAGAGTGACGTCACTGTGAAGGAGAACGGACCGATCTTCAGGCCGTTCTGGCCCTCAGCATTGTCGTCAGACCTACAAGAAAGCAACATAGATGTTAGCTACCTTGCCATAGACAGTGCGTGCCACTAGCCTCTACCAGGCTGTGGAGGCGGCTGGAAAGAGTAGAAATCGGCCAAATAGAGAGATAAGAATACCAAGGGAGTTTATCCGTTGAGAGCCCATTGGGTGCGGCGAAATGTTCTCTCAACGGACAAACTCCCTTGGCATGCTTATCTCTCTATTTGGCCGATTTCTACTCTTTCCAGCCGCCTCCCCAAGCCTGGTAGAGGCTACGTGCCACTCAAAACAAGATATTTCAGGCTTCAGGAAACTATGCAGTAGGCTTACTGAACACCCCCCCCCCCATGTCAAACTACCAATTCCTTCTAGCTCACGAGATCTTCACGTTCTCCCTGTTTCCTGTGTCTGACTTTTTGACTTCCTGTAAATCTGGCTGTCAATCCTTCCCACCCACGTGCTGTCAACCTTCTGTGTCCAGCCATCATATAATGACAATGCCAATGACAATGACAATGACAATATATATTTCTTCCCCCATGACGCTAGTAGGCCGATTTGTAGTCTGTGTAACGCAAACTCTGCCATCCGCGGCTTTAATGGCCCCTCCCCACAGAGGGAGGGGGCGGCTGGATGTTGAGGTCCGGCAACCGTAACGCGATGTAATCAGGATAGTCGATTTTAGCTTCTCGTGAATAAACAATGGTTTAAACAAACAAACAAACAAACAAACAAACAAACTCACAAACACTCTGAAGCAGGATTTAAGGATCTCTATTTACCTGTACCACATGGCGCTTGCCACCATGGCGCTGAAGAGCATAGACATGCCGCATGAAATCCTCTCCACCCTACTACAGGTGCTGCTACCGGTCAAATGGATAGTGCCGGGCAAATGATATGAAGCAAACACTCTGAACCTGGAAACAGTGGCTATGGACGAGAGATCTATTTACCTGTACCACATGGCGCTGGCCACCATAGCGCTGAAGAGCATGGACATGCCGCAGGCTATCCTCTCCACCCTACTAAAGGTGCTGCGGGTCGGACGGGACAGGATGGAGTACCACAGGTGTTTGTCCGTCAGCACGTGGCGTACAGATGTACGGAACAGGTGGCCTAGTGATGTCAGCTCGTCAGGACTAGCCACCGGCAGGACGCGGTCGGTTCCTGCTGGGTCCTCCACGGCTAGCCAGCCGTTACACAGGAACTGGGAGCTGCGAAAACAATGAACAAACAAATGAATGAATGGATGGATGGATGGATGGATGAATGAATGAATGGGTGGGTGGATGGGCTTGCTACAGGCAGGACGCGGTCTGTCCTCGCCGGGTCCTCCACGGCCAGCCAGCCGTTACACAGGAACTGGGAGCTGGGGGAACAAGGAACAAACGAATGAATGAATGGGTGAAAGGATGGATGGATGAATGGGTGGATGGATAGGTTTGCTACAGGCAGGACGCGGTCGGTTCCTGCTGGGTCCTCAACGGCTAGCCAGCCGTAACACAGGAACTGGGACCTGGGAGAACCAAGAACAAATGATTGAATGGATGGATGAATGAGTGAGTGAGTGAATGAATGAATGGGTGGATGGATAGGCTAGCTACAGGCAGGACGCGGTCTGTCCCTGCCGTGTCCTCCACGGCTAGCCAGCCGTTACACAGAAACTGGGAGCTGGGGAAAATCATGAATAAACGAACGAAAGTGAGCAAATCTTCATTAAGGTTTTACCCACTCACTTTCACTCTCTCACTCTGTCTCACTCTCCCACACATTCAAACACACTTACTCACTCACTCACTCGGTCACTTTACACAGGAACTGAGATCTTATTGTAATGCAGGCTACAATTTACACATACAGTCGTTACACAAATATGGGAGCTGGGTAAAACAAATAACTAATACATGAATGGATGGATTGATTGATGGATGAGTGGGCGGGTGAATGAACCTCTCTCGCCCACTCTATCACTCACTCACTCTCTAAATCACTCACTTACTCACTCACTCACTCACTCACTCACTCACTCACTCACACACAAGCTGGTTCCTCTATTGATAACTTGCTGATAGAAGATGGACTATGAAGCTGCTGTGCTTCAGCGCCTCCTGTTAACTTACCCGAGAACTGCAGGCCAACTCGCCCATGACCAAAACCTACAGAACCGGTTTGTTTTGTAAACATCACTTTTGGGTTAAACCAACTCACATTTCAGTGTAGGGGGTGACATATTCAACTGGCCTTATTGCAGATTAACGTTAAGTACTAAGTAATTTGTAAGGCCAAATTCGGTTGTTTAAACTCAATTTGTTAAGAATCCTTAACCGTATTTGTTATCCAAAAGCACGATTTAAGCAAGTTGTTTTCAGTCGCCCTCGTTCAAATCTACACTTTGGCAATGGGAAGTTCTGCCACGTCAGCAGGGAAAAACATGGCGGCTGCTCCAGTTAGTTTGGGGACACAAATCCGTGAAGAACTGTCCTGCAGTATCTGCCTGGAGCTGTTCACCAGGCCCAAGGTGCTGCCCTGTCAGCACACCTTCTGTCAGGACTGTCTACAGGACCATGCAGGGAGGGAAGGAACCATCCAGTGTCCAAACTGTCGTCAGAAGACCAGGCTACCACCCCAGGGGGTTGCAGGTTTGCCAAATAATCATATCATAGCCAATATGTGTGAGACCCTCCAACAACAAACTTCACTGTCGGAGGAAACTCTGGAACAACCCCAGTCTGAAAACACGTGCAGCTCTCACCCCTCTGAGGGGATCAAACTCTACTGTAAACATTGTCAGATCCCAATTTGCGAACAGTGTTTAGAGGAGACTCATGATGATCATCTCACAACAACCATCAAAAAAGCTGCACAGCAAAGGTGTTCGACAGTCCAGGAGTTGCTCAGTGAGGGAAGAAACATCTTGGAAAGTTACTTTGACTTTCTCAAGAGTCTGAGGGAAGAAGAGGAAACTCTCATTGACAACAAAAAGCAGACACACACGGACATCCTTCAGGCCTACAAACAAAAGGTGAAAGAACTCAGAGAGGGAAGAGACCACCTCTTGTCCGAAGCGGACAAAAACCACACAAAAAACTTGGACAGAATACAAATTGAAAAGGACAGATTTTTGGCAGATATCAACGAACTGTCTGCAGCCTGTGATCAAGCAGAACAAGAACTGCAGCAGGGATGGGTCGAGCTCCTTAGTCAGCCAACTGTTTTGACAGAGGTGGTAGGAAAGTACAGACGAAGGGGAGCACCAACTCCTGTACAAACCCAGTCGACATTCTTTCAGCCGGTAGACACACCAGGACCCAAACTGGGACATGTCATGGTCCAGTCATCTGCTCCAAACCCAACTACAGCATTACCAGAATCTAGCAATGTTGCAGCCAGGGACACAGATCACCACAATGGTAACCGAAGACAACGGGAACAGAGGGTGACATTTAGTATAAGAGGATCATCAGCAACTGGGGGGATCAGCTATCTACCTGGTGTTACTGTGTCAGATGAAGGGGAGATCTTTATAGCAGACAAATGGAACCAGAGAATCCAAGTCTTTACCCTACAGGGTACGTTTGTCCGCCAATTCCAAACAGTCGTGTCAGGTGAAGAGAAGATTGAACCTCATGATGTGGCAATGGACGGGGAGGGGAACCTGTGGGTGGTAGGAAAGTCACGCTATGATCGTGAGTTTGCTGTGCAGTACAACAAACAGGGCAAGGTGCTGAGGAAGATTGACCTAGAGGCGTCACCGTTTGGGTGTCTGAGAGGAGTTGCTGTGGACATCAGGAGAAACCACATTCTCATCACACAAAATGCAGGAGTAACGGACATCCAGCCTGGTAAAATACAGGTGTTCGAGCCAGATGGGACACTTGTAAGAACTGTGGGTGCGTGTACAACCTGGCTCGGCTGGTTTGCATCTCTACTGTGGCACCGTATAATTAGGATGAAGTACCCGATGTACATCACTGTGGACGGGGAAGGGAACATTCTCGTGTCAGACTCGATGGATAACTGTGTCTATGTGTACAGAGACGACGGACAGTTTCTGTTCCAGTTTGGAAGTACAGGAAGTGGTGAAGGTCAGCTGAACTGTCCCTATGGCATCTGTACTGACAGGGCAGGTAACATCATCGTGGCAGACACGGGAAACCGCCGAGTGGAGAAGTTTGACAAGACAGGAAAATTCCTCAGACACATCACTACAGACATGAAGTATCCACAGGCTGTTGCCATGTCAACAAAGGGGCAGTTGGTAATAACTAATGATAATGACAACAGCGTCAGCATATTCAAGAACTTCTGAATCTGGGTTGATTGAGACATACATATCCAATCTGTTGTTGATTATTAATTTCCAAACTTTGTTATGGGATAGTGCTGTTTATATTACTAGTATTCCAGTAGAAGAATTGATCATGCTACACGGGAAATAGTTAAGCATTGAATAAATTGACCATTATTGGGTAGTTACGTTTTAGGTATGAAGAAGTCAATCTGTTTCAATAATATGATGATCCATATCAAAACCAAAATATTGACTATTACATAATAACTAATTTTGGTACTCTTCTTTGTTATGATATTGTACTCATCTTAAAACGTGGTCGCTTGTGTAATGCTGGTGAGGAAATTGTATACCTTTTCCGTTCATAATATCATGTAATTTAGTTGTACACGCAAAATACCCTTTCTGTATAGCAAGCCTTTCAAGACAATGTAACTGTACAGTTTTCATGAATAAATTTGAAATCAGTGAATCTGCTTAAGTTTTTGTCGCTCACATTTGTTCCGTTTGAAGGTCATGAACTTTGACCCTTCCGAGGAACCAGGACGCATGCTCCCACTGCCCGCTGTTGTCGTGCCAAATGCGCATGTGCGTGAGGGGGCCCAGGTCACGTGGTGTGCTCATCAGGAACTTGTTCACGCTTCCGGCCTTGAAGACCTAAAAAGCAAACAAAAAAAATTAACATCCTTCATGCTCGGACTCCTTCTACATACTTCAAGGAGTTGAAACATCCTTAAAGGCATTCAATGCGATTTCAGAGCAGCAAAGCTGGAAATATTCTGAATAAGGCAATATTTATGATATTCAAACAGACTGCTTCACATTAGCACCTGGTTTCAACTCAGTATGTAGATAAGTGACGAGAATATTGACTTTGAAAAGTCTGGTTTCCAAGTCCTAAAAACTGCACTGGATGCCTTTAAAGCATTTAGAGTTCTTGGCATGTGAATGTCTTTTTTTAATATTGGGAATTTCTCGATAGGTTCTGTGCATGTTTCAACGCCACTCCCTCCAAACCTAAAGGAAGACCATTTTGACCTACAATTTGACCTTCTCTGACAGTCTCTGACGTCACTTCCCCCTCACTTCCTGTGTCTTTACTCTGATAAAATAACTACGGACACACAATGCAAGCAAACAAAACAAAACACCCCTGAAAACTTTAGGGAATGATAGTGTTCTTTAGTACTCGTATATTATGCGAATATGTAGATATACAAACTAATGTGCAAGATTGAATGTTACAAAATACCATGGACAATGACTTACATCTTTCCTGTGGTCAAAGATGCGTACACCGGTGTCACCATCCTGGCCGCACAGGAGAAAAGCTATCCTGGACCTGGTGCCAGCCTTGCGTGCCGTTCCGGTGTATACTGTGATCTCGTACTTGTACTGGTGGTAAGGATTGTCGTCAGGGAGGGAGGACGTCACCCACTGTGGAGTACAGAAAAAAAGCTCTTAAGACTTGTACCATCAATATTTTGTTTTCAAAGAGAAAATTATCATGTTCCTGCCCTATAAATGAATGTATAACTGGCCAGGGGAGTTAGCCGGCCATAGAGGGTTCAATATGCCTGCACGGCTGGCTAACTACCCAGGCCAGTTTCATTCCTTTACAGGCTGATTTCTGCTATTTATTCAGCCTGCAAAGTCTAATACGTCTCTTACCTTTCTGCGGTGCTTGATGGGCAACCTAGCCGAACACCAGCCGACCTTGCTCCCAACCTACCCCTACCTACTCCCAACCTACTACTAAACCATGGTGTTCAGGAGGCCATATTCGGCTATGTATTGACAGGATATTTACCTTTCGGCGGTCATTAATGTCAGCCAGTCCTGCGTAAATCATCGCTACGAAGAGGATTAGCCAGTCAAAACCATGGTTAGTTGTGGGGGATGGGGACAAAATCTCATAAGCTTTATTCATTTGCAACACGCGTCTGTTACCTTTTTGCGGTCCTTGATGTCGGCCAGCCGTGCGTACATCATCGCCACGAAGAGAATGAGCCACAGGAAGATGACGGTGGACAGGACGATGCCGCTACTGTGGATGGGTTTGCTGAACACCGTGTCGAAGTTGATGCTGTTGGGCGGGACGAACGCGTCGGTGGCGAACATCGTCAGGTGGTTACACAGGCAGACGGTCTCAGCCAAGGTGGACTTGGGGCTGACCTGGAGACAAAAAACATCAATGTAAAAATCCTGTTTTAGCCTTCTGTGTTACGTCTGACCCTAAATCACCACAATCTGAGGTTTTCACACTCATTCTGTACCCCCTCGAGATTTAAACTTCTGTTTTGAGCTCCGTGATTGGCTGAATTGCTCAAGAGAACAGAGTTCTGATTGGTCAGGGCAGAACTTTCCTGGTCCCTGATTGGTTCATTAATGGATTGGTTCTTTTTTTCTCCTTTTCTACAGTAGCATTGTGATGTTCAGTTGGGCCACCTAGCTGTTTCCTTAGAACTGCAGGATTGTTTGAATGTGTGCATATTTACCTTGCACCCTGTCCCTTCCCACTGGTCCGTTGTTTCGTTCCTGAAGCGGCATCCTATGGTGGTGACCAGCATACTGTACTCGATTCGCATCGGGAACCCTGTTCCGTACTCTGTGTGGTAGAAGTTGGTCTCAAACCCTTTGGGAGAAAAAAAATACATCATATGATTTAACAAGAAGGCAACAAAAAGTTGACAAGCATATGAGATATACGGTATACCTAGATAAAAGACATTCAGATAATGAGATACACGAGGAAATTGTTACTCGAGAAACTGGATAGATTTTGAAAACTGTCAGACGTTTCAAATACCATCCACTACACTTCGTCAGTGACTTGGCTTGTTGGGGGAATTTTGCCTGAACTACGGCAAAATTCACCGTATAGTTCAGGCAAAATTCCCCGTAGCGCGTTGATTGAAACCGTCGGCCACAAAATCACTCGCCCCGCCAAAACATAGAGAAGCCTCTGGCAGGATTCGTAACCAGGATAGCAATTTTGTGAATCTATCAGTAGTCTACTCTTTCATTTCCATACAACTTACCATAAAATCTGAGAGAAAAATGATAACTCCCGGCGTCCGAAAGCTCCGGAACCAGCACGGTTTCGTTTCCCTTGACGATTTGTGTCCCATTCACCATGAGCACTTTACTGTCATTGGTTGAAGAATCCAGCTTAAAACGAACATCTTGAACCACATCTTGGATACGGTCCCATTTGGACACCTCTGGCTCTTCTCCGTACGCCAGGTCTATGCGGCAGATGACATTCGCAGGTTTGAAATCGAATCTTAGAAGAAGCCCATAGCCCGGTGACGTCAGATTAAACGCATGCGCAGCTTTGTTTCGCCTCCTAGTGGCAGCGATGACGTGCTGTTTAGGAGCTGAAACGTGATTGGTCAGCCTGGGTAACGTGATCGTGACGTAGTTGTCGTTGCTATGGTAATGCATAGTTTTGAATTCGTCGTTTAGTAAAGTGAGTTCCAGGACTGGCGAAGATGTGTGCCTCACGGAGGTGTCCCAGGTGAACGGGTTTGCCTGGAAAGACTTCGCCTGAAAACGAGAAAACGAATTAACTGTACAGTTGCAGTGTTCCTGTCAAACCCCATTGTAATGTATTGATTGTCTTAGTGAGCAGCGCCAACCCTTTGCCATAGACATAGGCCAATTGGGCTGCCCTGGCTGTATATGTTGAAAAGCCAAACCAATGAAATAAAAAGAAAAAGTAAACACAAATTAACACATAAATGAATATAGAGACATCAGAGAAACTTTAGGCATTAGTTCATGAAATTGCGTCCTTCTTTCTTGATGCTGCTTTATTCATTTACTTCCATTGGAAATACAAAACATTAGAAGAGTTCTGTGAGGCCAACTTACATGTAGATACGCATTGCTACACCCCAGGTCTAAAACATTTTCTATACTTCACCAAACACAAATGTACATGTAAGAATGAATACCTTTACGTTGACTTGCTTGGCAACACCTTTCAGTACCTCTTCACTAAATGAGGGCAGTGAAAAACGTCCTTGGCCAATAGGAATTGTCCGCCCACCTTGTCTCGCTGACAATCTGCTCAAAGCCATGACTACAAAAAAGAGACAAAATTATATGACACCAATACGTTTCTGTCCATATGTTCGCTTCTTTCAAAGTTATTGCAGAGTTTAGGATTTGCTATGTCCTGATGTCGATACTATATTTCATCTAAAATTGAACATAACATGTATGGTTTTTGTTGAAAAGGAAAATACGTACTAGATAAAAGTCCATCGCCTGACATGACACACACACAAAGACACACAAAAACAAAACTCAGAGAGAGAGAGAGAGAGTGGCAGAGAGAGGGCAGAGAGAGCAAGGGGAGGAGAGAGAGTGGAGAAAGAGAAGAGAGAGAGTAGAGAGAGAGAGAGAGAGAGAGAGAAAGAGAGAGAGAGAAAGAGAGCAAGTAAAAAAGTATTAAGTTAAACATAATACTGACCACTAGCTTCAAACCCGGGCCCGCGAAGCTCAATGGACCGACCGTCCGGCTGCACGGCCCTCAGAGCCAGGTTTGCAGCTCTATCTATAGTTGTCAAGACACCAAACACCCGGGCTTTGTCCTGAAACACAAACAATAATGTGTTTACGTGTGTGAAGGTTGCTCTTCCGGGAATATAAAATATAGAAGAAGAAGGTCTCCCGTGCTCTCATGTCAAGCGTAGGGTGTCCATCTCCAGTTCGTAGCCTTTGGGCGACACACAGTTGTGCAAGGGCGACACTACAGCAGGGGGCTACTCCGCTGGTAGTGCTGTGTGTTTGACATTCCCACACTCTTTCTCATATGTGCTGAGTGCTAAGCAGAGAAAGAAGTGTGTACCATTTTTTAAAGTCCATGGTATGACCCGGCCGGGGTTTGAACTCACGACCTCCCGGTTAGAAAGTGATTAAGTATATAAAAATCAAAGTTTGATACCTCTTGTTTCTTGTTCTCCACCGAATCCACGAACTCCTTTCTCTCTGCGTCATCAAGCCAAGGATCCTCTCCACTTGACCCCAAAAGGTCACCGAGGTTTGCCTGAAGGTCACGTTCGATGCTGTGTCCCTCAAGGTGAGGGGGACTCAGAAAATCCCATTGTGATGAAAGGACCGAGAATATCGAAGAGACCTGAAATTTATGATAAAAACTGTATTTTTTCAAGGACAAGAAAATATCATTTGGTATTGTCTGGAATCATCATATCTGGATTACCCAAAGGAAAAAACAATTTTTTATATCAAAATAACAAAATTTGACCCCCAGCCCAATTTTTCTATTTTTGGTTATTCTTAATAACTCGAGGCACTATAACGAGATAATACCAACTTAGATGGAAAATGTGGAAAAAATAAAGTAAAAAATCATATAAAAATAAGACCTAACCGTTCAAAAGAGTGTTAAGTTGCCCACTGTCTGTTTCCCGCGCCCCAAGACTCTCGAGTCCTTGGAGCAACCTGTTTCCTACGTAAATGACGTCGTCCTAGAACAAGCAAAACTAGAGTTCCACGATCTCATACCTTCGCCAAATGATGTTAGCCTTTATGAATAAGAAATATACTAATCACCCAGATTATGCAAATAGGATCCTCAATTGCATGAATTATATCAGTCTGTTGATCATATTCTCCACCAAAAGACAGTCTTATCTTAACAAAGAATGCCATTTTCTCATAAATTATGCAAATGTGGTCCTTATTTGAATAAGTTATGTTTAATTATGTTCACCTTCACTTAACTTTCAAACACCCCAAGTATGAAACTCCAGGCAGTTACCACTATGCAATTATAACATTTTCTTATTAATTATGCAAATTAAGTCTTCATTTGCATAATCGATATTTGCCTGTGTTTCTCTCGTTCTTAATAACATATGTTACAAGCTTGAACTTCCTATCATGGAATGCAGCTGATTTATAGAATTTCCTCATTAATTATGCAAATTACATCAATATTTGCATAATTGTAATATCATTATGTCAAGCATCACTTAAGCTACCTACATACCAAAAATCACGATGATCCATCAATCGGTTCTTGAGTTATCCTCTTTTAAACATTTGTCCTTTAAACCCCCCTGCAGTTCTAGAGCAAGCAACTAGGGGGCTCAAACTCATGTCACTTCATCCCCAGCACAAGAGCTATCTACCATCTAAATTTCGTCACCCTAGCATGTCTGGATCATGAGATATCAAAACCGGAAGTTCTGCTGCAGTACCATGACAAGCCGCCAGGGGGCCCAAAATCTATTCATTTTGAGGTCTCATCAAGACCTACCCACCTACCAAATATCAAGTCAGTCCATTTAAGCCTTCTCAAGTTATCGTGTTTACTACACACACACACACACACACACATACACGAACGCCTCTGAAAACATAACCTTCTTGGCGAAGGTAATTAAATGCAAGCTTACTTACGGCACGTAAATTAATACTTTGAATCAAACATGGTTTTACTATTTTGATGTGTGGCGAAAGATGTGTACTTAAAAATGCATGCATTCCCCATACTGTATAATATAAATCAGCTTCTTGCCCTGTTTCAAAACATAATATCTTTAACTGGCTTTGCATTCAAATAAGCATTAAAATTAATTAGAAAATATGCAACAAGAAAATCCAAAACAGAAAAAATCAATAATAGAGATAAAAGATAATTTCCCGAACTTACCTGAAACTCCTTGAATAAGTGCGGGACTCTTTCGTACAGGTTGACGAAGATTCTCAACGCAGCGCCCAGCTCATCTAAGTCCATTGGTTCCAGTAGTGCCTTTATGAATCCATTTATGATTTCCTGGAACTTCTGTAAAATAGTATTATATATCATTCGTATTCAGTACAAGATAATCAGCTGTTCATTATCAACCTCAAGGATTGAGGTGTTCAGGAATTCAATATTTCCTAGAACTATCGCAGAGTGAAACTCGCTGTCACCAAGTACAGTAGGAGCATTGTCAATAGATAACTTTAAACAATGTCTAGAGTTAGAAGTTCTAGGGTTAGGTGTAACAAGTCGATCGGCGTAATATCCGGCTGCCGCCGCGCCGCGTACCTGCGAAGCTGGAGTGTTACGACCAAAGGCTATACAGATACAGAACTACTGGACTTCCATGTTTCATATTCCAGACATTATCGAATGTCAATGAAAAACGAAATAAGATGAAGCACACGTAAGTCTAATGGAGAGCGTGTTCAAGAAAGATGAGGAAAGGACTCCAATCTTTCGTACCTTATCATCAATTGCCACCACTACTTGTGCACTTGTGTTGTCCATACCAGTCCCTTGTAGTGCATCAATGATAGGTTTAAGCTTTGAAGGCACCAAATCGTCCTGGTCAGGTCCGGGCATTTCTGTGCCACGCTAATGAAACAAGACACATATGGCTAGTGAATTATGTTGTTATGATGTTCATAGTTACTTAATCCATCTTTGGGTCCATATTTACAGTATCGGAGTTAGTTGAAGTTGTACCTTTTGCTTTTTTTTAAAGGTTCATCACAGCCATTGTCAATGATCACAGTAAACGTATCAGTCTACGCGTCTTTACTTTAAAAACATAGTACTCACTTCTACAGCCTCCGTTGTATTCGTCACCATCGGTGTTGCTGTTGCCTTTAAGTTAGAAAATAACCGTATGAAAATATTATTACCTATAATGTAGTTAAAGCAGGTTGAAGTTGTAATGTTTAAAGTCATTGCACTTAATATGCAGGTATGTTGATAAAACAGGAGCCCAAATGTATTTCTGTGAATAAGTAAGTGCTCTAATCACCTTATATTTCGTTTCTGCATATCTAGCCTTGAATCTAGTCGTAAATACAATGTAACTAAGTCGTATGGAGTATTATATAAAGTTTCTTGAATTGAAATATGTTCTATTCTATACAATACTGGGCAAAGCCCTATCTAGGGCATCCCGCCCAGGGTGCACAGCTATTGCGGCCGGTGGGGTACGGTGAATAAAAATGTGCATTACAACAAAACAGAACAGAATATAAACTTTCCGTTTCTTGCATGGCTGCAACTAGCAATACCTGACTTACATCTGTGAGACGGGGTGGCCCAGGTGCAGGGCCAACCCCGTCTTGAATGTGTCAATAGATTGTTGTACTTGATGATTGTTGTACTTGAAAATTTGTTTCAGTACTTGAATTCTATCATAGGACACAAAACGAGACACAAAATGAGACACAAAAGACATTTTACCCCTGAGTCTCCCCATAATTCTTCCTCATCTCTAGTACCACCGGCGTCTGTAGGTCCGGCCCCGTCCTCTCCTACCGCTTCTGAATCAAGAGACTCACTACCGCCGATGTCGAAGAACGAATCATTCTCAGCTTCACCATCAAGGTCCGTAGTCTCGTTTAAGGTTGGAGCTGCAAAAAAAAAACAATCATTGCCTTTTAGTTCAGTTTATTTATCATTAATGTTTTAACATATATTTATTGGTTACAGTTGCTTATGATCTCAAACGTCCAGTTTTGCTTAGCTAGTTTCTTTATTACAGAAACTTTGGATAAGAGGCCAATATAATAACGATGTGAGAAAGATATACAAAAGCTATTATGATGGTTTAAGTGAGGTATACAGAGGCTACAATGATGATTTAGGCAAAGTATACGGGGAATATAATGATCTTAAGCAAAGTTTACGAAGGCTATAATGATGGTTTAAACCAGATATACATAGGATGAATATACATATCTACCTATGTACTCTTTCAGTATGACTTCCACCTCCTCGCTGTCCGCATACACACCCACAGCCCGGATGGTTACTGTGTACTGTAGGGGCAGGAGGTCGTGTAAGGTCACGTCTGTGGCCGCCCGGTCAACTGAGACGGAGTGTGTTTCCTCTTCAGAGACGCTCCTGGATGACCTAAGCCTTAAAACACTTTAAAGTGAAAGAATGGAAGATCATTTTTATGTCATAAATCGTGTTGTAAAACAGTAATAGTATTAACCTGATAATAATCTATAATTAAAAAAACCTGGTAATTTGGTGCTTGCGATGTAGTTTTGCAACAAGAAAACAAAAGCTATTTCAAATTTATTTCCTTAATGCAGTTGTGTATGTCCTACAATCAGCCTAGTAAGTCAGTTTTGACATGTGATTTTGTTTGACTGTTGCAAATAAACTTTAACGTGCACCTAGAAAGTCAGTTTTGACGTGATGTTGTTTGACTGTTTAATTTTTTAACGTGCACGTAGATACCAACAGTATTCAATAATCTTTACCAAGGAATGTATATGATTCACAAAGAGCATGGCACTTTGTGTTCTGTCTAATATATATATAGTGTAACTGCGTCTGAACCACCATTGGTTCCTCAAATGATTTTAAAGACGGCATGCCACTACAGAAAGATTGTATCTTACCTGAAGGATACTGTGTACCCCGTGATGACGGCTACAGGAGCGGTCCATGTCAGATCAGCAGTGGTCGGGTCGACATCAGATCTCGTGATCACGACATCTGTTGGTGCATCGGTAACTGCAATTGAAAAACAAAAGTGTCCAGCTAGCCAGTCCAGCTAGGGCCAACCCCTCTCCTTCCACCACCATTTACCTCCCCAACCGAACTCAAGTACCCACTCTTACACCTGGGTGGAGTAATATAATTTGTTCTGCAATGAAGCATTCTAAGGGGGTACGTATAAGTCGTGTTAAAAGCTGGAGCAACTAACAAATAGCATTGGATAATCTCCATGGGTGTTGCAGTTATTATTTTCAGTACACGAACAATGTAATGATGTCCTTCACTCGTTATATCTTACCTGTAATGGCATTCAGATAGACCACTTCGCTCTCTCCTAGGGCAGTGGCAGCCGAGATACCAACAGTGTATTCCGTGCCTGGGGATAGACCTTGCAGGACAACAGAGCTAGCAGATCGCTCCACTTCGATCGTTACTGCGTCACTCATGCCAGAGAACGCATTTGCATATGTGATGACGTAGTAATCTGGTAGATGCCCTGGTGGCGCCCAGGTAAGACTTATGGAAGATGCTGTTACCTGAGATACTGTCAGCTCAGAGGGTGATTCCGTGTCTGCAAGGGAAAATGGCAAAACAACGCTGAATGGTGCTGAGTCAGATATTATGCACTGAAATTATTGCCTTATTCCTTCAAACATTGCTGATTACTGTGACAATACATAACATGTATACACAGATGATAAGTTTATAATAGTAAGTTAGTTATCCCCAAATAATACAAGAGTCTACATGTAACAGTGGGGGGTTCATAGGCGCTACCAACTGACCCGGCCAAGTGGTCTAGACCTTTTAGCTGAGTGGTTAGAGCGTCGGAGTCTTAACTGGTGCTCGGGTTTATAATAATACAAGCAAAATGACCAGGGACATGCTATGTGAACGTGTTTTCATTGCCTGCGTTGCAACAGGACCCAGAAAATAAGGAGTACAGATGTAATGACTATTTTACCTGTGTGTCCA